TTTTATTTTTATAATTTTAAATAAAATTTTAAAAATAAAAATTAAATTTAAAAATCAAATTTATAATTTATAAAAAATAAAAAAATAAAATAAAACAACACACCATAAATGGCCTTTGCTTGCACTGTAGCAAACACAAAAAATGGTGTTGCAACTAACACCCGATTGGAGACCCTCAGCGCTATAAATGGGGATGGAACGTCAATTATGACGTTCCATTAGAGATGGCCTTAGCCTTTGCTACGTAAAGTGATGTTTTAGTCAACATATAATTCTCGATGTCTATGTGGCACTTTCATGGCATTTCGACATACACATAGATGTCTAGTTAGCGCCACGTGACGGACATGTGTTTGTCACATGAATATTTTTTATTTTTTTTATTTTTATCTTATTTTAAAATATAAATTTTTTTATAAAATATAAAACATATTTCTTTTACGTACACAATAAGGTTGTGTTCCTTTGGGGAAATCCCCCAAATTCTATTATTCATCAATTTTTTTTCCTAAAAAGAAATTAAATCAAACACTTATTTTTATTTTTTATATTACATTAAAAATTAATTTTACATTCAAAATATTACATCAGCACATATTTATATCACATCATACAATTATTACAATTCAAATTTTTTACTATTCAAATCTCAACTCAAAATCCAAATTCCCGATCAAACCCACCCTAAGTGTACAAATAGTATCCAATAAATAAATATTATCATTCAATATAAGGAAATAATTATATATATATATATATGAAACTCAACAATTCAAACACACAAAAGATCACCTTTTATAATATTATCATAATTTTTTAATATTTAACAATAAAAATACTTACACTATAATACTATTCCCTCCGTCCCAATACAATAGTCATGTTTATCATTTTTATTCATTCCAAAACAATAGTTTTATTTTCATAAATAACCATATCACTATAAAATTATCATTACTTATTTCATTATTATTACACAATTGTCACCACTTTTTACACTAATACACTCACAATGGCAAAAAAGTCTTTTACTCCGTATTTTTTACCCTCTACCAATATAATATCAATATTTCTTAAACCCCGTATCAAACACAAATAAGACTATAATTCTAGGATTGATGAAGTATTAAACAAACAAATTACATGATGGCATGTTGGTACGGGAAGTGAACTTGTAATCATATATTCACCGCCTATGCATACTCTTTTTTGTCTTTTATCATTAAAATAGTAAAATATATTTTTTTCGTCTCAACACAATAGATTTATTTTATTATTTTCGGTCTATTCAAAATAATAGTTTCATTTTATCATTTTCGTAATCTCAAAATAATTGCCTCGTTTACATTTTTAATAACTAGACTTTCTATCTTTCTATAAAACTATCTATATTTTTCACAATAATTATATAAATAAATGTCACTACAATTATCCATTTTATTCATTTACTTTCTAATAATAAAGTAGAAGTATTTTAGCCTTTTACAAATATTTTTACATTGATTATAAATATAGTATTACTATTTCTTAAATTTTGTATTCCTTTGAAATGCTTCTATTATTTTAAGATGAAAGAACTAATATAATTATTTTGCTAAAAAAATATATTTACTTTAATGACACATAAATAAGAAAAATAAATATATATTTTATAATAGAAATTAATACTAATTTTTTAACATAAAATATCACATTAGAATAAAAGTCAAAATCAATTAAAAAAAAAAAAAAGAAAAGAGAACTTGGAAGAACAAGAATATTTTTATTTTACATAGGGAGTATTTCTCTCCTCTCTTTTTTTTTTTTAATGCTTTTTATCATTTACAAATGGCTTTATTCGATTGCATTATTATTGGTTTTTATTTAAAATATCATAATAAAAATTTATATTACAGTATATATTTATTAATATAAATTTGATAAATTTTAAAGTAACAAATGTTTATTTTATTTTTTTATTTTTTTAGCTCTCTCATATAATTTATTTTTTTATTAAAAAAATATTATGCATTTTAATTATATTTTAAATTTTAATTAAATTATTTAATTTTAATATATAATTATATGTATTATAAAATAATTATTTTTATTAATATATTTTTTTATTATTCATTAATTATATTTCTTCTAAATTTTCATATGTACTGTACAATAAACATTTTCATTGGGACAAAATGAGTACTATTATATTCCTCTGTCCTAATACAATAGTCTTATTTATTATTTTTGTTCGCTCCAAAACAATAGTCCTATTTTCGTAAGTAACCGTATCACTATATAACTACCCTTACTCTTTCATTATTATTACATAATTTCCGTTATCTTTTACACTAATACATCAAAGGCAAAAATGTCTTTTACCTATATTTTTTGCCCACTATCAATATAATATCAATATTCCTTAAATTTAGTGTCCAAAACAACCAAGACTATAGTTCCGAGACGGAGAAATCATTATATAGTATTAAACAAATTTTATGGATTTTTTTAGTATGATGTCCTCTAGAGTGTGTTTGTTCGAATGTTTGAATTTTAAGTTAAGATTTGAATACTAAAAATTTTGAATTGGAATAGTTGTATGATGTGATATAAATAGGTATTTGATTTTTAGAATAATATAGAATATAAAAATTAAATGTTTGATTTGATATTTTTAGAAGAAAAAACTTGGATAAATAATGGATTTTTGGCAAAATCCCTCAAACAAACACACCCTAAGAAAATAAATATATATAAAAAATCACAATAGTTGTATAATAAAAAAAAATAAAAATCAAATTATACATATGACTTATGTCTACTCTTATCTAAATTTATTATACTATAAAAATAAATTTAATTTAGAATATTGTATTCAACCTACTAATAATCACTTTTATAATTTTGTTTAGAATTTCACTGCTTTGAGAACACAACTAAAGTAAAAATGTCACCTTTTTTTTTACTCCCTCCGCCCGAATACAATAATTTTGTTTACCATTTTTGTATGTTCCAAAACAATAGTCTTATTATCATAAATAACAATATTACTATAAAACTACCCTTATCTTTGTTTTTTATTATTATTATTACACAATTGCCATTACTTTTTACACTAATATACTCACAAAAGTAAAAAAGTTTTTTATCTGAATTTTTTATCCACTACTAATATAATATGAATATTTCTCAAATCTCGTACCAAACATAACCCACACTATAGTTTTGGGACGAAGGGATATTATTTATATGTGTGTTTGTGTGTGTTCTCTTTGCATTTGTTTTTATGTATTGGATTTGAATTCCGATTTTTCAAAATAATATCTTGTAATAAAAATAATAGTATATTATAATTAAAAACTTTTAAAGTTGAATACTCCCTCCGTCTCGTTGGAAGGGTGGCGTTTGCTTTTTGCATGTAGATTTTTTAATATTAGTATTATATTGGATTGTAGTAAAAAAATACAAAAATACCCCATTAGTATGGTGTAATATAAAAGTAATGACATTTGTGTAATATATTGTAAGTTGAAAGGGTATTTATTATGTAAAGTAGGTAGTACAATTACTAAATTAGGAAATGGTAACCTTTGTTTCAGGACAAACAAAAATAAAAAAATAGTAACTTCTCAATGGGACAGAGGAACTATTAAAAAATATAATGTATATATAAAAAAAAAAGATTTACAATTTAATCATGTCAAAAACTTATTTCAATTCAAATGTCACCTCCTTCCTATATCTATGTAGTGGATAGTCTAATAAAAATACTATAAAATGTATGAATAAAAATATCTCAACAAGTATTTATGTATTAAAATAAAAGAGGTGCATTCTAGTAATTTAAAATTTTATTATTTGTGAACATTATATTTATTAATTTTAAAAATATAATTTATATGTTTGATTTGAGTTCAAATTTTACTGTTCCTAATATAATATGCTTAAAAAATTGATTAAAATATAAATTAAATCAAAATATATATTTAAACTCAATTTTAAACTAAAACAAAACAAACCTATTAATTTGGAATAGAAAATAAAATTTCGGAGACAGAAAATGAATCGATAATGAAACTTGATTATTTTATTCCGTATAATAAAAACTTAATTGAAAATATAAAAATAAAAAAATAAAAAAAAAATACAACGATCGGTACAAAGAGGGGACAGTTTATTGTAAGTGAAAAAAAAAATAGATCAATAAAAAATAATAAATTAGATAAGAGAAATATTGTTGTATTTATTTAGTTATAATGTTTATTTATTTATTTTTAAAAATTTTAATAGATGTGACGTCACTCCATTTTATTAATTTTATTTTTCTCTGTTTTTCTACACTGTAAAGGACAATGATGAATTATTTATTTATGAATCTTAAATTCTTTGTCTTAACCTAAACTAAAGAAATTGATATTTATTTTCGTATTATCGACACAATTCTTTATACTTCACATAAAAATATATATATATATTTTCTTTATAATTCACAAAACTAACACAACCTTTAATTTCTCTATTCTCAATTTTATATGAGTTGTGGTTTTTATTTCAAAGGTAACCTTAATTTGAATTTGGATTTTAAAAAATTTTAATATTATATTTTTACTGAAAATAATATAATAATAATGTATTTTATTTGAAAAAACAAAAAAAAACAAAAAAAAAAAAGACCTAAAATGACAAGATAAATATATGAAACACTACAATATTAGGAAGACCAAATCCAAACGAACACAGTAAATTCTGGATAAATAGGCATAATGCCCTTTTTGGAAATAAATCCTATTTATATTAATTATAAATTAAAAATATTTATAAAGTTGAGTAGCAACAAGGAAGTTTTCGACTCCAACATCAAGACAATCTCTCACCGTTCAAAGTCGACACGTGTGGGGCCTACAGAAAGGGTTAAAATTTTCAACGGTGTAGATTAACTCGGTGCAGTGCTCCTTGTGTACACGATAACTACCATTTGTCTTCTTTATAGACGAGCTTCGTAGAGCTACGTCTGCAGTGTCAGAAGTTACAGTTGTTTACAATTAGTTCCATTTCGGCATAAAAAGAGCTTCACGGCAGGAGCGGTGTGGCGGTGCATTGTGCGAAAATGGTAGCGGCACCGGCATTGGGATTTCCGTTGCATCATTGCGGTCGGAGGAGATTGCTGGATTGCACCGCTTCGGTGAGTAGTGGCGATGGCGGCAAAGATATCGGCGGAGTTTTTCCGTCGTTTCTTCCGAAGGAAGTTCATAAAATCAGAGATCCTTCGGCTAGAAATTTGGCTCAGAGGATACAGAGGCTTCCTGTGCAGGTAGAAAAATTAAAATCTGTGCTGTTTCCTGTAGTTGTGGTTGCATGTGCTCGTCGCCGAATTGCATGATGTAATAATCTTCTTCGATTTTATCGAGTATTATGTGGTGTGGTTGCTGTTTTGTATCCTGTTTTGGTTGGTGAAATGAGTGCTTCACTAGGCTTCAATTTGGAAGAGGATTCTCGAATTTGAGTGAGAGAGGAATTTCCCCAATTTTTTGGCTTATTGGAGAAATATTCTGCTATTTGTTCTGCATCCAGCGCTTCGGAACTTTTCTGAATCATTAAATGTTTGATGTAGGGTTGGGGGTGGAACTCGAATTGCTACCTGTCTTGTAGAAACGTATGTTGAAATTTTGATTAACTTGTGGTGTTCTGTTGTGTTTAAGCAAAACTGTGTGTAGACTGTAGTGATTGTGTAGTATAAGTCAAGTTGATTCTCAATGAGGTTAAATATATCCATAGCCCTATTGGGATCAATGGCATGGTATGCAGTTGGTTCTAGAAGAAATAATGTAAAAAAAATGGGTATGTACTTGTGTTTTGGTATGTATTTGGTGATTTGAGCTGTTTCTGGATTTTGTTTTCTTAGAATTTAGGTGTTGAATTTGATGTTTTTGGATAGGAAATTCTACAGTAGAATGCATACTGCAAAAATTTTCTTGAAAACACAAGTGAACAAGGCATTGATCTTTGCCTTGTTAACTAGGATTTCCGAGTTTGAACTAATGTCTGCATTGAAATTAGTCGTAATTATAATGTTTCATCAACGAGGACAAACCGGAGATATTCTTGAATCGCATGTATTTGGTAAAGCAATCAGATGCACAGTGATAAGAACTGGTAGTGCAGGTTGGGTTTTCTGAGGGTTGCATAATGAGTAGCTGTGTGGCGCCGAGAGTTCACACTGATTCCGCGAATCCGGTGGTTCTTCTTCATTGCTTTGACAGGTTTGCAACATGTAATCCAACATTTATAGAGCTGTCTTACTTTCATCTCTCTGTAAATAACATTAGTTTATTTCTGTTGTCGCTGCTGCAATTGATGTATGGCTTATCATTTAGCTCTTGTTTAGAATGGCGAAGCGCATACCCACTGCTAGAGGATGCCGGCTTGGAAGTCTGGGCAATCGATGTTCTGGGATGGGGTTTCTCGGACTTAGGTTCATTATCTATCCTTAACTACACAAAGTTATATATTTATATGTTTATCATTTCTAACGGATCTCTGATTTTTGCACAAGAAAAACGGCCTCCATGTAACGTTGCTTCAAAGAGGTACCACCTCTATCAGGTAATTTACTAATATGAACTTTATGCGTGACTATCACAAATGCTCGTTAAATTAAACTGTTTGTTATACATATTTTTATTTTGGTATAAAATGTAGCTCTGGAAATCTCACATCAGAAGACCAATGACATTAGTCGGGCCAAGCCTTGGTGCGGCAGTTGCAATAGATTTTGCCGTCAATTTTCCTGAAGCCGTAAGATGTTCTTTTTATGCTTAATGCTGATATTCTCTTTTGCACATGCATCTTTATCCATTTTCCACTCTGCCCTTTCCATCGATAGTCCTTAGGCAAATTTCATTCTGAACATAAACAACAACGGACCATGAATATTCATAATTGATCACCAAAACATATTCGTTGTGTTCTTTTGTGGGTTTTACCATAGACAATTACTTTTCCTTTTGTATACTACAAATTTATTTTTTATTCAAAATATTACATCAAAATTTATTTATATCACGTCAAACAACTATTCATTCATAAATTCAACTTTATATACTATTCAAAATTTCTTATTTTGCTGTGGTTTCACAGAGCTGGAAATTGTGTCAAATCAATGCTATGCGACTCGTTTTTAGCTCGTTTATGCAATTTATTTTCTTCGACGCCTTGCAGGTGGACAAGCTGGTTTTAGTTAACCCTTGCGTTTACGGAAAAGGCACTGCCATTCTTACAAACTTGCCGAAAATAATGGCGTATGCAATGGTAATGCTCATAAATTATGTGATTCCATAATCGATTATATAATTAAATTGTTGTATCGACCAGGCCTCGCTGCTTAAAAGCATTCCCATTCGTTGGTACGCCAAGCTGCTCGTTTTCAACGGCATATCGTTATCGAGGATCGTCGATTACACCAATGTAAGATAATTGCCCAGTACTTATACCAATGTTCGATTTAGCGCATCGTTTAATATTGTAATGAATCATTCGTTAAGGTGGGGCGACTCCACTGCCTTCTACCGTGGTGGGAAGATGCTACGGTGAACTTCATGCTCAGCGGCGGATATGACGTTACCGAGCAAATTAAATTGGTAAGTCGCGATTTTTCAGACATCGCTTGTAAGAACAATTTGCAAAACCGATGATGCATGTTTTTGGATGCAGGTGAAGCAAAAGGCTCTCCTCATATGCAGTGAGAGGGACAACATAGTCAGCTACGAGGTTGCCGAGGTCAGTTCGATTCGACACTTTTCTTACAAGCGTTGTTTTTGTCCGGATATATTTTGATGTCTCTTTGTTTGGACATGAAAATGCAGAGACTACATCGGGAGCTGCCAAATGCCCGGATTCTAAAAGTTCCGGGCTGCGGCCATATGCCTCATGTCGAGAATCCTCGTGTGATTGCGAACTTTATCGCGGATTTTGTCCGGGGAGCCTATGGGATTTCTGGGGCGGTGGAGAATAAGGATGGCAAGGATGACAAGGTTTGTCACTCTTCTATTGATAATGTTCTTGTAGGAGAATAAATATGTGTTGGTTAGAATGTAATATGGGGGCAATATATATGGTGTTGTGATATATGTTGTTTTTAACCTATGTTATAGACTCGTCCCGTCGTTTAAATAAGTAATTGATAGTTTTTTGCCGTATAGATTTTTTAATATTAGGATAATATTTATATGCAATATAAATTTATAAAAAATAACAAAAATAATACTCCCTCTATCCCTCGATAATTTATCAATTTTTTCATTTTGTTAAAGTATTCATTTCAATTTTTTATAGTAATTGTACTATATTCTTAACGTTACAAATATCTTTTCAGTTTACAATATATTATACAAATGTCATTATTTTATCATCTTTTTACCTTTATTTATATTACATTTCAATATAATACTAATATTTCTAAAATTTTGTGTAAAAAACAAATGGATAGATAGATTGGGACGGAGGAAGTATGATATAAAAATGATAATATTTGTTTAATATATTGTATACGGTACGGATGGTAAAAATATTTTTAATGTTAGTTGATAGTATAATTGCTAAAAAAAACTCACTATTTACGTAAGATTTTATCATTTATTTTACTATTTTAATTTTTTTTTTCTAAAAAAATAAACATTCAATTTTTATTTATTTTATTACAATAAAATTTAATTTTACATTCAAAACAATATTTATACCACATCAAACAATTATTTCAATTAAAAATTTTACTATTTAAAATTCAAAATCAAAATTTCACGAGTAAACACCTAAATATTTTGTTGTCTAAAGATTAAATTAAAAAATGTTACATATTTTAATTTTATTTTTAATTTTTTAAATTTATATTTTATGTTTAATTAGATTACTTGGTTATTTTAATTTAATTTATAATTATTTTATTAATTTATTTTTTAATTTACTAATTATATTTTTCTATTTGTACGTCTACGATAATCTGAGTAGCTTGGGTGCTGAATTTTTTAATTTAGTACCATGCTAAACCTTATAATATATTATATATATTATATTAATTACATTATTTAATTATATAAATTAGAGTATTAGATTTTGCCATTTAGACTCGTGTTTTAAAATATATATATATATTTTCTTACAAATATTCTATTAAATATTATTTTTATAATTAAATTATTCTATCCGTCTCATGTAATACGGATGTATTACTGTAGACACGAGAATTTAGGTAAATATAATCAATAAGTAATTAAGAAGTGTATTAATAAAAATAATTATAGATTAAAATTAAGATAAGTAAATAATTTAATTAAAATTAAAACAATTATAAAATTTAAAATGCGATTAAAGTACATAATTATATTTCCAAAAATAGAAATGATAAGTTACGTGGAGGGACGAAAAAAAATAGAGACAAATTATGTGAGATGAAATGATTAATTTTCTTTTCAAACCAATCTTAAAAAACACCCCTTTAATATGTTGATTATCATCGTATCATATTTTGTTTACCATCAACAAAATAACTGCAACCATTAAGATTGCAAATGATAGGCTGGTTATATGTTTTATTTATATTATATTAATATAAATAATACTTTATCTATATTGTTCATACTTATCAAATTTTCTTTATTTATTATTTTATGTAGATTATAATATTTTATTTGTCTCATAATTACGTATTCGTTTGTTTTTTCACGTAATTTTAAAAATATTAGTATTATATTGATATAATAGTATTATGTGATATAAAAATAATGATATTTGTGTAATATATTGTAAGTTGCAAGGGTATTTGTAATGTTAGGTAAATAGTACCGTTACTAAAAAAATAAATTAATAATTTGTTACGAGACAAAGTAAAATGGAAAAAATAAATAATTTGTTAAATGACGGAGGGAGTATATATATTTTTTATATTTCAATAATTATTTTATTTAAATATAATAAAAAAATAATGTATTTGTTTGAAGATTTAAAATTTGAATTTATGTTTAAAATAATAAAAAATAATAATTTAAATAATAATTTGTCGTGATATTAATAAATATTATGGTATATATAATATATTAAATTAAATTAAATTTTTATTATAATATAAAACATAAACAAATAAAATTTAAATCAATATTTTTTAAATAAAAATTTAGGGTGTGTTCGTTTATAAGATTTTGCATTCCATTTTTTTTCCCCAAAAAATCAAATCAACACTTATTTTTCATTTTTTATATTATACTAAAAATCAAATTTACATTCAAAAGATTACATTAACACATATTTATATCACGTCGTACAACTATTCAAATTCAAAATTTTTAATATTCAAATCCCAATTCAAAATCTAAACTCCCAAACAAACACACCCTAAATATCAAATTCAGGCCAAAATCTTTGAATAAAAACACATGCCACTCTAGTTTTCTCCTATCCACAAATTTTATCTATATAATTTTAACTTTAAAAATGCTATTGTTTATTTTTACTTTAATCCTCAATTTTATTTTTTATTGCCAAAAGAATATTTTTCAAATAAGTATTTAATTTTACATACCATTTTTTATATTTACAATTAATATTATTTTTTAATTTTTTTTTAAAATTAATAATAAATAAAAGAATTAATATACAATATATATTATCAAAAAAATGTCTTATTGACAGTGAACATAAAAATTAAAATAATAATATTTAATTGAAAATTGATATAAAATAGAAAGTAAATGATTAAAATATGTTAGAGTAATAACTAATGATAGTTTGAAAAAATAAAAATAATTTTGTTATAAAATAAAAATCACAATTACTAAATAAAAAAATAGAACAATTATTTTGAAATTGACGAAAATAAAAAAAATAAAAAGAACTCTATTGAGATGGATAAAATATATATTTAAAAAGTACGTACCTCCAGGAGGTTTGTTTGTCCAAAAAACTTTTTAAATAGCGGTCTCATTGAAAAAGTGAAGTGCAAGTATATTTTTATTTATTAGTATTGTGTAATAAAAATGTAATAAACATGATATATTATAAGTTGAATTTTTTTTTTGTTATAGTGCAATTAGTGTGATATAAATAATATTAATACAATAATGTATTGAAAGTAAAATTAATTTTAATTGTAATTATAAAAAATATTTAATTAACTTTAAACGCGCGTCCGTACAATCCACGAGCCTCTCGTATAAAATCAGGGAATCTAAAAACCCCTCCCTCTGAAGTGTTGGTTACTAAAACCCTAGCCGCTGTTCCTCCGCCCTGCGCCGCCGCCCGGCCGTCCGCCGTAAATTCACTCCCAGTGCGCACTTCGAGAATGGATATTGACGAAGATGGTGGTGCGGGGGAAGAGGCAACGAGGCAAGTGCAAGTTCGATTCGTAACAAAGCTAAAACCGCCGTATAAAGTACCGCCAGCGGCAATCTTCATACCTGCGAGTTTAAGTCGCTTCGGCCTTTCAAAAACGGTCAACAATCTTCTCCAAGCCGGTATGTGTTGGTTCTATTTGTCCTCAGCGCCTATCATTATTTTGCATATATATTTCGCACTTAACATTGAATGTGAGGATATGATTTTTGTTTATATTAATAGCTAATGAGGATTGGGAATCCGAGGTTTTTGATTTTCTCATTGATGGGGAGTTGGTTCGGATGACGCTTGAAGAGTTTCTTCTTGCCAAAGGAATTTCCGCTGTAAGTATTTGCTTCAATTTGGAAGGCCGTGCTCGTGCTTTTGGCGTAACATGATTTTATACGTTTATACTTCTGAATTGTCATGAAGTTTGTTTCAATTGATTATCTAGTTTTGACACCGGAGTAAAGGGGATATAATATTATCTTGATTCTCTGTCGGTTGTCTTTTCTGAGCGGACATTTATGTTAGGATATGTGACATAATGTTTCGTTTATCTTCCATTGTAGGAAAAAGTACTTGAAATTGAATACATTAAAGCTGTTGCTCCAAGGAAGCAAGAGGAGCCTTCCTTGCATGATGATTGGGTTAGTGCAGTTGATGGGTCCAATGATGGGTATGTGATAATTGCAATTTTACGTTCTCTGTCTCAATAATCTGAGCTGATGTTTTGGCAAGGAGTTGAGTTTGTCTTAGCTGTGGAATTCATATTGTCAGAAAAGCTGAGTTTTTATATGTCTGACAGGTATATTGTGACTGGATGCTATGATGGCTATGGCAGGTAAGTGTGTAATATTGTATATTATACAGCTTTTGCATCCTATATGTAGACTTCAACGATGCTTAATTTTTTGTTCAATAATTTTAGGATATGGAAAGCTGGTAAACTCTGTACACACATTTTGGATGGCCATTCTGGCCCAGTCACTTCTGTTTGTGTTGCAAACCATAAAGGTAACTGCGGATTAATTTTACCAAGGATCTCAGGTGTGTTTAGTTGTAGGATTTGGAGTTGGGAATAGTAAAATAGTTGAATTGGACTGGGCGTTTGATTTGATATAAATAAGTGTTGGATGTGATTTAAACAGGTGTTCGGTGAAATGTTTTGAATGAAAAATTAACTTTTGATGTATTATATCGATTTTTTTGAGGGGGTAAAAGTGATGACTAGTGAGAAGCCTGGAGAGACATACAACCAAACAAACCGTTCTGATGGAAATTTCAACACATTATTTCCTTAGTTTCTTTATTATGTTTTATGATTGTAAGAGAGTAGAGTGGAGACTGTTGGATATGCATCATAAGATCTATTTTGTGTAATGCTGAAATCAATTTCCTTGTTAAGACCACAAAAAGCATAGACTGAAAGAGTGGATTATTTATGATCTGTTTACGTGTTTCCTTTTGCACTAATTTGGTAATTGGAAAGTAGCGGTCTTTGACCTGAGTAGTTTGAATATGAGAGCCAATAAGTCATCAGTTGTCACCATGGGTTTGTTAATTTACACATGAAGCTGAATCTATAAGTTTTAACTAAAAATCTTTCCACGCTATTGTGATGGACAACTATTTCATCATATGTTTGGATCTCTGCAGTCAAGTGGCTGTGCGAAAATCTGTTACTTGAAAACAATAAGTTTGTACTTAATCACTTGTTAAAGATGCAAGCATGGGTCCCTTTTTGATATGATTTGGAAAATGTGTATTCACACGTGTAGTTTCTGACATAATTTTTTTAAGCATACCCTTTAATGATTACTGATGAGGCTGTTTTCTAAATAGTTGAGAGTGATGTTGATGAAATTATTGCTACTGCTTCTAAAGATCGGACACTAAGGTTGTGGAAGGTACATACTGAAAGTTTCTTGTTTTGGAAGATGGTTATCACTATAAACATCTTATTAATATATATCTTTTCCTTGCTGAAAGTTTAACGCAGAAGAAACACTGGATCAGCCAATGAATATTCAAGCCTCTAAGATATTAAGTGGTCATACTGCTGCTGTTCAGTGCGTTGCAGCAGAGCCTTTTGGAAATATGGTACTTATTTTTGCTCCTTGTTCTCTTGTCACAACAAACAAATTTCTGATACTTTTCTATTTCTTGTTAGGTGTGCTCAGGTTCCTGGGATTCTTCTATCAGGTTGTGGAACATAAGTGGTTCTGACACTGGTGTTTCAGTGAAAAAGAGGAAAAAAGATGATGCTTCTGATGGTGGTGGTGAGGATAATCAGTCTGAGGTATAATAGCATAGTTTTATTTGAAATAGTATGTATCATTGTGGCAAAAATTTCCCTTGTTGCTAGTATTAGTGATCTCCAACTTCCTGATCATATTTGAAACTTTAATTAGATCCGTGTAGCTGTGGCTGTCTTTACTTAGAAGAGTTTGTACTTACATTATATATTTTAGTGCTAAGAAGTCCACTAATCATTTAATCTATTCTATGAAAAATCTTTTGTGGCTTGTCGGCATTTGGTTTAAGTTGTATACTAATTATAATATTTATTATTAGGTAGATTTAGATTTTAATAGTTTGAATGATAATTATGAGATTAATTTATAGTTTTTTCTTTTTTTAATTAAATGTGTTCTATTGCAATTTTACATTAGTTTTTAAATAGCGGTCATCCCATTTTCCGCTATCTTGCTATAGCATTTTAGGGGTTGAATATAGCTATCCTAGAACGTCTACTGTACTAGTACCAACTCTGAGTGAAGTTTTGATGTTGATTGAAAATGTGATTAGAATTTACCTTGATGTTTGAATCTGAATCTGAGAATCTGTTGTGATCCTAGTCTTCGACTACTTTACTCTCTTGTGGGGAAACACATTTTCAGAATCTTATGAAATATATGTTAAATGATCTCTAACAATCTCTATGCAGTTTGTCGCTGCCATGTCTGTTGGAAATGATAACTAAATTATGAGCATGAATAACTTTCATGCGTCATGTGTTCTCTTCCCTACCTGTTATATCAACATGACATTGTTTTCATATGGGTCTTCAGGAAGAAGCTGTATCGACATTTGTTGGTCATACACAGTGTGTTTCTTCCGTTATCTGGCCTGAGCATCAAACAATATATTCAGCCTCTTGGGATCATTCCATTAGAAGATGGGATGTTGAGACAGGCAAAGATAACACAAACATTGTCGTGAGATCTTTCTACTTTTCTTGCTCTCCCTGAAATATAGCGATTCGTGATTTTGATTACAAGGAAATTTACGACATATCCTTTTCTCATATAAATAATCTTGCTGGAAGTTTTCATATTTGTTATTTAGCATATACTTTAAGCTACATCACTTGATGCTTGAGTGTCATGGCAATAAATCCCTCAGTCGTGAAGAGTTACAATCAATCTTCCTAATGGATTGATCATGTATTCACACATCTTCACTTGTTTCATTTTCTTCATATATGCATATATATGTGTGTGTGTGTTTGTGTGTAGATATAGAGGTGAGTATATGTTTATGTGTGAGTTTGAATTCACATGGAAAGGTTTATGCAAAATAAAGATGTAAACTTGGATATTCTTAAAAAATAATTTGTGCCATTGCTAATATATTGGGAATTTTAGTATATACTGTAATTATCGATAAGGGATGATTGTAATTATATGATTGAATTTAATTTTGTTTCTATCATCATTTCCTCTTGTAATTTTCACAAGTACTGTAATTAAATATACTACTGCTGACCGTAGCTCCATTGTGTTCGTTTAGTTCTGTGGCAAGGCAATGAACTGTCTTGACATTGGAGGTGAAAGTTCTGCCCTAATTGCTGCCGGTGGGTCTGATCCAGTTCTTCGGATATGGGATCCTAGAAAGCCAGGTCCTCTCTCTCTCTCTCTCTCTCTCTCATACACAGTGTGTGTCTGTGTCCGCGCTCTTGTGGATGTGATGTGTAATTCATACACTTACCTCTTGATTCCATTCACTGATAATTTATCTGCTCTCTGTCAATTTCTTTGGCAGGAACTTCGTCTCCTATCTTCCAATTTTCTTCACATAAATCCTGGATATCTTCCTGTAAATGGCACCGGGAATCGTGGTTCCACTTGGTTACTTCATCATATGACGGAAAAGTGAGGCTATGGGATTTGAGAAGCGCGGTATGTAATTAACTCAAAGTTCATTTCGAGCTAGGAATACATTCTAGAAGTTCGTTTTTCTAAATCAATCGTCTTTTGCAGTTGCCACTGTTTGTACTCAACGCACATTCTGACAAGGTAACTCCTCCAGCAGACTCATCCTCTACTATTAGTTTTTAGTTTGCGCTATTCCTTTAATGATACAATCCTCTCGATTTAGGTGCTGTGTGCTGATTGGTGGAAGAACGATTGCGTCATCAGTGGCGGTGTTGACTCGAAACTCAACATTATTTCTGGGATTCCAATCAAGTGATCGACAGGTATGAATTGTTAAAAAGAAAGACATAAAGAACACTATATCCCATTTTTCATGATCGGGTCTGTCCAACATTTATATTGCATCATTACGTTCTGCCACCAGCCAGTCTATAAGCAATGTCACTTTTATCTGCTTGTTTCTGCCGATGTTAGGATCAGTCCAATTTTGATTCAACAACAAATGAAATGGTGCAGCAGAGAAACAAAAAAATCGGTCTATACATGAAGTAAGCTGTGGTTGAAATCGGTTAGCTGCCATTAGAATATTTATCCTCCCTCTTATCATTATAGTTTTAAAGCAAGATTCATATTTGATTTTAGAAAATATTTCATGTATTTTTAGCTTGGGAACTTTTTATACAGCCTTCTTTGTCGAATGTGTTGCTTTTGCATCTACCCATCTATCAATATATATATATATATATATATATACTGTGTATTGTTTTTCGTTTTAGATTTCTTGAACTTTTTTGCTAGTAAATTTCTTGAATGTATTGTATCTTTAGGAAATTTGATAAATTAAAAAGTACTGATAATTTTGATTACAGATTTTAAATATGATGTTGCGCCATTATATTTTAATGAAAAACAAATATATGTATATTATATAATTTGAGATTTGCAGGTGGTCGTCATTCCCGCACGTGATGTATAAATTAATTTGAATACGGTCTGTGATGGTTCGATGAATTACGTCATAATTTTTTAAGTCCATTGACATTCAAAATTGGATAATAAAAAGAAATAGAAATTCTAAGAATTATTATTATTTATTTTTAAATAAACAATTAAGTTGAATGATTGATTTAAAAGTACGTTGTTAAAATAATATCATTATTCGTTAAATAACAGCCTGAATTATTATTATTTGTTAAAAACTTGCAAGGGCTCATTAAACATTAGCTAGAGTTTAGGCCCTACTCGGCAAACCGTTAAAATATTGGGCTTGCAACGGGCCAATTGAATATTAGCACAAGTTGAGGCCCCATTCGGTAAAATAGCAAAAAATTGGAGATGCGGGGGATCGAACCCCGTGCCTCTCGCATGCAAAGCGAGCGCTCTACCATTTGAGCTACATCCCCATATATTATTTTAAATATATTTTTAATAGTTAGTATAAATCAATATTATTAATATTACATTTTCCATCACGCGCATAACAAAGCGCGTTACCCACCTTATTTTGGGTACTATATAGTCAAAACTCTCTATCGTATCTCTCAACCGTTCATCTCACTAAATATCTCATCCGACGGTCAGGATTTGGCGCTCACCTTCAATATCAGCTTACGACGACGTCTCTTGCTTCCGGAACCCCGAGCCTCATTCCTAACCTAAGGTTCGGGTGCCGGAGCCTAGTTTTAGAAGTACAATTATTATTATTAACACGAGTTTTAATTAATAATTTCTTTTAATTTATTATTGCCTTTACTCTCTGCGGACCTGTCCGAAAAAGAATACTCCGAATCCTTCTCAGCATTTTTAGAGAGAGAGAGAGAAGCAGTAACAGTGAATGAGACCTATACATACATATATATAGATACATATTACATTGCATTCACTTGCGTGTGTATAGGCGGCGAGAGAAGGGTGAAGAATTTTTTGGTTTCGAGTTCAAGCTCCAGTTAATTTTGCAGTACTGTTTGATCCCCATTTTCCTGAATTTCTTTCTCGCAGCGAGTAAGCTCCAAGGAATGTTCAAACACGCGCTCTTGCTTGTATGCACTTAATTTTTTGTCTCAATTATTCAATTCAGATCGCGCGCACAACACTTGAAGCTGTAGCAATAATTGCTGCTTTCCTTGTTCGTGAATGGATTTTTGCCTTCTTTTTAATTTTTTGTCTGATTGAGTATTTAATGTTGCCCTGTATATGTAATTGGACCTGTGCTTGTCTGTGGTTTGCTCTTAATTTGGCTGAGAATAGGTTTAAGGTTGAATTGGATTCAGGATTTTGAGGATTTTGTGGGGATTTTTGTGGCATGCAAGACAGTTCTAGGGTTTGTTAATAAGTGGGTTCAGAAAGGGGGTAAAAAAAAAGGATTGTAATTAAATTGCCTTGTTACAATGGTAAATCCTTGTTTTAGTTTTCTGTGATGCTTTTTGTTTAGTAGCCTTAATTTTGTGTTTGGATTCTGGAAAGCTAGTTTTTGATTAGATGATTTGTTACCAAGTTTCAGTGACAAGAGATGTTTGTTCTTCATCTGTAGTTTGGTAGATGTTCATATCCTAGTGTTTATACTGTCTCTGGTTATTGTTAAGTCTCTTGGAAGGATATCAGAATTCTCCCAAATTCTGTAAATTTTCGTATATTTAGACAAAAGTTGTAAAGCTTGGTAAATTCATGCCCCTAACCTGAAATGCATACATTAGAACAGATGATTATTCTTTGTCTCACTTGGCTGTTTGGTTTGACCTATTTTTACTGTAAATAAAGTCTACTTAGCTGTTATAAAGTAGTGTCTGTATTTTGGTTTACTCATAATGTGGATTCTCTTATAAATTTTGTCACTTCTTAATTTTATCGATGCATGTTCTACAGGGAGGCTTGCCTTCTTTGGATTGAGAGCTGATGTTTTGTTAAGGAAGTAAGACGTTAAACAATTTTATATTGGCTGCTGACTGAGGAAGAATTAAATGCGGTTGGATGACATCGAGGTTAAGTCCATTATATGATGAATTTTACGTGCGTTGTTGTTGAGTGTTAGTAGCTTTTTTTACATGCTCTTTTTACACTATTTTCTTTAGGCACAATTGCTTGCAGTACACAGAAGTCAACCTAAGCAATCTAAGTTTCTTGATGTACAAATGTTGCAGCGCCAAGTCATGTTTAGACAGCTGCAGGACCTGCAGCGGAGGCAGCAGCAACTCCAGGAGTTGGGTGATACTCAAAACCCGAATTTCATAAATCAACTGTCATCAAAGCATGCTTCCATTGGCCAGTTTCCACATACACTTAACGGTGGGACTCCCTTACAAGATTCCACCCAAATGTCCCTATTTGGCAATATGGAAACAATGCCGGGCGGATTAGTTCTCACCCAAAATCGTAATCCTGATGCAGTTGGTCCTGTTGACCTGTTGCCGCACCAATTTGACATATCCTCATATGGGAATTCTCATCTTCAAGGACCTTCTAACCTTTCTGTCAATATGCAGACCAAGAACAGTAACAGTTTAGGTGTGGGAACACTGCAGCCATCACCGTATGGCAGCTCATTCATGAATCAGCAGTTCAGCTTCCCTTCTGATCGGATTCGTATGCCGGATGGCCAAGTTTCAGTTGAAGGTTGTAATAGAGAAAGTTTGTCTGGAAACTACTCCGAGCAAGGGATAGTTCCAATGCAAGGAAATGCATCACTTCTTGAATCTGAAGGTGGGCATCAAGATGCTGACTGGGGTGGATTTTCTCCTGGGAAATCATCCAATCTTGGCACTGCTTCTCTGGATCCATTGGAACAGAAAATATTATACGGTACCGATGACAGTATATGGGAATCATCATCAAACAGAAGCAGCAAAATTAGTACAGGAGGCTTTCAGACTACAGTCGACCATGCTTCTCAGGTAGATTCCTTGCCTTCGATACAAAGTGGTAGCTGGAGTGCTCTAATGCTGTCTGCTGTCGAAGAAACATCTAGCAGTGAAACAGGGGTGCAGGAGGAGTGGAGCAGATTGAGTTTCAAGAACCCCGGATCATTAAATGGGATTCAGCTTCCAAACTACAACGAACCCAAAATGCTGCAAAATAATTGGGTCGATAGAAATTCACAGAACACCCCTCCTCCAAGCTCAGGAACTTCTAGACATTTGTTTCAGAATTTGAATGCAAACCACAGTTTCCCCAATTTCCAGGAATCAGGCCAGCAGTATGGATCTTCCCATGCCACCATGGATCACTTTCCTGGAAATAGTGGCCAGTTTATCGACTACAGCTCTCAACAAACCATTTCCACTCAGGGGACACAAGTGAATCAACCGCCTCTGTTGTCTTCGATGTCACCAGATTCTGGCTTCAGATTGCAGGCGGCAGATCCTCAAGCTTCCCAAGCATATTCATTTTTCCCAACATTGGTGGGTAAAACAACTCATTTTATATTTTCGTTGCTTGCTTCAGATAAATGGCTACTTTACATTTATCTTTGTGAATAAAAAAATTTCAAATTTTTCAGGGGAGCTCAAGTGCAACATTTGTATGTGGAAGCAGTGATTCTGAAAATCAACACCCTGCTCTGCCGGCCCCACAGTCCATAGGTTTTGAATTTCCACCATGTAGTGCTTCTGCAACCCTACAGCATTCTGGTGGTCAAGAATTCCCTCCTTTGGAGAAGAGTCTGGTCAATCAACCCTCTTTTAAGTCAGATATGTTGCAACGAACGGTGCAGCCTACCCCCTGGCCAGATATTGCTGCTCAACAGCATGCATCTGCCCGCAAACCGAACAAGTTCTCCAATATGTTTGGATTCCCTAATCCAGCATCAAGTAGTCATGAGGCAACTGAGCATCCCAATAAAAAATCTTTCCAACAAGAACAAGAATCAGGTCCGAGTTTAAGGAAACTAGAGGGTTCTGATCAGCAAATTAACTCATCAGAGATAAATAGCTCGATATCCCATGGAAGTGAAAACACACAAGAATATGAGAAAAATCGCAGCGCAGAAGCCAGTGCTATTGGATATGATCCATTGACGAATCAGCAGCTTTCTGACCAACTAGGGGGAGGTAACAATGATGTTCCTCCTGGAGATATTGGAGCCTACGGTAATTCTTTGAGCCAAAGTTACTCTCTTTTGCACCAAGTGCATTCTTCAAGAAACGAAACTGATGGTGGCAAGAGTTGCCTGAGTAAATACAACCTTGTGAATCATCAAAGGCCAAATGTGAATGCAATGGAGCTGTTACTGAGCGGACAGAAGTCTGGAGTCAAAGATGCTGCAAAAAATGATCCACATGTTGTACCACAGCTTGGCTCGATTTTTTCTGGGAGCTTTCCGCAAGAGACTCAACTAAATGAATTGAGTAGAGGTTCGCTGACAGCCATTCATCAGAAGCAAGCAGAGACCTTTGGAAGCAATGAAGCAGCCTCATATCCATCACATAACAGTCTGCACAAGGCTCCATCATGGATTACGAATTACAGAACCTTGAAGGATGGGAATCTGCTACCTACGTGTGAACCGACACCTGTAATTTGTACAGAACACCAATTTTCAAACTTACAGCAAAATAATTTGACTATGCAAGTTAATTTAGCCCAAGGGAACGAAAGAGGGGGTTATTATCCATCAACAGCTGCAGTCTCCATCTTATGCAAGAAAGAAGACAGCCCTTCTGTTGTGGCTTCAGATGTGATGACTTCTCAAAAGTTGCCAGTCTCATTACCCAAGAAACGAAAACTTGCTGAATTTTCCATGGTAGCGTGGCGTAAAGAAATGATTCAAGAACCATCGGAGCTGTATGATGTCAGGTGGGTGCGTGCGGGTACATTTTCTTGGATTAATCTATTGCCTTCCTTACTTCAAATGCTGCAGTTATGTCGGTTCTTTTAAGCAATATTTCACATCACAAAAAGCAGATAGCTATGGCTAATGTTTAATTTTTTCTTCAAAGTAATTAAGAAATTTATTAGATTTACTTATATTTGGCAGCACTGTGGAATTATTATGGGCACAAGCTTTGAATAGGAGACCGATGGAGGTAATACTGGTTGTCAACAACGTTATCTTTTGTTTATGCAAATTGAAATTTGAGTGAAATTCCATCTTCCTTCATCTTTTGAATAGGTAAAAGATGAGGCTGATGTTGTCGAAGAATATACTCCGCCTATTCGTGCCAAAAGAAGGCTTATTTGCAATACCCAGCTCATGCAGCTGGTGTTTGGACCTATGCCTGCTTTCATACTACAATCTGATGCCACTTCGAGTCCCGATATTGTGCCGTGTTTTGCTGCTAGATTAACGTTAGGAAATGCTTGGAACCTGACCAGCCAACTTTCAAAGAAGAGCAACGATACGTAAGATCTTGTGCCTGCTAAAGTGTGATCCTTTTCTCATTCTAATTGCAACTACGCCTTGTTTTTCATTTTGAGTATATCGTGTATTATTCAGATCGCCTGATAAGCCAAACAACTCCAAGAGAAGAAAAGACCAGCAGTTTTTGGAAATTGTCGAAGGCTTTATCAGTCAACAACTGAAGCTCAAAAGTGACCTATTCAGGTATAAATCGAAGTTCTCACTAAAGCAGTTAACATATTATAAATTTACTCATCTTGATATTTTGACGACGCAGAACCCCAAAAGTACCATGCTATGCTGCTCTGAAAGTGGAGGCTCAGGAATTGGAGAAATTTTCTATAATTAACCGATTTGCCAAAATCCATATCAAGGCTACCCAACCCACCCCCTCCCCCACCTCAGTAGACCCTGCAGCAGCAGCAGCAACCCATCCTGCCCCCAAATCCAACATTCAGAGATATGTGGTAGCCGTCCCGATGCCTAGCACAGTACCTGAAGGGGTAGATTGCCTTTCCTTGTAGCCATGAATGTGGATAGTCTCCATTAAAATACACTGCAATACAGGTCAGTTCATCTCCAAGTAAGTGTTGATCAAGTTTAGATTTTGGAGCAATAATAAATACCCCCCAACCCCCCCCCCCCCCCCCCCCCTCTCTCTATATATATATATACATATATATATATATGACTATATGTGTATGTCTCTCTTTGTGTGTTTTGTCCTGCTGGTCTCTGTATTAGTGTAGGGAGGCTTCTTTAGTAGATCTAAGCCCTTAATTCTATGGATTTGGTAGCAATTTGTATGGGATGCATATTAGTGCATAAATCTATTTTGTTGCTAACTTTAAGAAATCTGCACAAAAATTAGGGCTCACTTTTGACTTTAATGTAGTGTGTATAAAGACAAAAAATAATCTGTTTTTGAGGATTCCTATTTTATCTGGTGGGTTAGTTACAACTTTGTTGTCTCTAAATTATCCATTTGGCTGTCTGGGATCTGGTTCCGCCACGTCATCATTCTGATTTTTTTCCATAAATAGCATGTCCAGTCAGTATCTGAAGATCCTATCATGTGTGAGGGCAAAAGGGTTTTTGAAAAAGATTTGAACTTTTGGCTTTGATGCATATATTTGTATATAATTATATATATATATATATATTGTGTGCGCCTGCTTTTTGTGGTGTTATATTGGTTGATGATTTGGAATGGGCAGAATAAAAGTAAGAAAACAACAAATATTTGGGTCAATTTAATAGCCAATAATAATTAATAATAATATTAAGTGTGTGTGTGGGCACAAAGGAAGACAATGATGTGCTGTTGCATATTTTATATGTATATATATATTTATATTTATAGTGTTTAATTTTATATTATTGGAAACAAGAGAATGGAATGTTTTGTGATTTTGGAACCTGTCTCCTTTTGTGTCATTTTCTGTTATTTTATTTATTGTTATGTGCTTCTTGCTCTTTTTAGGTGGGCTAGCATTTAGCATGAAAATATAACACACGAATATTTGTGTCTGTATTTAAATTTGGTTTGATTTGAGTTGCAAATTTATTAAATAATTGCACTATACATTGTCTTTTAGATACCAAAATGCAATGAATGAAGTTTGTTACGTGTTTTTCCAATCTTGATTAGGCCTAAATAAGATGATGCCACGTGTCCCCTAAAAACTTTTCTATTTTGTTGAATTCCTTCAAAACTATCATGCAATTTTGGTAGCTTATGTTGAATCTATCTTAAAATGAAATTTCCATTCAAATATTACATATATTGAATAATTTTATTTTATTTATTTAATTTTCAAATGCACTTAATTTCAAAACCCCCAAACAATTGAATATAAAATAGAGGATTTGTCAGAAAAGATAATATGTTTTTATTGAAAAACTATACACTGTTTGTGGTTGAAATTTAAAACAAACTCACTCCAAGTAAACATCTCTAGTTGATATGGGAAATGTGCTGAGATATGGTGATTTGTTTATTTTTTCTTTTACTCTAATTTTTTATATATATTATTCAATTATTATATTAGAATATTATTTAAATTAAAATTTAAAGTTAAAATAAAATACGGATATAATACCAACTCTATATGATATTTTGTCACCCTTCATTGTATTATGAGCACTTTCGGGCTTTACAATCTACATTATTGGGCCTATAACTGAAATTTTATGGCCCATGTCTTAGCCCATTAGAATTGAAGCTTTATTCGGTTACCTATTGGCATGCTAGCTTTTATTTTATTTTTTTATTTTTCATTTCAATAATTTTTTTTTAAATGAAGATTTTTAGTATTCCCAAATTTTACTGTTTGGACACTGTTCGTTTCTCTCACAAAATATTCAATCAATTATTATTTTCACACTTAAATCAAAATTAAATTTTTTCTAAACTCATTGAAACCGACATCAACCAAGTCCATTAAAAAACAACAAAATTGTCAGCAAATTAAAATACATGAAGTGGACACCAATAATCACACAAATCCAAAGCACATTATTGTTATTTAAACTATAATAATCTCATTTAAAAAATAGAAAATGATTTTTAATATTATACATAACGACAAATAAAATCATTTACATATTCATTTAAGACATATTCCATAAATTTAAAACATATAAGCATGGCCCGGGATGGGTATTGAATTAATAAAATTCTATGGGTTTGTTTAGTTGCTTTCTTTTTTACAATATGTTCATTAATTAGTACTCTCGCGACAGATGATCCCTTTTTGTTAACCCGGTATCTTAGGTAGTGTAGATTATTAAGTTATTAATAATAAGTTATGATAAGATTTTATTATTTTTTATAGGAATAGTATTGTTTGTATTTTAAATATTTTTAGAATTATATCTCAATAAAATATATGCAATATAGATATCATAAAATTTTATATAATACAAATGCATAGAAATATATATTTATTTCTTTATTATTACCATAAATTAGTTTTATAAAAAATGAAGAGTTTTAGAAGTAGATAAAAAATATTTGTTAATGGAAGAGAGAGATATAGAAATAAAAGGGTTTTTGATACATGTAAGATGTTAGAAGTTTAATTAAATAGATTTATACTTGTTAAGTATGTTTATTGATAAACTTACCAAAAATAGAAAGATATCATCTTTCGGGACATACCAAAAAAGCAATAGGGTCATCTGTAGCGGGACGGATAGAATATTTTATTCTTATATAATTTTATAAAAATATTATTTAAAAAATTACAGTAATATTAATAATTATGATATTAACTACATACAACATAATTTATTATAATATTTTCATATTTTACAATAAAAGTATTTAAAATTATAAAATTTTGAGGATTTTGTTGTTAATTATTGAACCAGACAAAGACATTTTCAATTACGCACAGATTTTTTGAGAAATTGACTGGAAAATCATCACTTTATTTTCAGTGTAGTTTTACTTTCCCTATTTCCTTTTATAATAAATAGCTAGGAAATTCATTTCTTGTGATATAAACATCATATTCAAGCTTTATGTCCAAATTTTAGTATTTGCTGTTAAATTTCCAAATTTAACTTGTTAATTTGTGGATTTGATTTTTGGATTTAGATTTTAAATAATTGTTTAATGCAATATAAATAAAAAATAATATACTATTTTTAATATAAAATAAATTTTTAGTATAATATAAAAATATAAAAATAATTTTAAATTTTGATATATATTTTTTAAAAAAATAATAGCAATAAGTGAAAAAAACATGAAAGAACACAATCATTGATGTGTGATTTTCTCTTTTTTTTTTTTTTTTTTTTTTATCAACTCATGTAATATGGACTTAGTATTAGTCAAATAATTAATTATTGTAAGTAAAAATAATTATATATTAAAATTAAAATAACTAAATAATTTAATTGAAATTAAAAAAATTATAAAAACTCGGTTTGACTTTATTCATAAAAAAAATTGATATAAAAAATTATATACTCATTCCGTCCCGCTGCAAGGTTGTCATTGGCTTTTTGCACGTTGATCTTTGAATATTAATGATTATATCAAGAAGCAGTACAAATCGAGAAAAAAAAAGACAATATTATGATTATTAGTCTCTTATAATACCAATACAATGACATTTTTTTTAAGAATAAATTATTCAAATATAAAGATATTTTTAATGTAAAATATAATGACATAAAAATCAAATGACAACATTTCGACGGAGGGAGTATAATAAAAAGTCAAATTTTAACAATGAATATAAATTTTAATATAAAAAATTATATATATTATACTAATATATAAATAATATAAATATATTATCACTGACGAGCTCAATTGAGCTACTCGCAGAGTTGAGCTCGAGCTCGGCTCATTTATAAAAAAAATAATTTTTGAGCTCGAACTCAGCTCATTTATCTCTATAAACAAGTCGAGTCAAGTTGTTAACGAATCGAATTGAACTTGGCTCGTGAACTACTCTGATTCGTTTATTGGGTCTAGCTGCGGATTACTACGTTAAAAAAAAAAAAAAATAATAATAATAAATAAAATCGAATGTCCGGACGATCTATCTATCTATATATATTAGTAATTGGGAAAGAAAGCATAAAAATCAGACAGATTGAGAGGCGGCCATGGCGACCAAAGCTCACCTAATAATGGTCCCCTTCCCCGCTCAGGGCCACGTCATCCCTCTCCTCCACCTCGCCCAGAAACTAGCCACACGCGCCACCATCACCTTCCTCCTCAACTCCGACCGCCTCCTACGCGCCGCCGACCACCTCCACTCCCAAATCCGCCTCGTTCCCGTCGCCAGCGATCAGACGCCGCCGACTCCGGAGAACTTTCTAGAAACTCTGCTCAGAATCATTCCGGCAAGAGTCGCCGGCATCATAGAGGAGGAGATCGTCAATACATCTGTAAGGTGCGTGGTGGTGTACGATCAGGCAGTCGCCGGAATAGGAGAAGTCGCGGAGAAGTTCGGCGTTGCGTCGGCGGTGTTCCTGCCGCCGGCCGCCGCTCAGGTGGTGTTGGCGTTAAGCATACCTAAGCTTGTTGAGGATGGAGTCATTGACGCTCAAGGCAAGTCCCGGACCACTCATCATGTCTTTATTTTTACATCATTCCATAAAAATTTTTGAATGGCAAAAATATTTGCTGGTTGACTCCATTTACATATAAATTTATGATAAATATTTTTAATAGCTTAGGTTGTATTCTTAAAAAAATATTATATCAAATAATTATATATTTTTTTAATATTATACTACAAATTTATTTTATACTTAAAATATTATATCAATCTCTATTTATATGAACATCAAACAACAATTCAAATTCTAACATTAATTAAAATGCATCTTAAACATCTCTAACATATTTAAATATATCCCAAATCTTTTTCAAAATAATCGGGTAGACCCGGTCTGAGTGGTTGGTGCAATTAACTCAGGCGCTCCACTGACAAAGAATCCGGTCCAGTTGGCGGCCGGCGTGCCGGCCTTCAGCCCATCGGACTTTCCCTGGAACCGATTCAAAACTCCGGCAAGGCAGCGCCTGATCTTCGCCATGACCGTACAAGGGCTAAACTCAATCAAATCCTCCCAATGGACTCTCTGCAACTCCGTCCAAGCCTTGGAGCCCGGAGCATTCGATTTTCTCCGCCGCCGGCTATCTCCGGCGGTCAAAATCGCCGCCGCCGGTCCTCTTATCGCCGCCGGTTCATCGCGCCAGTTAGGGCACTTCCAGGAGCCGGACGCGGGGTCCCTGGACTGGCTGGACCAGCACCAACACGGCCGTGTCGTGTACGCCGCCTTCGGCAGCACGGGCGTGTTGGGAGGAAAGGCTCAGCTCCGCGAGCTTGCGCTGGGGCTCGAGCTCACCGGAAAGCCGTTCTTGTGGGTCGTCTCCGGCGACGGAGACGGCGACGGCGGTTCTTTATACCCGGAGGGTTTCCTGGACCGGGTGGCGGACCGGGCTCGGATTGTGCGGTGGGCTCCGCAGCAGGCGGTTTTGAGACACACCGCGGTGGCGTGCTTCGTGAGCCACTGCGGGTGGAACTCCGCCGTGGAGGGCGCTGCCGGCGGCGTTCCGATGGTGTGCTGTCCGCAGACGGCGGATCAGTTTATGAACCAGGCGTATATATGCGACACGTGGAGGATGGGCGTGAGAGTGTTCGTAGAGGACGAGGAAGATGGAATTAGATCAGGTGTTGGTGTTGTCGGGGGCGAGGAAATTAAGGATAAGATTGAGGAAGCCATAGGGCTTAAGGAGAGAGCTTTGGAGGTGAAGGAAATGGTGTGGCGGGAACATTCCTGTGGGGATGATGATCCGTACAAGGAGTTTGTGACTTGGGTAGTTAACGGCTAAATTTATTTAGTTTAGTTTGATAGTATTTATTTTGGAATTGTATCATTTAAAGCGCCGGATATTGTAATCAATCTCTCATAATATTTTTTAAAATATAAAATAATTAATTATTTTTAATTTCTACGATTTATCTTAGTCTATAAGAGTAGTATATAATAATTCATTTTTAAAGATTCACCAATAACTCCATTACTCAAAGCATATGTATTCATTTGATTTTTGAACATAAATTTAAATATATTAATATTTTATGAATAATAGTACAATAATAATAAATAAAAAAATTATCCTTAAATTCATTTAATTTTTAGTGATATTATTTGTAATATAGTTTAAAATATTGAGTACTTTATATTAGAGTAAAATTTATTATAAAAAATAGATACATTTAACTCATACAAACAAAAATAATAAAATAGTTACATATGATATGATACGGACAAAGGAAAAAATAAAGTAAAGTTTTATTAAAGTAAAAAATATTAAAAAATTAGATACATAAGATTTTATTTTTCTTTTTAATTTCACCCAAATTTAAAAAAAAAAAAAAAAAAAAAAAAAAAAAAAAAAAAAAAACCACACAATAGCCAGAATTTAGAAGTCAGACTTGAGTGTCAGCGTCAACATGGCTTGGTGCATGTAGATGTATAAATTTTTTTTTTTTTTTAATCTAATTGTCTATTTATTTGATCGGCCACGATTTAAAAAAAAAAAGATAAAAATATAAAATTTATTTTTTAAATGCAAAAAAATTTTAAAAAAAATAATTCTTTTTTACTAAAAAATAGAATAAATTTAAATAATAAAAAAATAAAAAAAATTAAATGACAGATAAATAATATTTCTAATAACAGATTAGCTAATAGAAATAAATTATTTGTAATACATTTGTATATGTTATAAGTGGATGGGCTGGTGGTCACAAGGCGACCACGCAACCTAGGAGTAGGAAGACCAGATCAGGACATCAATTGATGTCCACTTGACATTGTGGGAAAGAAAACATTCATATTGGATTCAAAGCAAGTCGCATTAACCAAACTATTCATTGAGAAAGAATCGGAATTTGAGTCCTTACCGTGAGCTCATGGGTTCAAATCCCCAATATGTCACACATGGTTCGCTTGGTGTGACTTTTCCGTCGAGTCTGATTTGCACAGTATTAGGTTCGGCCGAGGGTTTACCCAAATGTAAGGCATAGAATTATATAAATCAATATACATAAAATTAGTCCTGTGAAGAATAAACTAGTGGCGTGGGGGTTGAACTTGTGACCGTGAGATTATGGGTTCAAACTTCCGATGCCTCAGGTCACATTGCATATATGGTCTCTTGAAATAGTATAAAATTAATAAATGTGGATAAATGGTATTGTCGTTTTTGTCAATGAATCTTGTCAATTTGAAGGTGGATCTTAAGTTTGTTCATACAACTGTCTGGCAATTGGGTTTTGGGATCACTCATTTATAAATGTGCATTTTTCTAAGATAACACACCCCATAAGTTCTTCGCAAAATGGTTGATAACTTCTATGTAATTTCAAAACTCAGCCTAAATTTTCTGTATATTTTAAAAATTGTATATTGTCCCTTATACTTTTAAGCTTATTGGATAACGCCTTTTATATTTCTAAAATTATGGCATGAAGCCCCTCTTTATATATGAAAATATAATTTTTCATCTATATTTATGCAATATTTTGAAAGTATAAAGGGCATTATTCAATTCTTTAAAGTACACAGGAGATTATGCTGAGTTTAGGGTTTAGAATTTACTGCAATTTTGTCTAAATTTTTGAGGTTATTTTGCCGTTGCATTTATTGCATATGATCCCTTCAGCTTGGAAGCTCGTGGGACCACACACCAGCTGGATCCACTACCTGGCCTTGGAGTCCAGGAAGCTCCCAAAAAATATATATATATAATTAAAGGAGAATAAAAATAAAATAAATAAAATAATTCTGGACAGGTGCATATGCAGTGCAGACTGGAAAAAAGCGAAGGTTTGTCTTCAAAGTTGGGACAGTGTATTATGTTCATGCCGTTTATGCGACTTCACCAGAATCATGAATTGGAAACCAAAAATGTGATCGAAACCAATAAAAGTATTGTAATCAAATGCATTCTTCTTGTCCTATAGTCCATATATAGCAAAGAAATTTTGGATTTCAGCAGACGAATCAATTATTTCAATATCATCACAGTTATGCAGTTTAGGTATGGTTTGTTACGTACTTACTCGGAACCAAACACCAGATGGAATTGGATGGTGGATGTGGATCCAGGCGACGACCACAATATCCTCGCATAATTTGTGGACTAATCGATCTGGTATCGGTGTTTCGAAATTATGTCAATCGGAGATTAATTGAATATGTAAATGATGTTCTACAATTAAAAGCGAAACGAGATTGGAGGAGAGTGAAGATGAACAAAAATTAATTGTAAGTGAAGAATTAATACCTGGCGGCGATGTGCAGAATACAAGTAAATTATCTGTATGGAGGCTACAAAATGTTCGTATGGAATTCGGTACAAATTTTCCACATCATGAACAAAGAGATGAATCAAATGCAGAAATTGTGTATATGTGACAGATTAAAAGCACAAGAGACGTGAAACGAACGGATTGTTATCACAAAATGCATGGATGACTAATTATGCTACAACCAGTATGAAAATTGCAAAAAAAATAGTGATAATAATGTTTTGTTTTTTTTTTCTAATTTTCTTGTCGCCAATTTTTTCCCCTTTCCTTCACCAGATGATCAAAAAACATCAATTAACTAACTATACAGCATTTTCTCGATGTTGAGAACCGTAAAAATCAATCAATTTCTGCAAAACGAAAACCTGTGTTTTCAGACGCACAATGTACTCAGCGGTTTCCTTAAAGAGCTCGTCGGTCTTTATTTCTGCATTTTCCGAAGGAACGAGGCTCTTCAGAGCCTCCAGCTTGTCGGAGACCGACGCGCCGCCGCCGATTCGGAGCTCCGATCCGGTGCTGCTCGTCTTTCTAATTGAGATTGATGATTTCCTTCTCAGCTTCTTCACGGAGGCCGCCTGCGTCGTGATCCTCGGCTTCGTACCCATTCGTTGGCAGTTGCGGCGGCGGCGTGAGGCGTAGGGGCGGTTGAACGGCGTGTAGAAAAAATGGGCTTTATGGGGAGGATATATATATAACCAAGGGTGCCCTGAACTATTGCCATTGGATTATGATTTAATTACGAGAATGCCATTCCGCCGTTTTGATGATCTGTTTGCAATATCTCGTGAAGAAATTAAATTTTAAAACATTCCATTATAATTATACTAAAATTTAATTCACATATTTCGAATATATGTTATATATATAATTATTTTTAAATAAATTAAAAAAATATATATAACCAACTTGTAGAAAAATATCTGTACACTATGAAGAGGAAATAAAACTAACAAAACTGTGCCCCAATTATTGCATGACGAATCGGATGGTCCATTTCATTTATTTGGGTTTGTAATTAATTAATATTCGGGTCCATTCCACAACGGGGATATTTATTTTTTCTCCACGTAGGGCTGTTTTGGTAATTTCGGTCACAATACGACACCGTTTTTGTGGCGCAAAAACGAAATTTATGGAGAGAAAGTCCGCCGATCCGCAGTAGCACATGATCACGGGGACCCTCTATGTAAAATACCAAATTACCCCTCCAAATCCACGGCAACTGTGGAGGGTATTTACGTCATTTCGTGCCGCGGCCTCCGTGAAGGGCACATGTGAATGCGGGGGGTGGGCCCCGCGGAGAGGAAAGTGGATGCACATGGGAAGCACATGCGCCAGTGCAGCTCGGAGTTGTACCTTTGCATGTGACAAAGCGCAGACAGTGAGGCAGTAATGGGTTGTACGCCCATGTTCTTCAAATCCAGGGCACACGTAATCATCTCCCGCGTCATTAAACCCAGCAATTATCCACTAATTAATTATGATTAATGTTATTATTACCGTATTAATTACGGTGATAATTATTATTATAATTGTATTACTTGTAATTGCGGAGGGTTTTTATCTTATTATTATTGCACGCCACATGTAACCACGTGGATCACGTGCCGCAGATGCACGGCACGTGACTACATTCGACGTAATTAAATTAATGGGAAATGTAATCTCCATAGTCAATTTTTTATTTGTTATTTTTATTTTGTTGCAGAAATGCTATCCAACTCATTCTCGAGATTCAATATTAATCCATTATTTAACGTTCTATTGATCCAATCCTTATCCTAAATTATTAAATTAAATATATATATATATATCATAAAGTACTGACTAGTAGTACTTTGTCCGTGCCTCAAATACACCTCGTTAACAATATAATTAAAATATACATTATTTTAAATATATGTTTGAATTTGTTTTCTTTGTATTTTAAAATCTTCAATTTATATTACTCTCTCATCTCTGTCCGATAACAAATTATTCATTTTTCTATTTTAGTTTGTCACATAATAAAGTATCCATCTTATCTCTGTCCCATAACAAATTATTCATTTTTCTATTTTAGTCTGTCACATAATAAAGTATCCATTTCATTTTTTAGTAACTGTACTATCTACCTAACATTACAAATACACTTACAACTTACAATATATTACACAAATGACATTACATTTATATCACACGTACTAATAAGATTATTTTAGTCATTTTTATTTTATTCCTACTATATCCCACTATAATATTATATTTCTAAAACTACGTGTAAAAAATAAATAAATATTTAATTTCGGGAAGGAGGGAATATTATTTTTCTTATTTTTTTTAAAAAAATATTATACTTTAATAATTAACTTTCATACAAGATACTTTTTTGTTCCTGTGTTGCTGGTGTTTTGTCTGTAAATGTTTGAATATTAATTAATATATAGTATAAATTGAAAAAAAAGAAAAACAAAATTTTTATATTAGTATCTTATTATACAGATATAATGATATTTGTTGAATAAATTATACAAATATAAAAATATTTTTAATTTTAAGTACAATAACACAGAAAAACGAACGACATATTCTTATAGAACAGATGTAGTATCACATTTGGTAATTGGAAATTATTCCATCCGTCTCATATGCCATGTCCACGTTGCCGTTTCTGTCCATCCCACATTCCATGCCACTTTCTTTTTTTGAAAAATGATTACACATTTTAATCTCATTTTAAATTTTTTAATTTTTTTTTAATTTTGATTAAACTAATTAGTTATCTTAATTTTAATTTATAATTATTTATATTATAGAATAATTATTTTCACTAATATATTTTTAATTATCTACTAATTACATCCTTTTTTAAAATACCGTATCTACGGTGTAACAGACACGGTACGCGGGACAGAGAGAGTATTATAATGTTATTTGAGATATTCAATCAATCAACATTACATTTGAATTAATACAATATATATGATATACAATTTACTGTATATTTACAAATTTGTTGTGTTAACATATCTTTTTATGATTATTATTATTGAGATTAATCATAAGAGATATTATGCAAATTATTGCATTTATTGTAGATTTATATGTTATACTATGTCCGTCCCTTAACAATTTATTGATAACAAAGTATCAATTTCATTTTTTTAGTAATTGTACTATCTACTTAACATTATAAATACCCTTCCAATTTTTAATATATTATACAAATGTTATTACCTTTATATCATACAATACTAATAGGGTTAATTTAGTCTTTTTACTTTTAGTTCTACTTTATCTAAATATAATACTAATATTTCTAAAACTCCGTACAAAAAATAAATGAATATATAGATATGGGAGGAATGGATTATTTCATGATTTTAACAGAGCAAATAATACGTGGAATTTAGTGTTGAACTTTAATCATAACCTTTATTCTTTTAGAAAAAAAAAATAATTAAATTGATTTAATTACCCCTATTTAATTAATAATTATGATTAATTTTGCATGTGCTGATTTTAATTTGCATCTCAAAATGACATTCAAGGATTTTTTTATTTTTTTTTCAATGACGTGGGAATTCGCAACCGCTATCCGAAAGTGCGCATTGGGTAAACCCCCGGTCGAACCTAATACTCGTTCAAGCATTTTTAACTTTATATATGGTTGCCCAACAATTTTTATTGACATACATACTAATTAATAATATTAAAAAAATATTACATATAAATTTATACAATATATATTATATTTATTCATAAAAAGAAATTATTTTTATATTATCAACATATTTTTTTTTTATACGTCACATAAAACATACTTTAAAAGCAAAATATAAAACAAACCTACTTTCAATTCTCAAATTTAAGATGGTGTGTGTTTGTTTTTATTTTTTTTTATTTTTTCATATTTTACTATTCAATTTATTAGGTATCTTTAAAAGATAAATAAATAAATTGTAATCACACTTATTTTCCTCTGTCGCACTACATTCATTTATTATTCTCACTTAAAAAATATCAAAATATAAAGTATAAAACATAAATGACGTATTTGATTTACTTTTTATGTTTTGTACTATTTTTATTTAAATGATATGAGCAGTTTAATATGATATTTTATGATATATTAATATATATTTTTATTAAAAAAATCGTCGAAAATTATATATAAAGAAAATGCCCTTGATCCAAACTTTGTCCTATTCCATGGTTGGCCTTATTAATGGTACTTGAAATACTAAATATAAAAACCACCTAAAAATAAAATGTATGATTTTATTTTATTTTATTTATTTGAATAGTAATTTAAATATAATATTTTATAGGAAATATTATACTTTTATAATAAATTATAAGAATTGAATAGCAAAAAAAATTAAAAATAAATAAAATAATTATAATTTACCAATTGATCATAAAGCTAAAATAATGTAATAATTGAGGACATGATATTATATAGATTATTCCTAAATTATTGCAAGAAATGAGTATGAAATTAATTAAGATGTTAATTATTATTATTAATTAGTATTCTTGAGCATATTTTCTTTAATGAGTCTTCTCATGATCTTCCCCGAAGGAGATTTGGGAATAGCCTCCACAAACTGCAAAACCCTAATTTTTTTGTAACTTGCAACGTTGTTTGCAACATACTTCATTATGTCTTCTTCTTTCTCTTTTGCTTTCTCGTTCATTACAACGCTCGCCGCCGGTATCTCCCCGGCTTCTTTGTCCGGTAACCTGCGAGGCACCGCCAACCTCGTACTCGAACAAAAAAATATATATAATAGTTTATAACTTACATGTAATTTGAAAAGTCTGCGCCATCTTTTTTTTGGTAATTTACAAACAATATGGCAGCCTTCACCAATCCGTCAAATTATACATTTAGGGTATGTTTTTTTTCGGAGATTTCTCCGTATTTCTACTGTTCACCAAAATTTTCTTAAAAATATCAAATTTAATATTTATTTTTTATTTTAAATTTTTTACTATTCAAATCCTAATATCATATCAACACACCCTAAAGGTTTGGATATAGTTAATGATGTGATATAAATAGATGTTGATGTAACGTTTTGAATATAAAATTAATTTTTAATATAATATAAAAAAAATAAAAAATACGTGTTTGATTTAATGTTTTTAGAAAAAAAATATTAATGAATAGTCAAAATCTTATAAAATTCTTTAGAGATTATGTGTAGTATTTTTAAAAATACACGTGTATTTCTAAATTAACGAAGAAAATGATGCAGATTTTTCAAATCAAATGTAGATTATAAGAGATTTTACCAAAAAAAAAAAAAATGTTACCCGACAACGGCAGCATCTTCGATCGAAGGGTGTGTAAGAAGTATCGCCTCGAGCTCAGCCGGCGCGACCTATCGAGTGTTATTGTCAAATTTAACAATTATAAAGTTATATATATATATATATATATAACGCGCTCGATTCGTGTAACAGCTCTACCTGGAAGCCTTTGTATTTGATAAGCTCTTTGATCCGATCCACGAGGAACATGTCCCCATCGTCGTCGATGTAGCCAATGTCGCCGGTGTGAAGCCATCCGTCATCGTCGATGGTGAGGCTCGTCTCGTATTCGTTCTTGTAATATCCTAGAGTACATATGTTTTCTTGAGCTTATTAAACAAAAATGTTCGACGAATCGAGCTGCTCGTACAATACCTTTCATTACACACTGGCTCCGGACACAAATTTCTCCCGGTGTGTTCGCCGGAAGCGTGCTTCCGGTCTCCGGATCGATGAACTTCACTTCCAAATTCGGAAGAATGAACCCGACGGAATTTTTCTTCGCGATTCCGTGTCCCTTGCTCGGGTCGCCGTGAGTTAACGTTATGCAGCTATGCTCGGTCATTCCGTAGGCCTCTTGAACTTGAACGCCGGGGAACTTTTTCTCGAACTCGTTGAGAATCTCCGGCGCGAGAGGGGCCGCTGCCGTCATGACGGATCTGAGTCAGAATCGATTATTAGTTGAAATCATGTGTTGAGAATACGAAAAAAAATAAATAAATTTAAGACCACGCTATCGTGAATGACGGATTTGAGTCATAATCAAGTGTTAGTTGAAAACATGTGCTGAGAATACGAGAAAAAATAAATAAATAAAATTAAGAACACCTTAGCTTGAGCTTGGAGAGATCGAATTCGTCGACGATCGGATTCTTGACGAGGCCTAATATGATCGGCGGGACGATGGGCGCGAACGTGACCTCGTGCGTGATGAGTGCGTCGAGGAAGAGTCGGAGATCGTAGCGGTGCATCACGACGACCTTTCCCTTGTTGCGGATGGTGGCGCAGCAAATTCCGGTGAGGCCGTAGATGTGGAAGAACGGGATCAAGCCGAGTATGGTGACTTGTCCGATCAGCTCGGGGCCGACACTGAAGAGGGACGAGCAAAGGTTCGCCACGAGGTTACGGTGCGTCAACATCACGCCCTTGGAAAGACCCGTCGTGCCTAAACGAATCGAATCGAATCGTTTCTCATATAAGCATCATCGAAAATCATCGAGTTTGAGTTAAGAATGTATGCATGTTAACTATAAGTTGTTCCTAAACGAATCGAATCGAAAGTGTCGTTGAAAATCATCGAGTTTGAGGTAAGAACGTCGCATATCAACTACGACTTGTGTCTAATCGAATCGAATCGAATCGTTGCTCTCGTATAAACATCAATCGTCGAAAATCATCATATGAGTTGTATGGATGTCGATTGTCGACTACGACATGTGCCTAATCAAATCGAATCGTTGTTCTCGTATAAACATTGATCGAAGAAAAATCATCGAGTGTATGAGTTAAGAACGTATGTCGACTACGACGTGTGCATAAATGAATCAAAGCGTTGCGCTCGTTTAAGCATCTATCGTCGAAAATCATCGTATATGAGTTAAGAACATATGCACATCGACTATGATCAACAATGAGTTTCTTACCCGACGAGAAAGGGAGGGCGCAAATATCCGTTTGTTGAACTTTTTCTTCGACGGCGCCGGTGGTGGCTCGCTCGGCGGCCTCGAGGAGCTCATTCCAATTTATCGTACCCTCGACGTGATCCTCGCCTTGTATTATAACAGGCAAGCCCAAATCCTTAACCTGATGCGAGAAAGTCACGATCGACATATTATTACTACAAATCGAAAAATCAACAAAAAAAAATAGCTATTATACAATACCTTATGGTACGTCAATGCATCGGTGATGATGAGCTTTGCGTCGGCAGCCTCGACTTGCTTCTTGATCTCCGACGAATGACCGTTGGGATTGGCGCCGGAAAAAATGCCGCCAGCGGCCATGATGCCGAGGGCGATGGTGGCGTACTCGGCCACATTGGGGAGGAGGACGACGACGACGCGGCCTTTGCGGAGGCCGAGAGAGCGCAAGGCTTTGGAGAACCGGTGGACGTCGCGGTTAACTTCGCGGTAGGTGTAGGATTTTCCGGTGACGGCGTCGACGAAGGCGACTTTGTCGAAGTAGCGTTGGACGTCGGAGAGTATGAATTCCGGCAGGGTGACGTCGTCGGGGACATTTACCGGGGGGTATTTGCTACGGAATATGATCTCTTTCTGGGCTATGGTTTGAGTTTCTGTTCCCATGTTGGTTTCTTTGTGTATGAAACTTTTGGATATTGTGACGAGTTTTATAGAAGGGGGATTTATTTTATTTTTATTTTTATTATTATTATTATTAAAATTGTTGGTCATGGAGGGCTTGTGGTTTGTGAAGAATGATGGAAGATGGGTATCGGGAAGGTGAAGTATAGGTGAGTCTTTAATTAGTTGTGATGTAAATTTTAGCTGAAATAATGAAGAGGTTTGGTGAAGTCTTGTTGACTCGTAGACTCTAATTTCTTTGGGAGTTTTCAGCTAAAAATTCGTTAATATATATATATATATTTAAGTATAAAATCAAAATTTTATTTTTTTTATTCTTTATATCATATACTAAAAATGAAGTTTACTTCACAATATGATGAAACAACCATTTCAATAAATTCTAATATTAGAAAAACTCAAACTCACAAACACAACCATATAATTCTTATTCAAAAACTCAAACCCAACTCTCAAACCGACACCATAATGTTTGCACAAGGTTGTTCCAATGCTATTAAGATATTAGTCAATACAATATTGATAACACATCGAATAGCATATAAAATATAGATAGATATACAAGATATAATTATATGCTAATATAATCATACAAGTATATAAATTGGTTAGATGATGTAAATCATCGTCTAACCTAAAAGCAGCTTAAATTACTAGGAATACACATAATTTATACATCTTAAAAATATAAAAGAACAACATATTCTAGGAATCAATGTGTTAATAGACTGCATTTTATGTGCTGTTAGTACAATACTGAATACCGATTATTAATTTAAATCAACACCATTTCACACAATTTATCACATTTTCAGTCTTAAACATACATAAATACTATATATGTGTGTACATACTCCTGTAATAAAGGTTCAGAACCAAAAGGGTTTATTGATTGATTTCACAGTGGGAAGATACAGACAAGAGCTTAGGAGTTCTTCCAAGAAGAGAGACAGATTGAAGAAAGAGTATATTGTCTGGAAACAGGACATAAGTTATTTCTGTGTCCCAAATTGAATAACACATCCATGTTCACTACTACAGCTTTTAAATAGTGTATTATTTTAGACAAAAAAACTTACACAGGAACGGAAATAGATAAAAATGGAAAACTGTGCTTCCTGAGAAGGGCAGTGAGGAGGAACCTGAAAATGAAGGAGCTTAGTACCGGAGCCAGTAGGTTCTGCGTCTGAACCAGTTGTAGTCGGGCAGGCCCTGAATGGGTCCGATGGCGCTGATCGCCACGTCCTGTGGGAGAACCAAACAAATTTAAAATAGATGTTTATTTGTCGATGAGGTGAGAATTTGTAGAGCATTTTAACTTACTCTATCAAATATGAAGCGGTTTGCGACGCGCTTGATGGTGCTGGTATCCACGGCATCAATCCGGGAGAATAGTTCGGCATACGGAATCCTTCTCCCATATGTTATCAGCTGCAAGCAAATCGACAATTAACTTTTTGCTTTTGCTCGGGAATAAAATGATTTGTGTTCTTTTAATTTCAATTGCAAATCATACCTGGCGGCCGATATCTTCAGCAATGGGACTGGTCCCGTCAATGTGGAGCAGAAGTGAGGATTTCAACTGCATGTTGCGAGCAATTAAGTTTGTATTTCAATCGTACAAGTTGCTGGGAAGGAATATCGAGTGGTAAATGTTCTTTGGTTAATTACATTACCTGGTTGCGAGCTCTAATCACGTCAGCCTCTGACACTCGGTAGCACAATTTGGTAATTTCATACATAATGGCGTAGGACAGATCATCCAAACAATCGGGCTGTGAAGAAGAAAGCAGAAATGAACATCAGTCATATGGCCGATAAAATAGATGAATAGGAAGTAAAGATTCGACCAGCTATTCATAAATATATATTCTTTTCAGGTAGTAAGCAGATAATTGTTAGATATAATTTTTAGAAGTAAGCAGATAATCAGAACAGGAAAACTATGAAAATTATAAAAAATATAAAGCCATTGCCATTCACAAAGTTGATTATCAGACACGGATCGTATTATTTGTCACCTATTTATTTCCTAGTGATTGAATTTTCAATCAAATCTACTTAGTGAAAGTAGAAACCCTACCTTAGCAACAGCATACACACCGAATAAACCGGTGTCTTTATAATTGGTATTGAAAGCCATCATGCTCTCTGCAATTTCATTGATCCCAACCTTCTGGGCAAGCTCAGAACTGAATAAATAGAACTAAATTAAATGCCACAAAATGGATGATCAAAAGCATCAACCGATTAAAGAAGACAACTACTAGCTGAATGTAAAGTGCCAAATGATAATTACCCCATGTGTTTTCCACCACCAGCATTTTTATTCCAAGATCCTAACATCGACTGCATAACCATTAAAGCTATTGAATCGGGATCCGTCCAAGAAGCCCCTTCAAAAGCAACGGCGAATTGGGCGAGAGGAATGTCATCATCGACCATCCTAACCTGTAGTTTACAGAAATTGTCATAATAATGACCTTTTAGGGTGCACGACATTCACAATATTCAAATAAGAGGGGAGTACCTCTGAACCAGTAAAGCTCGAAGGTTCTTTAGCAACTAACTCAGAAGTGGTCGTTGGGTTTGATGATAGCTTTGTGAATAGTTTCTTCACTTCCTCAACAAACTCTTCATGCTTAACAGCACCAGAGCCAACGATCACCTAAGATAAAAGCCAAAAAGGAAAAAAAAAAAAAAAAGGCAACTCTTAAATCAAGGTGGATACAACAGATGCCCCGACAGATCAGGTGGGGCTCATATGGAGAAATGTTTCATTGTAGTAACTACCGTTCTGGGAGCAGTGTAGTGAGTTGAAATGTAGTTTCTTAGATGCTCTTTGCCGATTTTCTTGATATTTTCGGCAGGTCCAAGAATTGTTCTGCCCAGAGGAGTATATTGAAAAGCAGTGGCATGCAGGTGGTCAAATATAACTTCTTCTGTTTGTCCTTCAACCTACAACCATAAGCAACAAAGGTGGGCAAGCTAAGTATAAACTATAAAGCATGACATCACACAATCTTAATAACAATAACAACAACAACAACAACAATATCAAAAGCATTCCACCACACTTTGATGTAGAAACTAAACCGATAAGAAGCATAATGGCTCAAGTAATGCAATTAAAGAGGTTGTGAGTTACGAACAGAATTGAGATTCCAAAGAAATGCATGACTTAAAGAATCTCATAAAAACTGAGGCAATAAAAGTCGGGATTAAACAAGAAATTCATTTTGCACCTTTCCAGAACTTCCATACCTACAAATAATACAACAATAACAAAGAAGGAAGATGAAACATTATACAGAACAGTTTCATATAAGAAAACTCCACCTCAGGCAATTTCCTCTTTATCTCAAGATAACAAAAACATTAAAGCATATTGCATGCATATATATATATATATATATATATACGGAAAAGGTAATATTATAGCACTACCTACAAGATCCACAATTCGGGGATTCGGCTTCAAATGAAGCACCCAACAAAATGAAACCACCCGTTGAAGATGTCATGGTCAGTTGTGCATATACATTTGAAGCACCATAAACTAATTAGGGTGAGCATGGTCCAGAGAAATGGAAATAGAAAAATGGAATTTTGTCTTGTTTGTGTGAATTAGAGAAATCAAAATTGAGAAATAAATTATTTTTCTTCTATCATAAGGAAATAGAGAGAAATGCGGGTTCAGAGATGCAGGGGGTGTTCATTTGGTAACTTCTTTTATTTTTACTTTTTTACAATTCAACTTTCACTCCAAGTACATTATTTTATCTTAAAAAACATCACATCTAAATTACTATTCAAATCACAAACTAAATCCAAAAAGAAAAAATACCAACCAAATAAACCATATTTATCCACACTACTAAAAGCCTCTCTTTTCGAATCTATTGTCCCCTCCCAATCAATTCATTTTTCTCCACCAGACCGATCCAATCCTATTGTTGCATTTCTATATTAAAATTATCTGTTTTAAGAATCGTCTTTGAATTCTTTTTCTCAGTAATTATATTATCTACTGTCATTTCTCAACAATTACATTATATGCATCATGCACAACCTTAAAGATCCACATACACCTGAAATAAGCTTACTTCAAATCCCTCAAAACAACCAAGAAGGGCAACATTTGCATACATGAAGTCACATATAACATAAAACAATGATCAGAGATTACTCATCAACAAAATCAACATCTACAAATGAGAAAAACTCAATCAATCAGGCAGTAAAGGTCAGAGATCAATTGTACCTCCTCCATCTCGCGGAGAATCACATCTCTCTCCCGAATAATCCTCGGTTCCTCAAACTTGGAATTCTGAAGAATATCAGATAAAATATCGAGCGCACGGGGCACATCCTTGTCCATGACCTTTGCGTAATACGTCGTCTGCTCCCGAGAAGTATAAGCATTCAAATGCCCGCCCATATTCTCAATCTCCTCCTCCAATCCCCTCGCGGTCCTCTTCTCGGTCCCCTTGAATATCATATGTTCCAAAAAGTGCGCGGTACCGTTCGATTCCTCGCTCTCAAATCTCGATCCAGCATCGATGAAGACGCCGACGGTGGCGGTCTTCGACGCGAGAGTCGACTCGGTGGCGATTCGGAGGCCGTTGGGGAGAGTGGTGACTCGCGTCGCTGGAGCGGATAGGATATCGGTGTGCGAACCGACGGCAGGATGCGGGGAGTTGTACCTGAGGAAGCGCGGGTCAGGATTTTCCAGCTGTTTGAGCTTGTGCTTAACCGATTCCGCCAATCGATCGTAGATCATGGCGTTTGGAGGCGGGGGCGAAGGGAGGGGGGGGGCCTCCGATGTGGCGACCGCAGTGGATAGAGGTGCAAAAGCGTGCAATGGCCTTCGGGACCGGCGGGAGAGCTTGATTAGATGTCGGATCGCCATGGCTGCGGCGGCGGTTGCTCCGGCAGTTGAATTTCCTTTCCTTCGAAGACTAGGGTTCGATCGGAGAAATGATGCGATAGGAAGCACGAACTCTTACTTTCAGATGGCGAAAACCAAAACGTCGTCGTTTTGATCCGGCCCAATAGCTAAAAACCCGGCCCAACTAAATAACCCAAATCGCAAATTTTACTGAGCCCAATAAAGGGCCCAATAAGAAAAGACAATTACAATTATAGACAAAAAATTTAAATAATTCTTATTACTTTATAAATGCAAAATTTATCTAAAAATTTTGGGTAATATAATAATTATTTATTGAAAATTTATTTACATCGAAAGAATCAAAACCAGTAGGTAATATGTCATAGAAATCACAGTAAAGTAACACAAAAGATTCTCAGGCAGAGTATGGCTTCCCACCACCACTTCTGCCACCACTCCGCCGCCGTCGCCGCCTGTAACTGCGGCTGTTGCTGCGCTTCATACACCCCATGCCACCCCCACCTCCACCACGCGCCGCCTCCGCCGCCGCCGTCGTCTACCGGTTTCCATCAGCCCCATTTCTACCGAGACTATACAAATCCCCCAAATCCGCCCCATTTTCCCCAAATACATCAGGACCGTTCATTTCAAGATCAACGGCCGACGCACGCCGCCGTCACCTCCCTTCTCCGCCGCATCTCGGCGCTCGAGTCCGCCCTCCGCCGCCGATCTCCCGAGGGCTCCGCTTCCCATTCTCTCCGCGCCGCCGCCGCCCGGACTATCCAAACCTACTTCCGAGCCTACCTCTGCCGCAGATCGAGAACTCTCCGGCAACTCCAGGACCTCGCGGCCATTAAGTCAACTCTGGGAACTCTCAAAACCCTAATCTCCAAAAATCCCCAATTCGATTACGACGTCGTTTACCATAAGACTCTGAACCTTCTCCTCAAACTCGACGCCATTCAGGTAAGACTGACCTCCCTCCCTATTTCCATGGCGGATCTGATTAAATTAAATTAAATTAACTCCTCTGTGATTGATTCAGGGAGATGATCCAATGATTAGAAATGGCAAAAGCTCTCTAACAGCAGAACTGAACAAATTCCTGGATATAATCGACGGGATTTGCCTGGAAGGAAAGGCACAATTGATTGGATTGAGGAAGACGAAGCGAAAAGGGGATGATTTGAAATCTAGGGTTTCAAATGTCCAAATGAAATTGGGAAATTTGAAAATTGGGAATTCGAAAGTGGACAATGTGGATAAACTGAGTGCATTGCTAGAAAGAATTGACAAATTAGCAGAGGAGATCAACGAGGAAGAAGACAACCAATCACTCAAAAACTCCATTAATGGAGTTTTGAGAAGTAAAATCGGAGCTCGATCCAAATCGAAGAAAAATGTGAGCTTTGTGGAGGACGGGAGGGTTTATAAAGTGCCAAGACGACCCGGGCAGCCATTGTTGGAGGACTATAGCAACAGTGAGGATGATGATCTTGATCGGGAAATCGAAGAACTTGACGACAAGGATGACGAGCATGTCGAAAATGGAGATGTGGAAAAGGGTTCGAGAAGTTACAAAAGCAGCGAAGAAGATGACGACGAGGAGGAGGAGGATGAATTGGTTTACGAGACTCGGTTGCCGGGAGGTGGTTCGATTCACAAGAGGACGATGAAAGTGCCGAGTTGATGTGTCTGTTTATTACATGTCTTGCATCCTCGTAATTTTGTGGGATCGTTTGCGGGTTTTCGACTGGGAATTGATCGTCGTCGGCAACGAATTCGGTTAGTTTTCTTGGAGGTTGAAGGTTCTATGTTATGTAGCCATTGGAAGTGAAGTGTTTTGGAGGTATTTTGATTGAGTTTTGAGGTTTGGATGTTTTGTAGTTTGTTTCCTAACGTTGTTTCGTGTTTGTGTGATGCAGTTGAGTCTTGAATGTTTTAATTGTGCGACATTTGCCATAAAACAATGAGTCAGTTAGACTAATGTCAAATTTGTATTAACTGGTCAAAATAATACTATTTTAAATAAATATTTTCTCAAAAATATTATATTAAAATATTATTTAAATAAAAATTTAAATCAAATATTCTATTTGATAAATTTCAAACATTTCAAACCACAGAAGAAACGGCTATCAGTTTCGGACATATTTGGTGGACGTCAATGCACAATTTGTATTTCGTATATATTTATTCAAGCGTTTTAAAGGTTTCGTTTATTTTTATACTTAATATTAAAATTATTTTTATATTTGTCTAATTTTTTTTACAAATATCATTATAATAGTATTAAAAGATATTTTTGTCTTTTTTTTTCTCTTAATTTATATTACGTTCTTATATAATAATTAATATTCAAATATCAACTCGCAAAAAGTAAATGAGACATTTAGAGTCGGACGGATATAGTATTATTTTTAATTAAATATTTGAATTTTTTTAATAGGTATTTATTTTTTTATTTTGATTTTATAAAATATAATTTTTATTATTATTTTTTGGAATAGAAAAACTTTAGGCCAACAGAGCAAAGGTGTATGTTTAGTTTTGACACAAAATATTAAAAAATATTACTAGTAGATGGTATTTAATTGTTTTTACTTTCGTATAAACTAATATTTTTTCTTGTCATTATGTTCACTTTTTTTTATATCATATTTCAATTTTTTTTTTTAAGTAAACATATATGGGTGTGTTTGTTTGAAGTTTTGGATTTTGAGTTGAGATTTGAATAGTAAAAATTTTGAATTTGAATAGTTGTATGATGTGATATAAATAGGTGTTGATGTGATATTTTGAATATAAAATTGATTTTTAGTATAATATAAAAAAATAAAAAATAGGTGTTTAATTTGATATTTTTAGAGAAAAAAATAGGGTGAATAGTAAGATTAAAATTTAATCCCCAAAACAAACACACCTTTAATTTTTCTATTTATTCAATACCTTTTTATTAATTTTTTAATACAATTTTCACGATACTTTATTTCGCTTTTTATGTACAATATCTTTTATGTTAAATTACCAGGGGTGCGTTTACTTGTTAGATTTTGATTTTTGGTTTTGATTTTGAATAATAAAATTTTGAATTGAAATAGTCATTTGATGTGATATAAATATGTATTGATGTGATGTTTTGAATGTAAATTTAATTTTAGTGTAATATAATAAATAAAAAAATAGGTGTTTGATTTGATGTTTTGGGGAAAAAAAATTAGATTCTAATTTGATTGAGTCAATATATAATATAAAAGTAATTTATATGTATTTTTTCATTATACAAAAATCATATGTTGAATTATAATTTAACATATATAGTATCATTGCTAAAATAATACTCTCATCGTCCAAATACAATAGTCTTATTTACTATTTTTTTTTCCGTCTCAAAACAATAGTCTTATTTTCATAAATAACCATATCACTATAAAAGTACCTTTATTTTTTCATTATTATTACACAATTGTGACTACTTTTTAAGCTAACACACTCATAAGGGCAAAAACAATATTTTATTCATACATTTTACCCGCATCAATATAATATTAATATTTTTTAAATCCTGTGTCAAACGCAACCAAGAATATAATTATGGAGTAGAGAAAATATATAATATACTCCCTCAATCCCAAAAATAAGTATCCATTTGTTTTTTGCACGTAGTTTTGGGATATAGTAGAAATAAAGTAGAAATGACTAAAATAACTTTATTAGTATGCGTTATATAAAAGTAATGGCATTTTTGTAATATATTGTAAGTTGTAAGAATATTTGTAATGTTAGGTAGATAGTACATGGAAAAATAAATACTTTGTTATGGGACGGAGTATGTTGAATATTTTGATGTGATATGCTTATATGATCGGATCAACTATCATATCCGCGTATCTTTTTATCTTATAATATTAACCTTATTTGTCAATATACATATATACTCCTTTAATATGTTGTAATTATATAGTTTTTTCTCTACTAAATTAAATTTATACTCTATTCATTGTACAATTTTATTTATTTAAATTTTTATTACATTTACTTTAAAAAATAATAACTAATTCATCGTTATATTTTTATAACAATCTCTTACATTTTTATTAATTCTTTACTAGATTTTTGACAAAATAACATAATTAGTCTGTAGAGAATATACATTGAGACAATACCTTTTATTAGTATTTTTTTTAAAAAAAAAGGGCAAAAATTTCATATTTTTTTGGTAAGTTTCCTAAAATATAATTTTGTTATTATTATTATATTAGTATTTTTCTAAATAGTGATTAAGATTGTTACTTAATTAGTTTTAATTAACAGATAATTACCATTTGCGTTAGCACTAATAAATAATTTTTGACGCCTTTGCCGCTTCGCCTCCTCCTCCTCGTTCTTCGTCCTTCCCCTTCCTCCGCAAATTTGGGTTTTTTGTTTCTCCAAATTCTCGAATTTTCGGGGAAGGGAAAGTAGGGGCAAACCGATCCGAGATTCAGGTACTGTATTGTTTGTTACGATGAGTCCCATTTCATTATACGAGTGGATTGATAATTGATTGTGAGGTAGGTAAATGATGTGGTGATGCGCATTTCATCGTAATAATTATAATGATAGTGTGCTAGTTATATCAACTGTTTCTTTGATTCGTTTGTGGAGCAGCCGTTCGGTGCTTTCTTGATTTGATGCGGTTCAATTTAGTGAGGAATTTTTGCTGATTTTTATTGCGTTGGATTCGGCTGGCACTCTCGTTATTTGAATTCATTATTAACTTTTTTTGTTTGTGTCGAAATGTTGTTTGCAAATTGATCGCCGATGCATTATTGGATTAGTTCATTCCAGATTTGGTTGTTCGGCAAATTCGTATAATTGTTTGTTTGTATGCACAGTGATTTAAATGTATTATATTATCATCTAATCTGCAGTCGTGTTTCAGATTCGTTTAAATTAGGGAGGGATGCTCACTGGGAATCACTATGAAGCGAAGCTGTATATGTGATTGAGTGGGTTTCTATTTTTGGTGCTGGAATTGCACTGTGGAAGTGCCGAGCGTGTGAATTTTGATTTTTGACCACAATTGGATATGTCTGGGGCACAAGATTCTGTAGACATTAGATTTCGGATGACCGATGGAACCGACATCGGTCCCAGCAGCTTTCCGGTGTCGACCAGTGTGGCAGACCTGAAGGAGAATATTATATCTCAATGGCCTACAGGTTAGCTACATACTTGTGTGTGTGTGTTTTCCAGGAGAATGCTGGGCCTGATTCTGCATCTATGGTTAACGAACTCTGAATTTTGTTAAAACTATGGACACATTAGTACATTACCTGCTCATTTTTAACTGGATGGATCTTTATTGAGTGCATTTACTTGTGTTTTAATGCTTAGGGTTGTTTATAATTTTGATAATTTTGAGGTGACAATGATATTGGGTTTTATGTTTTGAATTTTGATCATTTTGAGGTGAAAATGATGTTGGGTTTTATGGTTTGAAGGGAAATTAGGTGTTGAATGCAATGTCTTTTGATTTGCAAAAATGAAAATAAAACACAAATTCAGCAGTTTTTCTTTCTTAATACTGATTGAGGTCATAAAGTAGCCTACATGTGCATTTTTTAGCCATTCATTAAGTCCATTTGGTCTTAAGTAGTAGTACAAAATTGTATCAATGCTGCTGAATCCACCAAATAAGTGGAATGAAAAATGCTCCATTTAGTTAAAAAAAAAATTTACGGGCTTAGGTATTGTCATGTTGTTCTCCAATGGGAAGCTGTAATCTTGAAGCAGCAACTCAATGAAGTGATTTTGGAAATGATTTATATGATGAAACTCAAAAGTAATTTAGCAGCACCCAACGGCATTTAAACTGCTCAATACGAGAACTACCAGTTCTTGTACTGATCATAAATTATTAAGGAATCTATTGTTTCTATTGTACAAGAGATGCAAAAGTTGCCTCTGGGTTTCAGTAGAGGCTGATGGATCAGTATTTGTTCCTTCTATCCACTAAGGACTCATTATTTGATCTCATGGGATGATGCTAATATATATATATATATATATTTTTGTGAGAGATATGAACGAATACATTGTACTATCTCAAAAATTTTGGCTGTCAATATTTTTTCTGTCTGTTGCTTTCTAGTATGATATGAGCTTGTAGACTTGTCACTTAATTTTAGAGCTTGTCATTGTAGACTTAAAATTAATTATTCCCTTGGATTACAAAGAAAGTGACATAATTTTTGCGGACAAAGCGAATATGAAATCGTGTGTGTATATATGTACTCTGCGTGTAAATATACATGTATTACTGTAAGATGATATGATGCTAGAAGTATGAATAATAAAAACATTTTAGAATATATGCATATGAATGTGTGAATACATGTGCTCCCACAAGCATTCACAAATTGAATCGGAATTCACACAGGCTTATATAATGCTTTAAAGTAAAGATATATTTTTAAGGGACCATGTGTGTAGGTGTCTTGGGAGGGTTATCATAATTCTCATTTGTTATTTCTTTAATTTCTCTTAGCTTCAAGTCAACTACAAAACCTAGTGAAAGTTCTTGCATCTAGCTCCTGAAATCTCGTTGTGTACAACAGCTTAAACTTCATTTTTAGGTTATAATCACGTCACTAAACTGTTATCATGCCTTTGTTCGACTACTTCATTCCTGGTTAGAACACATTACATAATTCAAGCACTTTATGTTATTTGCATTCGATCTTATCTTTGTTATTCTGACAGAGAAAGAGAATGGTCCACAAGCAGCAAAAGACCTAAAGTTAATTTGCACAGGAAGAATTTTAGAGAACCACAAAACCGTAGGGGAATGCTGCAATCCGTTATGTGACATACCCGAAGGAATCATAACCATGCATGTTGTCGTCCAACCCCCCACCCGGAAAGGTCGGATCAGACCCCATTTTTACAACACTTTCATGTATTCCCATAGAATCCCACATTTGGTTCTTAATTTTATTGTGTGCATTTCACATGAACAGATGAAAAGTTGCTACGCGATCCTAAGCCGAATAAATGTGGATGTGTAATATTATGAGATTCTAAGCAGCAGCAGCCATGGCAGTTCCCCTCAAATTATCGCGCAGCTGTTGTCGTCATCATCATGGAGGTACTCGACATTTCTCCACGTCCCGTTTTCTTTAATGACTGAAAAACCTTTTGTTTATCTGCTTGCTGCATGCTTTGATAGTATTCAGTCAATGTTTTTGTTCATAAATTGAATATATTTTCTTCTTGCTTGTGTTGGAATGAATAAAACTACATTTTGATAAGCCTTTTTCATGGTATTATGCACTTAGAGTTAATGAAATTTACTGTTTCAGATAATTCTGCAGATATCTGTTTTATTTTATTTTATTTTTTTACTTTAAAAATGATTTCTATATAATAATGATCTGCACAATTTTAGTAGAGTTTGGGATTGAATAATGTGCTTTGCTTGTATTTTGATCTGTACTATTTCAAAATGATAAAACTAATAGGGTTAAAAGTTATTTAAAATCTACTGCAATGTTTTGTACAGAGCCTTTTGTTGAACATAATTGATTTGTTTGAATGTGTTTTTTATTAATGTTCCTTCGTCCTATATAATGTCATTTATATATATATATATATACATTAATTCTATTTTAAATTTTAATTAAATTATATAGTTATTTTAATTTTAATTTATAATTATTTTTACCAGTATATTTTTTTTAACTATTTATTAATTATATTTTATATAAATATTAATGTTTACATAATAATAATAATAATAATAATAATAATAATAATAATATTAATAATAATAATAATGAGGGTGTGTTTCCATATTATATACTAAGTTTTAATAGTAATATTTGAAACAAAATATAAACATTTGATGATATAATATTATGAGTATGAAATTTTGTTGTATATAATATTTTAGTGTATGAAGCGAAAATAAAATAAAATAAAATACAGAAACACATCACATAGTTTGAAATTTGGGTTTAGCATTAGCACATGTATAAACTTAAATTTGTATAAACTCTCAGCCGACCAATATATACTTCACTCCCAATGTATAAACTTATATTTGTAATGCTTCAGTGCTTTTTTTTTTTTTTTTTTTTTTTAATTTTTAAATTTTTTATTTTTGTATAATACGAAAAGTCGCAACCGTATTCTAAGTAAACATTCGATCAACAAAACAAATCAGACTAATTATGTATGACAGACAAAATTCAAAGGCATCAAAGATTTTAAGTTAACGGTAGTTAGATGAATATGATATTTTGTAAATATATATATGTGTGTGTAGAATTTTAAAAATTACTGAATTTTTTTGAAAAGAACATAACTTAAATTGCACAATTAAATTTCAACCAACCTACCAAGTTCCCGATGTGACGAGCCATTTCACTCAAAACATTTTTTTTTTTTCAATATTTTAATACATTAACAAGCATTTGTTTGGAAAATGAAAAATAGAAAGTGCATAAGTAAATTAGAAAGGGAGAAATGTAAGTTGAATACTATAAAGAAAATCTCATCAACTGAATGATTTTTTTTTTCAAGAAATACAAACACATAAAAAACGATATATATGGATATATAAAAATATCATTACATACAGGTGTGTTTATTTGTTGTGTTTTGATTTTGTTTGAATATAAAATTAAATTTAAGTATAATACAGTAAATAAAAAATAAATGTTTGATTCAATATTTTCGAATTAAAAAGATTTTAGAATAATCTCACATGTAAACACATTAAACACACCTATTGAATTTTTTGGTACATTATTTTTTTATCATATTAAAAAATCGGTATAACAAAAATTCAGTATGATAGATATTTATATTGATTATAATAATATACGGTATTTTCAGTATATATTGAAATACCGAAATAATTTAAAAAAAATTGATATTTCGGTACATACCGAAACATCAAACTATATAACGTTACTGTACAAACATATTCAATATACTACCTCCGTCAATCGCCAATCTATCTATTTGTATTTGATGTTATTGTTTTTAACATTAAAAATATCTTATATGTATAATTTTTTTTTTACAAATCTCATTACATTAATGTTATAAAACATCAATAGAAATATTTGTCATTTTTTTTATTTGTACTACATTTTAATATAATAATTAATATTTAAATATTAACCTACAAAAAGATAAACAGATCGATTGACAGTGGAGGAAGGTAGTATCAAAATTTTGATCTTTTTAATATTCTTTTGGATACTATTGTAGCTTTTCTTTCCACTTTTTTTACTATTTGTATTTTGTATATTTTTAAAAAATATATATACATATTGTTTCTTTCACAAAACATGATAAATCAAAATTTTCTAATCTAAACCCGAAGAAACACATCCAAAGTATCATCTTCTAGCAACAAAAATCGACTAAAAAAGACAATCACATAAAAACATCGTTACAAGTCCCATAATTACAAACAATTAGTGTCTCATCCTTTACAAAAAAAGGGCTTCCAAATTCAAAGAGGTCATTCACACATAGCACAAAATACAACCATGTCATAAAGACAATGGAATACAATGGCTACCCAATCAAGAAATTCGACCTAAACACAAACTAACCATCGATGAAAAGCACGCATCATCATCTAGCCCCCCCGGCGCTCGATTCAACACAAGCATCCCCCGACTCTCTGGTTTTCGAAAGTAGACAACACATAGTTTAATACGAATACCATAATGTAAAAAGCAAAGTTATGCACCACGTAACATAATCGAACAAATTGTCATGTTAAATTTAAGCGAGCGCAATTTATAGACAAAATTGCTTATAACATACGTGTAGTTTGATAAGTCTGCATTATTATACCCCGTGATTAATAAAGTAAATAAGACTTCCTCATATTTTTTGAAATATTGCACAATGTCACATAGTTTTAGGAATTTCTATGCAATATTTTCTAAGATACGAGGGGTGTGTTTCTTTTGTTTTTTTTTTCTTACACATTTTCTCAAAAAAATTACTCCATCCGTCCATCAATATTAGCACATTTGGGTCTGACACCAATATTAAAAAAAATGAATATTTTATTGAAAAATAATAAAAGTAAAAAGATAGTTTGAGATATTTTTGAAAATTCAATTAGAAACTAAAGTAAATGAAAAGAGAATGTAATAAATGTAGTGGTATTTGTGGTAAATAAGTGTAATAATTAAATGTTGATTTTTTGAATTTGCCAAAATTAATAACGACTGACGGACTAAAATGGAAAATGAGAATAAATTTTGAAGTAATACATTACACATATTCATTTTTTATATTAACTATACAATTTCCTATATCTCACATAAAACAAATATCCCTTCAAATTATTTCACAAAACAAACACACCCCTCGGAGTCTAATGCATTTTTTAAATCACGAAGGAGTATAGTGCACAGTATGACATACTTAGTAGAGATTCTGTGCAATATTTTCTAAACTCAAGGAGCCTTATGCATTTTCTAAATTAACTTTTCAAATCATAAATCAGCTATAAGCAAATTTCGCCAATTTATTCGTAATTCTCCTAATAAAATTTAGAATGAACCAAAAAGTTGTAAAAGGAATGCATACCTTAAGGGTTAATCACTCCTCGGACGCTTCATCGGTGTCGGACAATGGCAAGAGAGTGCAAATCCCGAGTACATGACCATTAAGACAGACATAATACTCGATGCAATCCTCGTAAGCACCCAACCTGCAACTAGCGCTCGATGGAATCATCCCAGCTGCCAGCATGTTCCATAGCTTCGCCTTACAGTACATGCAGACCTCGGTAGGGTGCAGAGGAGCCCCTCTTTTAATCAGCATTTTCCTCACCTTTGACGTCACAAACGACTTAAATATCCCGCGAAAAAATCCAATATCGCCGTCATCCCCTTGATCAAGATGCTCACAAGGATCAGACACGTAGAGAACATCGCTCCTACATTGTGGCAGCAGAAAGCTCTTCCCGGATGTTCTTGAGAACCGTGTACGGTAAACAAAGTGGCCCGGGATTTGGCTGCTGTTGAACAAGCCATCCTTGGTGCATCCCGAGCAATAGATGAGTAGCTTCCCTAGAGCCCTCCAGTTCCCATCTACGCTGTGGCTTCCGCTGGATTGCATGTCGAGCATCATCTTAGGGGCCCGTGTTTTGCAGAACTCCTTCCAAAGGACACGCTTGGCGAGATCATCAAACCATTTGCAAACACAGGAGAGTGTCGCGATCAACTTAGGGTTCCAATTCAAGTTGTTGAACACTAGGAAAATGATTTCTTCGGTAAGGTGCCCTTTGGTGCAGACACAGCTTGTTGAGTGTAGGCAACGATACTGCTTCGTCAGATTCATTTTTTGACCTGACAACAGAAATGAAACAATTTCTTTACTATGTTCGTAAGCATTAGTTAATCGTGGGAAGCCAATGATTCACCTTAGCAGGCTATAGTTGTATGAAAGTTTTTCCATCACTAAGATCTTAAACACAAAAAGCAATTAGAGAATAAACAAATAGTACAATCAGATTTCAATGATTCTTGAACTCTATTTTTCGAAGAAATTGAAGATATGAATGGAAATTAGAGAACCTCATATTCAGCATTTTCTTAGGCACTATACTTAAATTTGTATCACTTAATCAATCAAGAATGCCTCAAACAGAGACATGCTTTAAATTTGAGAGAAGTCTAAGCTCATTCATGTAGCAAAATGTCGAATCTTTCGGTAGAATAAGCTTATTTATTTTCATAGAAAAATCAACTATAAAACCAATAACAAAGAAGCTGAAAATGGAACAAACTTGACTGAATTCGAAGACCTCTTCGTCCAAAACAAATCTCAATGTTGGTCAAATGATAGCTAGTTTATCATCTAGTTGAAGCTTGGCCGTTCCAAATCAAATCACCACCAAATATATAGTCCTAAGAAAGATTGAAGACATGAAAATCCCACCCGATCGCCCACACAAATGCAGAGAATAATCGACATTCTGTCAGCACAAGTTGTTAGATTGCATAAGAAGTAGGATTCTAGACTGATCCAAAAGAGAAAACTACGGAACAAAATCAACACTAATTCGATACACCACTGGCGATAACATCAAATAAAACATTATATAAACCCCTCCCGTTCTTGACATTTCCATTGAATCCACAATCAATGGATAAATACTACAGAGATTTCAAACAAACCCTAGACGCAACAATTTTTTGTCAAATTAAAGTTAAATCCAACTGCCATGCCACAACTTGCATTGCAAACAACTTATCCACCGCAACAAATATCCCAAACTATATGAGAAACAACAGTTCAATCAAATTTCTAATCGCAGCTATGCCAGGACTGAAAATCTTCTAAAATAAGCTCCAACGATTACCAATTTTTTTTTTTTTTTTAACAAATGAAAATAAGAATCTGCAATTCAACCAAACTAATAGAAAAAATAAATAAATACGAGCCGCTTCTTCCAATATACCACGGATCAGTAACAAAACACGAAATCGAGCACTCAAAATCAAACCTCACTCCAAACGCAGCTCACTTCCGGCAGACGCCCCTAATTTCAGCTGCACGACCAAAGAATACACGAGATTTTAGGAATTTACAAATTAATTCAAAATCTGAGGAAACGAAAGGAAAAATTCACAGAAATTGCCGAAAATCGTACACATATCTGGAATTGTTCTTGGCGAATTTGGAGCAGAAACGATTTGTCTTGAGGTGGGAGAGATCAGTGTGCCCTGGGATTTTCTGAAAACAAATTAATATAAGAACAAAATTGAAAGAGGGCAAAAAAAAAAAAGAGCTGCATATCGAGCAAGCAAAAATTTAAAATAACAGCTCATGTTGACGGCATGTGGTAAAGTTACAGGGCGGTGATTCAGACGTTGGTGACAGGCATGGCTGTGTTTGGTTTAGTTTTAGAGTTTGAATTCGATTTTAAATAATAAAAAATTAAATTTAAATAAACGATATATAATATGATATTTAAATATAAAATTGATTTATTATTTTATTATTGTCTACTTACAAAATCTACATATATTTATTCTAAATTGTCTAATTACATTATTATTTTTTTAAGTAACTATGAAACTCATTTTTTTTTTAAAAAAAAATATTTTACTTTTATTTTATCATTGTTAATTTTACATTAAAAATAAAAAATAATTATTTTTATATTATTTTTAACTAATCATGTAATTAAAATATTATTTTTAAAAAAAATTTAAATCAAAATAAATATACATTTTTTAGGTGGATAGATAATATATTTAATTTTATATATTTTTTAAAAAATTAATGAATAATAAAATTTGAGTAAAATTTCCTATCAAACACGCATTCACCGTACTGACAAGATGCCACGTCAACAAGCAAATAAAGGGTTGTTTGGAGATATTTTCAACTACAACTAGTATTTTTAATATTTATAAAAAATTATCTATAATTCATTTATTTTTATTATCATGTCTCTCCTTAACAAAATTAAAAATAATAACAAATAATTTGAAAAAAAAGGAATATATGTAAGATTTGTTTACTTTCATATAGATTAGATATTGTTCTCAATATAAAAACTTTATTTTACATCTCAAAATTATAAAAATTATTAAATACTAAAAAGATAAAATAAATTTTTATTTCTTTTTTTAAAAAAATATTTTTAACATTATTAGTCAACAATATGTCTATCTATGATTTGAGCATATATAATCGGTTGTTTTCATTATAAATATATACTGGTAACAAATCTTCGAGTTTATCTGAGTATTTTTTATATACTAAATTTTTTTTGTTGATGTCGAGAGATAATATGTATAAAATTTTTTACACTAATCAAATTTTAATGATAATATTCCCTTACCTCTACATTGTTAAGTCGGAAGTAGAACTCGAACAGCCCAAGCAAGGTTGTCGCAAAATCAATAAAAAAATGTGATATAAGTTTTAATTTTTTATTTTTTATCATTTTATCCTAACTTTTATATTTGAAATCATTTTAATTTTTATCTAAAAGAATAAAAGAGAAAAAATTGTATAAATAAAAAAATAAAAAAAAAAATCAAAAGTTTTAGGGCATCTCTAGTTAAAAGAAAAATAAATACAAGTGCATTTTTACTATGTTTAGATAAAAGTAAAAATAAAAATATTTGTAAGTATGTGTAGACAAAAGTGAAAATAAATTACTTCTATCCGTCTCAATATAATGTACTATATATAATTGTATTTAAATATAAAAAATATCAAAACAATCTTATATACTTTTAATAATTAATAGAATATTATTTTTTAATTAATTTTAAAAAACAAATAAGTAAAAAGTGTATAAATTTTTTTTTATATTTTTGTCACTTGACTTTACTTATAAAATAATTGTATATGTAAATAGTATACTTATCATTTAAATATAATAAAAAATAGATACTTTAAAATAAAATAGAAAAAAAATAATAAAATAATATTTTAAATTATGATTGAGAGAATATAATATATGAATTAACAAGACATAATAGTAGGCCACACATTATGTATTAAAATTAATATCAACATAAATAATTATATATTGTACACTAAAAAGAAATATTAAGAATGATATAATAAGTAAATAATGAAAAAATATATTAATAAAATTAATTATAATACAATATAAATAATTATATATTAAAATTAAAATACTTAATTAATCTAATTAATATTAAAATAATTATAAATTAAAAAGTTAAAATATTATAAAAGTGTGCATTTTTTTTTTTAAAAAAAAGATAAAAAATATGAGATAGAAGGAACATATAAAATAACATATCTTTTTTTATTATTTATTTAAAATATTACATCCAACTATTATTATTTTTTCCATAAAATATCTAACTCAAATAGCACCACAATTTTCTTTTTTTTTTTTTTTTTCCCTTAATTGTCAATAACACCAAAAGAACACACTTTTACCATGTCATTCTATTTTATTTTAATTTTTAATTTGAATATAATATTTCAAAAAAAAAATTATCTACTTTTCTGAGATATTAAAGAAAAAAAATTGAAATCGAACTAAAAAAAAGAGCCATATTTAGCAAGAAGAAAAATGTTACGAGGTTTCTAATATTAATGGAAAGAAGACATACCTTCTTGGAGAGAAATCACAGCTTCAAATGCGCCCACAAGAGCTTTCACTTTACTCTTCTCGCTTAGGACAAGCTTATTAGCCGTTTCTTCGATCACATTATTCAGCAAACCTTCCCTTTCTTTCTTCCTCTGCACTGTCTGATGCTTCAGATTGATTTTCAGACACTCATCATCTGCGTTCTTTCCGCTTGCAGCCTCGATGATCCTCGATGTCCTAAACCTGAGCCTCCGGGGACTCGAAAACCTGTCCTTTGTGTCATTAGTCGAAGACAGGGGCGATGATGATGATGATGATGTGGCATTTACGGCTGCGTCGACAATCTCTGTTCCTGTCCTGACAGTGTCTAAGGTTCCATTACAATCGTCGTGATTGGAAGCCCCGATCGTTCTATGAGGCGATGAAATTAGCCTTTTACCGGAAGATACCGATGTTTTCCTTGTTCTCCCTGTTTTCGCATTGCTGCATCTTTGTCCCTTTCTGTTTGCGCCGCCATCCGATGTTGTCTTAAAACCGGATGACTCTGGCTTGTTGTGCTCGACTGCGTTCTGCATTTTTCGCTTGCCGGGAATGGCCATATCTGCAGATTTCGTGACATTTTGGGAAGATTTTGGCCATATTTTTTGCAGAGGTTTTCGCCTATTCTCGTGGTGTCCTCCATATTTACAAAAATCGTGGCAAGAACCAGTGGAAGCTCTGAGATAATTTGGAAGCTTCTTAGGTTTATCCTCCGGCGGCGCACTGCCCCCGGCGCTGGAGAAGCCCTGCCGATTGTTTAGAGATCCCGGGAAACAGTTGGTCATGTTTTCCCGATTATTCAAAGAACCTGTCATTATAGAATGGAAGAACATAAGGAAAATCATTAATCAAAAGTGGCGAGAAATTTTTGGTAAATCAAACATCTATTTTTCACTTAGTCGGGTGTTAGTACGAGGAATGTTTATGTTCAATATGGTGTTAATAATATTTCAAATATAGCCAAGCAATATACAACTACTCTCCCATTCCCACGTAATTTGTCCATATTTTTTAATTTGTCCTTTCATGTTTTGGAAAATTGATTATACACTGTAATCATATTTTAAAATTTAAATTTTTTTTAATCTTAATTAAACTATTAAGTTATCTTAATCTTAATCTATAATTATTTTTACTAAATAATAATAATTTTTACTAATATACTTTTTAATTATTTACTAATTATACTTTACCTAAATTCCAATATATGCGATAATGCTCCCATCTTATCTAGAACGGAGGGAGTAATAGACAAATTAATATTATACAATTTATGCTAATTTAATATAAAATGAGATATGATAACCGACTATACATAACACAATAATTCAACACATATCACATGTTACAAAGTTGCAATACAAATAACATACAAATATAGTACATGTTAATGTCGCTTAATACATGGTCTAGTAGTGCAGAGATGAACTTGTGACCGTGAGATCATAAGTTCAAACTCCAATGCTTCCATGTCTTGCTATCACACATGATGATTTGTCTTGTCGGACCTGATTTAATGTGCATTTATTACTCCATTCGCACCGGCTCAATTTATACTTTTTACTAATTGTACTTTCTCTATATATATTTTTTAAAAAGAACTTTACAATTTATATATCCACAGTCAATTTATCCATTTACTTTTTGTATGTTAATTTTTAAATATTAATTATTATATCAAAACACAATAAAAATTAAAAAAAAAAACAACCGACAAAAATACTTCTATTGGTGTCTTATAATACTGATGAAATAAAATTTGTACAAAAAATTATACAAATATAAAGATATTTTTAATGTTAAAAATAATAACGCCAAATACAAATGTATAGATTATTGGTGGACGGAGATAGTAGTAAAATACAATATTTTTTATAAATATATAAAATACTAATATTAAAAAATTTACTTGTAAAAAAGATATTAGATCAAATAAATACCTAGGTGTATATCATATCGAGCACAATTTGAATTCAAATGGTTACTATTCCCAAATCAGAAATCAAAATCCAAACCCTAGATATGTACACCATCAATTTCTATATAATGCTCAACTTGATCACAGCTCTCTAAATTACCTAATCCACACGAATTATTAACACACTAACAACACACTCTAAAAGACAAAATGAAAATGTAAAGAAGTTCTTTGGATCATACCCTAAGTACAACAAAAATGTATATTTTTTTGTCTTGATCGGAAAAGTATCCAAAAATTCAAGAATTAACAGCACTAACACACCATTGATCGAAATGTTTTCAAAATCAGGAGAGAAGTCTAATACAGGAAGAACAAGCAAATCGATGAGGTCAAGAATTCATGAAAAGTTCAATGATGAAATCAACCAAACCTCTAGCAGTAATTCTGTATAGAACGCAGATAACAATCCTAAAATTACCACTAGGCAATTGAATATCGATTATCACAGTGAAAAAACAGAGTAAATTAACCATACATTATGCACAATAAATCCAGATTTGAAATTCTTAGACTGAAAATTCCACAACTAATGCGAAAATTGAACTTACCATTTAATGTCGTCGCCATTAATGATGAGCAAAGAAAGAAAGCATAATCTCATACTACCATCACGGACCGCTTTAACACATTCGAAGGAGTTCAGAACGAACAGGACTTTGTGAAATCCCCAATCAATTATCCAAAACAATTCTTCATGACGATCTGTTCATTCATTCAAATTCTCCACACAGGCATTTCTTCGAATACATTGAAGCTATACGCATCATAGACAAAAAAAAAAAAAAAAAAACAGAGAAAGGTCGCACACTCACACGTCTCGATGATCTGCATGAGGTTTTGTTCAGTTGAACAAATCCGCAACTGAAATTCGCAGAAATCGGGATTTGGAGAAGAAGATCGGGAATTGACGTCTCTCCTACAACTGAATTCAAAATTTTCCCCCAAAATATGCAAATAACGTGTAGCAATTTCCAAACAATAATTCGGATGCGTTGAATTCGTCGCCGAGTGTTGTAACCGTTGGAGAAGATTTCTTGTTTTTGGATAACGTCACAGTTTTGAGAAAGTGGAAGAGAATTCCCAAATCTAATTAGGGTTTTGTTGGATGTATTTTTCTATCAGTTTCTCCCTCATGCATGCAAACTACGGGACTTTGCAGGCCCCGCCATGGATTGGGCCTCAAAGATCAGCCCAAAACGAACAAATTTCTATGTAGATCTGAACGAGGAACCTTCCAGAAGGAGACAGCTGGAATTTTTGTAATACTGCTAACTTACTAATAATACCCCCACCCGTATATTGACACGTTTTTTTAACTGTACTGTTTGGAAAGATATATTCCCTCCATTCCAAACTTCTAATCATTAGTATTAATATTAAAATAATTTATATCTACAGTAAAAAATAACAATATCAAAATAATTATATATATATTTATTAATTAATAACATATTAATTAGATTAATTAAAACAATATCATTATATTTGATTAAAATATAAAGGTTAAAAAGATTATACAAAATTAAGTACCCATCAAGGTATAATTCAAATACAATGAATTTCGGACAACGGTCGAAGATTTTTCCGTCATAAAAAAAAGTAAAATAAAAATAATAAATTTGCTTTTTTATTTGAAATACTCTTTTAGTACTATTAATAAAAATATATTAATTCTTTTATAAAATATCATATCAAAATATATTTAAATTAAAATTAAAATTAAACATTCAATTTCAAATAAAAACCAAACACACCCAATATATCTTAAATTCTGTAATAAAAAAATAAATGGATCTCTTTTCAATAGACAATATAATATAATTTTGATGGTTTTTAATTTTATCATTTTTTATTTGAATAATTTTATACGTTGTACTCCAAGCTATGTATTTTTTTTTTCTCTTTGACAAAAATATATATATTTTTATTTACAGTAAATATATATATATATATATTACATGTTATTTTAATATATAATTATATTACAAATTTATCACTATTATAATTATACTTCTTCCATCATATCACAAATAATTATTTTTTTTGTTCGTCTCATAAAAGATGACGTCTTTTTATTTTTAGTAAATTTATTCCACTTAAATATACTTGACGAATATTAATCATTTTAATTATATTTTCAACTTCTTATGCATAGTACACTCGAAATCCATTAATTTCTATTTTTTTCTTCAATAAACAAATATTTTTATATATATTTAAAATTTCTAATTTTTAATAAAATAAGTTTAAAGTTAATAGTAAATAAAAATATATATTTTTTATTTATTTGTATTATATAAAATTTTATTATCTATAAAATAATATCCATATTTCATATATTCTATTGAGATATAATAATCCTAAAAATATTTAAAATATCAACCACACTACTCGTATAAAAAATAATAAACTAAGATTATAATTTATTATTAATAATTTACTGATTTACACTACGTAAAATATAGTGTCTCTGACCAAATGGTTCATCATTTTTGGGACGGAAGGAGTATTATTTATACATTTCATTTGTACGATTTATATGATTTTGTGAAATTTTAAATTATACTCCTTCTATCTTACATAGTTTGTTTTTATTTTATATTTTCGTCAGTTATATGTAATTTATCCTTTTTTTAAAAAAATATAATTATACGTATTTTAAATTTTATAATTTTTAATTTTTAAATTTTAATTAAATTATTAAATTATTAAATTATTTTAATTTTAATTTATAATTATTTAATTGTATAATAATTATTTTTATTAATATTTTTAATTACTTACTAATTATATTTTAATTAAATTTATATATATATATAAACAGTAATAAATCCAAATTATATGGAATAACTAATACTTCATTCGTCGTATAAATATGTGCTCATTTGATTTGATACGTATTTTAATAAAAGTGAGTAATAATTATTAATTTTTTTATAGTAAAAAATAATACACAAATGAAATGATTTTTTACTTAAAAAATAAATGAAAATATTTTTTAATGATAATTTAAAAAAAATTAGTATAAATTTGAATGACGGATGTAGTACGGTAAAAATTGTGATGCCAACGTGTTAATAATTAAATAAAAGAAATAAAGACAGAAAAGTTGCGTACGTTATTCGAATAGAAGTGTACGGAGATAGAAAACAATCGCTTTTGAGTTTTGTCTAGTTCGGTCACTTTCAGATCATAATTCTTGGGAGCTCCCGGGTGTTAACTTCCTATATGACAGTGCAAGTGCAACGCTATGCGGATGGACCCTCTGGAGTTCGTAGGCTCCCGGACTTCATGCAAAGTACGTATGTTTTTTATTTTTATCTTTTTTTTATTATTAAAAATAAAATGTATTTTTCATATTAGCTTCAAAAATAATGAAAATGAAATGAATTTGGAAGTTACTATTGGCACAAATAGATCAAAATTAACATATAGTTTGGCATCGCGGCGGAACTAGGACCCCTTTGTGTGGAGGCATCCCTTCTCCCGAAGTTACGGGGCTATTTTGCCGAATTCTTTAAAAAGAGTTGTCTCGGGCCTCTAGGTATTCTCTATTTACCTACCTGTGTTGGTTTCGGGAACGAAAGAAGTTTATTTTAAAAATCTTTGAAATAAAAAAGAATTATTTATTATATAAAATAATTTTATTCCTCACGAGGTCATATTTAAAAATTTTGCAAAATACTCCCTCCGTCCACAAAAAAAGTATACAATTATTTTTGGCGCGGTGTTTAAGAAATAATAGTATTTTAATTATAGTGGGTAGTTAAAAGTAGTGTAATGATATTTTTGTCTTTGCTTTTTGGTGTAAAAATAATGATGTGATGTAAAGTAGGGGTATTTGTGGAAAAAAGTAAGGTATTTAATGAAATGTTTACTTTGTAATTGAACGTCCCAAAATAGAAACATGTGTACTTTCTAGCTGGACGGAGGGAGTAATAAACTACAATAATATCAATTACATAATAATTTTTTATTAGATTTTTTTTTAAAAAAAAATATCGGAGATTGTTTCTTCAACATATTTTTCTAATATCTTTTAATTTTATTAAAAATTAATTTTATATTTAAAAATCACATCATATTTATTTATATCAGATAAAAGATATTCAAATTTTAAAAATTTTATTATTTAAAACCTAAATTTAAAATCCACACAAATATACTTTATACTCCTATAAATTAGTATATTTTTAGTTATTCTATATTTTTTATATACCAGATATAAAATATTATATATATATTGTTGATCGGTCTACTACAACAATGGTATATTCTGTGTTCATTTTGTATATTTGGATGAATGTATTTTTTTTTATATTAAATACGAGAACCGTATCGAAAATATAAAAATAATATTTTTTTATATTGAATTGTTAATTTTGTGTATATGCATATATGAAATGTTTTTTTTATATATAGGATATGTGAATTATATCGCTAATATATGAAAAAATATTTTAAATTGTTGATTTTTTTTTTTTTTAAAATAAAATTATGTGGTAGTATCACTTAAAAAAAAGATTGGGCGTACCAAACCTGCAATTTAGTCATAATTTTCAAAATTTTATTTCAATAAAAAATATATTATAATTCATTCACTTAATATTTTTAAATAAAATTATTCTCTATAAATATTAATAAAAAGTACTATATATATGTATAATATTTTATCAACTGATAAAATATCAATAATTTAATATAAAATATTATTTTATATAATTTTTTATATCTAATATAAAAAATACATCTATCTAAAATTAGGTATATTTAAATACATATTTATGACATAACTTTTATTAATTATATAAAATATTTATCTATTTATATAATACTCCCTCCGTCCCAGATACCATATCCACGTTGTCGTTTCTCTCCGTCCCACATACCATGTGACTTTCATTTTTTGAAAAATGATTACATACTTTAATCTCATTTTAAATTTTTTAATTTTTTAAATTTTAACTAAACTAATTAGTTATCTTAATCTTAATTTATAATTATTTATATTATAAAATAATTATTTTCACTAATATATTCTTAATTATCTATTAATTACATCTCTCATAAAATACAGTGTCTACAGTGTAACAGACACGGTATTTGAGACAAATGGAGTGTATTTTGTTTTCTATAGATATAATATATATATATATTGTATAATTGTTGAAATATTTATTGCATATTAATTTAATTTTACTTAAATATATTATATCATATTTGGAGTTATGTATTATCCTACTACCTTGGTTAATAAGTGTCTTCTTTTTGTGTTTGTTTGATATATTTCTATAATTATTAGAAAATTATTATATTGCGAGAATATCAAATAATTATCGAAAAATAAAATTCGATAATTACGTCAAATTGTGGTAAAATCTCTCTATTAAAACAAATAATTCCTGGTAGTGCAAGCGAAAAATGAATTATGCGTATCTCTAGTCATAGTGTGAAGAATTATGTCCAGTAAGGAATGACGGGTTGGACTTGTGACCGTGAGGTCATGGGTTTAAACTTCTGACACCTCAGGTCACCTGCCACACATGGTTCGCCTAATGGGACTTTCTCGTCGGGCCTGGTTTGCAGGGTATTAGGTTCAAAAAAATAAAATACTCCATCTGTCCCAAAATAATAGTCTTATAACCATAAAACTACGCCGACCAACCCAATTAAAACTATATTTATGGGACGGAGTGAGTATAAGATAGATGTTATGTACATTTTTAAAATCACAAGAATAAATTTAGATAAATAATCTTGCAAATGACTTCACGTACAAGTTTCAACGGCCTAGCATATTACAACATTGTATCTCATCAATATTTTCAATAGCTTGATATACTAAATAATAAGTACTTGTTCATATATACGAAAAAAATATATATACATATATATTAATAATACAAATTATAATTTGTCACAAGAATTATAGGTTCTAATAATTTAAATTTAAATTTAAAAAAATATAAAATTAAAATGTTACAATCAAATTATTGAATGATAGAACAAGGCACATGCACATCACACGGCCGCAATGGGCATTTCCCTATTTATGGAGGCCACAAGATGTCATCAATCAATATTCATACCTATAAATGTATGTATATGCAATTATATATATATATATATTTTAGTTATGTATGGTTTTTTTTTTTTTTTTTCAATTGGTAAAATTATATTCTCTTCGTTTCAATACAATAGTCTTGTTTATCATTTTTGTCTGTTTCAAAACAATAGTCTTATTTTCATAAATAATCATATCACTATAAAATTATCATTACTTTTTCATTATTATTACACAATTGTCATTACTTTTTACACTAATACACTCACAAGGGCAAATAAGTATTTCACCTGTACTTTTTACCCACTACGAATATAATATCAATATTTTTTTAAATCTCGTGCTAAATACAAACTAGATTATAGTTCTGGAACGGAGGGAATATAAGTTTATTTCAATATAAAATTAAAAATAATAATATTTTAATATTAAGATGGGGCAAGTAAAAAATAAAATACAAGTATTATAAAAATGTATTAAATGATTAATAAAAAAGGTAAGGGAGTAAATAGAAAAAGATAGTGATAAGTTGATCATTATTTGCTAATATAAAAATAATAAAATTATGATTTTAAAAAAAAGAACAATATCATAATTTTGGGATGAAAGAAGTAGTATTTCAATAATATTTTAACTGAAGTCTATATACTTCCGTGGTTTCATTGAAATGTTGTCATTTTTTATTTTTATCCATAAAAAAAAAACAAAAATACTTCTATTAATGTTACTAATAGAAGAACATTTGTATAAAAAAAAAGTTATACAAATATAAAATTATTTTTAATGTTTAAATACAACAAAAAAATTGTATAAATATAAAATTATTTTTAATACTAAGTACAAAAGACAAATATAATCTTGTGGACGAAGAAAATATGACATCTTCAATATTAGCGAGCTTTCCGGCGACTAATTATTAGATATAGCTATATATAAACTTTAATAAAATGATTAAAGTGATAACAAGTGCTATAAATTAGACGGAAAATATATATATATATATCCTTTTATTTCAGGGTAAATTGTTTTTTTTAGTTTCTTAATTTGATTCCCTTATCATTTTAGTATCGTAAGGGGAGCCTATCGTAAACTAGTTTTATAAGTGAAATTTTTTCGCTATTTTAGTCCTCCGGCGCCGGAGACGCCTGCGTGGCTCGTCGGAGGTCATGTGTCCGCCAAGTCAGCGACACCTGGCGAACACGTGGATTTTATTTTTTATTTTTATTTTTTATTTTTTTTAAAAAAAATTATTTTTAATTTATTTTTAATTTTATTTGTTTTTTTTTAAAATTTTTTTATTTGGTCCAATTAAAAAAATTTAAAAAATTTAAAAAAAAAAAAAAAATTCACGTGTCCGTCCGTCGGGTGTCGCTGACCTAGCGGACACATGGCTTCCGGCGAGCCACGCAAGCATCTCCGGCGCCAGAGGACTAAAACAACGAAAAAATTTCATTTATAAAACTAGTTTGCAACATGCTCGACTTACGCGACTAAAATAACAAAGAGTGTCCATTTACGAGATTAAAAAAATAATTTACCCTTTATTTTATAACGTATAAATTGACAACGATTATTTTCCACTAGTATAATAATCTGCAAATTATGTCAATAGAGAAAACTGTATATCTTAACTGTATATCCTGAATACTTCATGTATATATATATATATATATAATTAAATAAATAATTAATTAAGACAGGAAGAAGTTTTGGACAAGTGATGAATTTATTGCATGGCATCTGTTTCAACACAAATATTATTGAGCCTCTGAAGATTGAATCAATGTCTGTTTCTCTGTCCTTATTATTATATACACACATATTATATTCTTTTCATGATAGGCTTAATATCAATTATTAGACTTCATGATTAATTGAGATCTTATCATATATACAAATTTGAAACCAACATTTCATTGTTCAGTAATAATTTTTTTTTTACTATTCAATTTTATATTTTTACATAAAATAATACTCAATCCCTCGTCCAATTGTATGCTTCTTTGACCGAGCACGAATTTAATAATAAAGAAAAGGTAAAAATTAAAATTTTTTACTTTTTTGAGTAAAGAAAAAATAGAAAAGTGGTATTTTTTACTAAAAGATAAAACGAAAATAAATTTAAATGACAAAAAAAAATGTAAAAATAGATTTAGATAACAAATGAAGATGGAGTATTATTTTACTTCAAAAATATTAATTTTTTTGTTCTAAAAAAAATCAGTGCCAATTAATCCAAATGAATTCTTTAAAATAAATAAATATATATAACATAAGATTATCGCTTTTGTATCAAATCAGTATATATTTATACAGAAAGTAGCATATTCCGACAACATATTTTAATATAATACATAATATATATTTTGATAATATATTATATAATTGTATATATCTCAATATATTCTGATTTCAACTTTATACATTACAACACAATATATAACTCAAAAAAAATATTAATACAATATAATATCATACTATTATATAATAAAATAGATTATATAATATAATACAATATATAACTCACACAACAAATGTACTCACAAAGTCCCAAATACCCTGCAATATTTCTTTATTGGTATGTCCCAAACATCATGCAATATTTTCAAAATAGGAAATGATTTATCTTTACTCCATACTTTATCCCCTCGTATTATCCAAATAAAAAAATAATTTCTAAATGATCCTACTTAATACTACTTGCCTAAAAACTCGTGCCAAAAGCAAATGTTGCACCTTATTTGGGACGGAGGGAGTACTATTTATCTTGTGATGAAATATTAATTGGTTCATATTGGTATACTAATTTTGTCAAATCAAACACTCTAACTGATCTCGAAGATAATTCACATATTTTTATTTTTAATAGTTTATTTTGGATAACAAGGATTTGATATTTTTCAATATTAAAAAAAAAAAATTTAATATAATATTTTAAATAAAGTATACTTCTTTCATTTTCTATAATTGTCAATTTTTTTTATATATATTAAATTTATATATAATTTATTTATAGTAAATTACTTTATTATTATCTCTATTTTAACAATAGTAATAATCAATTTACGAATAAATTTTTTCCATTTATCCACTATATTATTATTAATTTTTTAATAAATTTTATATAATTATCTTATTTTATTTTTTAATTATTTGTTATATAAAAAATATTATTATTTTTTAATCTTTGTATCTAAATATTGTGTCATAATTAGCTCTGATGAAAAGAATAATAAATATGAATATTTTTCTAAAAAAACAAAAGAAAAAATTGAAAACAGGATACAAACATAACATATCTTTTTAAACTTGCCAACGAAACTTTTTTTAATTTATTTTTTATTTTTTTATTTATCACCTTCACCTTTCATTAATAGTAACATATAGTATGTGTTTGTTGTCAATATTTTAAGTGTTAAATATATATATATATATATATTTAAACCACATGCCAAGAAAGCTTTATAATTCTCTTGAAAAAAAGTTTGCTTTTTTATGTGTATGTTCATTTTGTATTTTGGATGTATATTTATTTGTTTGTCATGCTTTATTTTTTTTAGTAAAAAGTTATACTACTTTCGTCCCATAAAAAAAGATAATATTTATCTTTTGCGTCATTATCTTTAACGTTAAAAATATTTTTATATTTGTATAATTTACTCCACTAATATCATTGTATTTGTATTAGAAGAAATTAATAGAGATATTTTTATCATTTTCTTTTAATTTGGACTACGTATTGATATAATAATTAATATTCAAATATAACATCCAAAAAACTCATAATATTTTCTTATGGACGAAGGTAATACTATTTTAATTTTTATTTTTTTTAATTATAAAGGCAAAAAGTACACATTGTTTTAACATTTAAATACACAATTGGTCGATTATGTGTTCTTGTTGTTAAAAAAAAACAATTTAACATATTTTTCCAAAAAATTATCAATATATCAGACACATTCGTTATTTTTATACTCCCTCCATCCCATATAATTTGTCTTTATTTTCTATTTTCGTCCGTTTCACGTAACTTGTCATTTCTATTTTTGGAATTATAATTATGCACTTTAATCGCATTTTAAATTTTAAATTTTATAATTTTCTTAATTTTAATTAAACTATTTATTTATCTTAATCTTAATTTATAATTATTTTTACTAAATAATAATTATTTTTACTAATACACTTCTTAATTACTTACTGATTATACTTTACATAAATTACGGTGTCTACAGTAATACACATATTACATGGACGAAGGAAGTATTAGTTTAACACAATTATTTTTACCTACATAATTACTTATACTTCACGTAAATTTTTTTTCCTACAAATCAAAATACAAAACAAACAAACTATGTGGGGCTTATCAGCCAATTTGATTAGAATCCTTGTCCAATTTGAACAGCTCAGTCTGTGGTGGTCATGTCCTTTTCTTTCTTTGTTTTCTTAAAATTTTTTTAATTTTTTTTTTTGGTGTTAATAAATGTGGATGAAGTTAACTGTAATTGTTCTTGAATAAATGATTAGTAGACATCCTAATTATTGTTGGAATGTTTTCTAGCTACAAAATGGATAAAAACAACGAACAGGATATCTATATGTAGAGAATTTGGATAAAAAGTTAGTTCATGATTATGATTACTGTTCATCGCGATCTGATGAACGGCCATGGCGATGATAATTACTGATTCATCTCCATAGTACTGCCATGTGATTCCACTGACACACACTCCAATTGCGCTCATGCATTTCGTCTGACAACGCCTGCATCATCTTCAAATTTGCCTTGTTCGTTTCCATTTCTGTTGTTTCAGACTGTAATTGATCCGCATCTCTCTGCTCTCCCATGGTTAGCCGCCTACGAAGATGCCTAATTCGTCTCCGGCGTTCGAGTTCTCCATTTCTAGGTAAATTGATTTTGGATTTGAAGTTTGAGTTTGGATGTTGAACTGGTGGTTATGTTAGGTTTTGAGTTGAATTTTTGTTTGTGGTGAGGAGATGGATTGGAATTTTCCGGCGGAAATCAGTTGCAGATACCGCCAGCGACGAGAGCGAGGAGAGTGTGCAGTTCTCAAATTCCGGCGAGTGCTACGCCTGCACGCAGGCCGGAGTTCCGGCGTTCCATTCGACGAGCTGCGACAACGCGAATCCGCCGGAGTGGGAAGCTTCCGCTGGATCTTCATTATTTCCGGTGAAAAGCCAGTCGCAGATCAGAATCCCCGGCCGGCGGTCGTCCAGCGGAGTATTGGACCCGAGGAGCAAAAGCGTGCAGCGGTGGAACCGCGCGTTCCTTCTGGCGCGTGGAATGGCGCTGGCGGTGGACCCGCTGTTCTTCTACGCGCTGTCGATCGGCCGCGGCGGATCCCCGTGCCTGTACATGGACGGCGGATTGGCGGCGGTCGTGACGGTGCTCCGCACCGGCGTCGACGCCGTACACTTAGGTCATCTATGGCTGCAGTTCCGGCTGGCTTACGTGTCAAGGGAATCTCTGGTGGTTGGTTGTGGGAAACTCGTGTGGGACGCACGTGCCATAGCTTCACACTATCTGCGCTCCCTTGGCGGTTTCTGGTTCGATGCCTTCGTGATTCTTCCCATTCCTCAGGTCAGATGAAATTCCCCAATCTGTTCATTTCATATACAATTTACCAATAAATCTTTGTGAATTGAAGTGATTTCGCTCTGTTACAGGTTGTGTTTTGGTTGGTGGTGCCGAGATTGATCAAAGACGAGCAAATCAAGCTGATAATGACGATTCTTCTCCTGATGTTCCTCTTCCAATTCCTGCCTAGGGTTTATCACAGCATATATTTGATGCGAAAGATGCAGAAAGTCACTGGCTATCTCTTCGGCACAATTTGGTGGGGATTCGGCCTCAATCTCATAGCTTATTTCATTGCTTCCCACGTAAGTCCGATTTCTTCAATTTCTTATTAATTTTTTGAATATTTCAGTTCAACTTCAAACCTTACTTGTATCCATGGCTGTTTTCCGATTAAGGTCGCCGGCGGTTGTTGGTATGTTCTCGCGATACAGCGGGTAGCATCGTGCCTGAAGCAGCAGTGCAGAAACAGCAGCATCTGCAATCTATCCCTGTCCTGCTCCCAGGAGGTCTGCTACCAAGTTTTCATGCCCTCCGAAACGATGAACAATCCTTGTGGAGGTAACTCCACACTCGCAACTAGAAAACCTATGTGTTTGGATGTCAATGGACCATTTCGTTACGGCATTTACAAATGGGCACTTCCTGTTGTGTCGAGCAACTCTGTAGCTGTAAAAATTCTTTATCCAATTTTCTGGGGATTAATGACTCTGAGGTAATATGAGGATTGAGGATCTATCATCCATGGCTGCAAACTAATTTTACAATCGCCATTTTCACCTGCAACTCCTTCAATTTCAGCACTTTCGGCAACGATTTGGAGCCGACGAGCAATTGGCTGGAAGTTATCTTCAGTATCATCACTGTCCTCAGCGGTCTTATGCTATTCACTCTGTTAATCGGTAACATTCAGGTTAGAAATCAAATATCTATATTCGATCTGTGTTTTGATACGTTGAAACAGATGATGATGGTTAGAAATTTGGTTCGAAACAGGTGTTTTTGCACACGGTCATGGCGAAGAGGAGGAAAATGCAGCTGAGGTGCAGAGACATGGAGTGGTGGATGAAGAGGAGACAGTTGCCGTCGCAGCTGCGACAGAGAGTTCGACGGTATGAACATCAAAGATGGGCAGTGATGGGCGGGGACGAAGAGATGGAGCTCATTGAAGACTTGCCCGACGGCCTAAGGCGCGACATCAAACGCTTTTTGTGCCTCGATTTGATTAAGAAGGTAGAATGACGAGAACGTCGGACTGATGATGCTTTGATTTTTAGTACTAATTCGTGTATAGGAATGTTTCTCCAGGTGCCGATCTTTCATAGCTTGGATGATCTGATCCTCGACAACATATGCGACCGCGTTAGTCCCCTCGTTTTCTCCAAAGACGAAAAGGTACGACAAAGCGCTTTTGCTGTTATATTTCGTAGAATTTCATAATTGCATATTATTAATAATGAAGTCGAAAGTTTATAAATACATAGTGATCATAATGATCGAATAGAATCCATAATAGTTACATATGAAATCTCTCAATATTTCATTCAAATTGAAATGGTACTTTAAAAATCAATTTGAACTAGATAAGGGTCGGAAACATGATTCTCAATAGAATTAGAGTTTGACCAAACTCTTAACAGAATTAAAATCGGAAAGAAATATTTCAATGGATTGAGAGTTTTAAGAATTTTAAACAACTATAAAGTTAAAACAAAAAACGAATTGAAATTGAAAAGAAACTTTCAATATAGTTAAACTCGAAAACATAACTCTTAACATAGTTAGAATTAAAAGTACAAAATAAGACTCTCAATACCGTTAGAATCGAAAGTAAGATTTTTAACAAAATTAGAACAACAATCAAAGACCGGATATAAGAATTTACCAAAACTAGAAACAAAAATGATAAAAGAAGATATCATGGCAAGAATATACTCGGAGAAATATCTCAAATTATAACGACTTTATTTAAAGAATCACATAAAATCTCTAAAAGACATGGTCGTTCTAGCGACAATGAACAAATTCTTACCGTATACATTTGTGATGCATAACGGCAGATTGTTCGCGAAGGCGACCCGGTGCCAAGGATGGTCTTCATAGTTCACGGCCGTGTGATGAGCAGCCAAAACCTCAGCCGAGGCGTGGTGGCGACGAGCACACTCGAGCCCGGTGGCTTCTTCGGCGATGAGCTTCTCTCATGGTGCCTCCGACGTCCATTCCGAGACAGGCTTCCGCCGTCGTCTGCCACGTTCACCTGCATCGAGCCCACCGAAGCGTTCGCGCTCGACTCAAAACATCTCCGGTACATCACCGAGCACTTCCGGTACAAATTCGCCAACGAGAGGCTCACCCGAACTGCGCGATACTACTCATCCAACTGGAGAACATGGGCTGCCGTCAACATCCAGCTCGCCTGGCGGCACTACACTCTTCGGACGAGACCCGTCACCGGACAGCCCTTTCGGTCAGCTGCCGCCGCCGGCGGAGACGATCGCCGCCTACGGCAATATGCTGCTTACTTCATGTCGTTCCGGCCTCACGATCACCTCGAATAAGGTTCTCCTGAAATTCTTTTTCCTGCATCCATTGATCAATTTAACCATTCTTGTGAGAATTAAAAAGTGCTGTTATATTCATGTATGTGCGTAGAGCTTGCCGATTTGTCTCAGGTTTGATTACTTTAAACGGATTAAATAATTCAAATCTAACTCAATTCGTTTATTATCACGTTGAATTCGTGTTAACTAGTTTATTATTTTGTCTGCTTAGTGTTGACCAGTGTTGACCCGTATATACAATTAAGTCGAAATTTTGGATTCAAATTCAATTCTTTTTTATGTTGTGATATTATGTTAGTTTTTATTGTTTATAGTGTAATGTGTAAGATAAAATTAATACTTGGTTTAATTATATAATTATAATTATTTTACATGTATAATAAATATATAATTAATATAGACATTTTATAAAGAGTTGTGTCAGATTCGAGTTAAGAGAGTCCATCCTAAACTGACCCGTTTATTATCGTGTTAGATTTGAGTTAATCCGTATATATGATCGGATTGAAATTCTTGATCCAAACCCAATTATTTCGTGTTGGATAAGTTTTTGTCAACTCTATCCTTAGATATATCAATGTTCTCTGGTGAGACTTTTATGTTCTTACATCATAGGGATCATTTTTTGGCCCTGAGATTCGACAAAGAACATACAGGAAATCAAAAGCTTCAATTTTGCCTCACTCCAGATGATCATGAGGCCTAAAAGAAAGAAACATGGAAGCATACTTTCGAAGCCGGCGACTCCCGCCGTCACCGCCGCCGCCGCCGTCGTTCTCGACTGAATTTCCTCGCCGTGTTCTCCCGACATGTCGCCGCCAGGCCAGCTGTATATTGACGGCGGCCCATGTCCTCCAGTTCGACGAGTAGTACCTCGTCGCTCGCCTTACGGTATCGTTCGTGAAATGGTAACGGAAGTGTTGTATTACGTATCGCAAATCCTCGGCCTCGAGAGCGTATGCTTCCGCCGGACGAGTGCATACGAACGTCGCCGACGACGCCGGGAGCCGGTCGAGAAATGGGCGACGAAGGCACCACGAAATCAGCTCGTCTCCGAGAAAGCTACCCGTCTCCAAAATACTCGTCGCCACTGCGCCTTTGGTCCGGCCTTGACTCCGCTTGACTTGTCCGCAGACGACGAAAGTCATCCGTTTCACCGGATCGCCTTCTCGGATGATCTACAAGACGATAAAGAAATTCGATAGGTACGTCGTCGTCGACCATAATTCCGCATAAATATATATATATATAATTCACGAGCACGATCGAGATCGATCGAAAAAACCTTTTCGTGTTTCGAGTAGACGAGAGGCTTTACGTGGTCGCAGATGTTGTCGAGGATAAGATCGTCCAAGTTGTGGAACAATGGCACCTGCGAATCAGTTTTTTTTTTTTTTTCGTCGTTAATTACGTTTATGCGTACGTTACGATCGACTTGATAAACGTACTAACCTTTCTAATCAGATCTAAGCAAATGTGTCGCTTGATGTCGCGCCGAAGCCCCTCGGGCAAATCTTTGATCAGTTCGTTCTCGTCTTGCCCTCCAGTCATCTTCCATATCTGATGTTCGTATTTTTTCACCCGTCGTCGCAGATGGGAAGGTAATTGCCTGTGGTTCATCCACCATTCCATGTCTCTGTATCGTAATTGCATTTTTCGTCGTCTCATCATGACGGCGTGCAAAAAAACCTTTTGCACACAAATGCAAGCCCGGTTAGTCGAACATTTTTCTAAACTATGGAAATGAGTTTAGGTCGACGAATGAAACCTGAATGTTTCCGATCAACAAGGTGAATAGAAGCAAGCCGGCTAACACCATGGTCATCGAAAATAACACTTCCAAGCAATGGCTCGTTGGCTCGAGATTGTTTCCCATAGTGCTTGAACAAAATTGAGGGAAAAGACGTATAAGGTGTGAGTATACATATTGTTAGATGATATAAATGACTGACTAATCTAAAATCACGAAAATGGAAGATAGTGGACTCGAATTCGAGATCTAAGACTCTGATACCATGTTAGTTGATATAGATGACCGACTAGCATAAAAGCTTAAGCTATTAGGATACACATCAACTTAATTATTTATCTACGAACGAGAGTCAACCAACATATATATGTCGGAAAAGATCAAATGCAATTTTGATCAGGTACGTGACGTGACGTTCTTATCATTTTAGTCGATTTTGAACCGTCGTATATTTCATTTGTCGTCACGCTAATGATCATATATTTGTATGTGACACTCACACATGTATTGTGGATCCATTACATATCACTTTCCCTATAAAATGCATGAGTGTCACATTCAAATATATAATCACTAGAGCGAACATGTGAGATATATAACGATTTCTCTATATAATTCATTTAAGGTGTGTTCGTTTATGGAATTTTGTAAAAAATCTACTATTCATCAATTTTTTTTTTCTCAAAAAATATTAAATCAAATACCTATTTTTTTATTATATTATACTAAAAATTAAATTTACATTAAAAATATTATATCAACGCTTATTTATATCACATCATACAATTATGTAAATTCAAAATTTTTACTATTTAAATCTCAATTCAAAATTCAAACTCCCTAACAAACACACCCTTATATAACCAGAACAATAAGAAATGCTACTTATATTACACTGACATAGATTATGTATACATATATACATATATATATATATATATGTTTTTCGATTATGGATGTGTACCTGAGAGCCATTAGTCCCCAAAGATTCGAGTAAAGGACTTTCGTCGCGAAAGAATTGCTCGTCATAAGAGGAAGTGCAAACTCAAAAATCCCATACGGAAACGGTCCATCGCTATCCAAGCACGTGCTTCTTTTAGCCGTAGTTGTCGAGTTATGAAAACACGACATGTCTTGTGTCGAATGACATACTTGCCCCGAGCAAGACAACGAGACGTTCCAATTTCTTGCATTATATTGTTGTGTAAGACATGACGCTATACGACGGACGGCTAGGATGTACCAATACCCTCCCGATGCCTACACAAATGCACATTCGATTAATTTGTGTAATAAACATATGCAACCGTACATTTAGCCACTTAGCTTCGCGCGCACTTACGTGAGAAGCGAGAAAATAGGCTATGAGATTGAGACCGAATCCCCACCAAATAGTCCCGAAAATGTAGCCGGTGACTTTGCGCATCCCGCGCATTAAGCTAAAACAATGATAGACTTTCGGTATGAACTGAAGTAGGAATGTTAGTTGTAGTATAGTCATCGTCGACCCGATTTTGTTTTCTCGTATAAGTTTTGGAACTACAAGCCAGTACATAGCCTGTCGATATAACCACACAATCATCAAGGCTTGTTGTCATAAAATTTTTACTATGTAACCGTTGCAAATTCATATAAATATATTTATATATATATATATATATATATTATTTTTTCTAATAAAATGTTACATTTAAAAAAGTACATACTTTTCGTCGTGCTGAAAATTTTTATGTTATAAATAATAATAATAATAATAATAACTAAACTAAAAAAGAACACATCTTTGCTGATTATTACTTTGCATTTTTTAAAGTTAAAAGTTTGTCTTTTTTAAAAAAAAGTTTGACTTATTTTTTTAAAATTAATATATTACACACTTATTATTTTTATATTATCTACGTAATTCTATATATCTTATGTTTTTCACACACCTACTTCTCTGTCATTCAAATCTCACTAAGATCGAACTTGGGATTCAACCCTTAAGCTAGAGATGCCTCACTGTTTAATTTATAAAGGTTTGACTAGACATAAATTTTATTTAAAGTGAGTAATAATTATTTTGTTTTTCTTTGTTTCTTTTTTTTTTTTATACTTAAAAGTACAAAAAAAAACATTATGGATCTTTTCTTTAAAAGAAGATAATTCTTTTTTTTTTAATGAAAAAAAAAAAAGGAAAATTAACAGGGACGTAAGTCTCCAAACATAAATGTCTTCGCACTTTATTTACAAGTGCTCGGCTATTTTTGTCACATTTTAAGAAATTGGAGTTGGTATGGAAATTATCTTTTCTTTTACTAAATAGATTAAGAGAGCCATGTGTTGTCTAAAGGCATGGCCAGTTTTGCTATTTTTTGTCATTTTTTAAAAAATAAAATATTTAATTTAAAATATATTAATAAAAATAATTATTATATAATATAAATAATTATAAATTAATATTAAAATAATTAAATACTAAATTAAAAAAAATTATGATATATGGAAAGGAACTATTCCTCATGGTTTTTTAAAAAAGATTTTATTCATATATATATATATATTAAGTATGTTCCCTCAATAATTTTTAATGGAACAATTTCTTATAAATATTATTAAAAAATACAAATATATCCATATTAATATAATATACTCCCCCGTCCCATAAAAATAGTCTTAATTGAGTTGGACATCAGAGATAAAATATTAATGCAAAAAATAGTAACAATTGTGTAATTAAAATGAAAAAATAAAGGTAATTTTTATGGTGATATGGTTATTTTTAAAATATTATTCACTAGTAAAAAAATCAACAATTCAACCAAAAATATTATTTTTTACATTACTAATATAGTTATTATACACAAAAAAAAATAAAAATAAAAATAAAAATAATAATAATAATAATAATAAATCAATTTATCTAAACAAACTAAATGAATAAACTGATTATATATTATATATTTATTTTTTATAATATTTTTTAAATGAGATAAAATGTAAATTATAAACAATGAAATCGAAATAAAAAAAAAAAAAAATACCTGAGGGATTGGCAATACGACGAACAAATCGAACCAGAAGCCCTTCCAAGTCTTCAAATAATGTGAAGCTATGGCACGTGCATCCCACACGAGTTTCCCACACCCCACCACGAGCGATTCCCTTGACACGTAGGCCAGCCGGAACCTCGCCGCCAGGTGGCACACGTGCACCAAATCCACGCAACTCCGCACCACCGCCACCGCCACCGCCGCCGCACCATCCACATAAATACACGGCCTTCCGCCGCCACCGCCGCCGCCGATCGAAATCGCGAATAAAAACAAAGGATCAACGGCCAGCGCTACCCCTCGAGCCATCACGACCGTCCGATTCCATCTCTGCACGTTGACGCTCCGCGGGTCGATGATGAACCGGCGCCGGTCCTCGTAGACCCCGCCGGACCGACCGGCGATCGGGACGAGCGACGAACCGGCGGTCGAATCCCACTCCGGCTTTTCGACCGGGTTGCACTTGGTCGAGTGGAAAACCGGCCCCGATTGTGCGCAGGCGTAGCAATCCGCCGGCGAGTCGTCGGCGTTCCGCCGGAAATTCTTTCCGGTTAATCTGAAAATACTTAAAAGCATTTGAGGCAAAGAAATTAACTAAAATTCGAAAAATAAAATTAATAAAATTATTTTTTTTGAAGAACCTGAAAATGCGATTGCAGAATTCAGACATCGAAACTGAGCAACATTAATGGAAATGGGAATGGGAATTATCAAAGGGTGTCTGCATGAAGCAGAAGATATTAGAAACCTGTAAGCTTAATAGCGTGGCCGGAGGACACGTGGAGGGCACATGCGCCATTCAGGGATTGGACCCCACACCATCGACGGCTGGAGTGGATCTGGTGTTGGAGTCCAGGGAGCTCGCCGATTTTTCTAAGGTGTTTCGCAGTGTTTGTTATGTTTAGTTTGTTTTGTATGAAAATTTATTTTGCATTAATAAGTAAATTTATTTTGCATTAATAAGTTCGTTTGTTTGTTGCGATTTATTATTAAATATATTTTTTTCCCCTTAAAATAGTATTATTATAAAATAATTATTTTTACTTTAAAAAATTAAAATAAAAGTAAACATTTAATGATACAAAAGCGTGTGCTCATTTTTTTACTAATTTTTTTTTTTTATATATAAAAAAAGTATGCCATTTTATACCCATTTCTAAAAATCCACATTAATTCTTGATTGTCCCATCAAAATTTTACTAATACAATTTTTAATACATATAATATTTATTTTATTCTATTATAAAAAAAATACGTATAATATGTGTATTACTGTAAACACAAGAATTTAGGTAAAATATAATTAGTAAGTAATTAAGAAGTGTATTAATAAAAATAATTATTATTTAGTAAAAATAATTATAGATTAAGATTAAGATAAGTAAATAGTTTAATTAAAATTAAAAAAAAATTATAAAATTTAAAATTTAAAATGCGATTAAAGTGCATAATTATATTTCCAAAAATATAAATGACAAGTTATGTGGGACGGATGAAAATAGAAAATAGGGACAAATTATGTAGGACGGAGGGAGTAGTATTTAATACTTCCTCCGTCCACGGATAAAATATACATTTACTTTTGGCGCGGGGTATGTAAAAGTAGTGTAATGACACTTTTGTCCTTACTTTTTCGTATAAAAGTAATAATGTGATGTAAAATAAGGGTATTTGTGAAAAAGGGTGGAGTATTTAATAAAATTGTTACTTTGTAATTAGACGTCCCAAAATAGAAATATGTATATTTTGTAGCTGCAGAAATATAATTTTTTTTTTTTTTTTTATATTATTGAACAATCTTTATATTTAACATAAAAGGAAACACCTTCAACTAAACTAATGAATCAATCAATCCAAATTACTCTCTCTCTCTCTTTCTCTCTATGTGTGTAAACTTTACGACTTCTCATTTGTCATTTTAATTTGTTTAAATAAAAAAAAAAAAATTATTTCTTTTTCAAACAATTAATTCTCAATTAACTATCGTAATACTCATAACTTTTTTTTTTAAAAGTTAAATAGATATTATATTGTTTTATTATATTAGATATCTATACAAAATACTAATTTATCTTAATTCGCGTACAAATGTCAAATAAAAAATTTACTAATAGACTAAAGAAATATTATTTTATGAATAGTAATGTAAATTAAATTTTTTACCAAATAAAATAATATAAAAATTGTATGATAAAAAAAGTGAAAATAATAAGCAAATAAAATAGAACTTTAAGCTTTTTTAATTATTTTTATTATATATATATATATATGTATGCTTGCTTAAAAATAATTAGAATTTAAAACATCAAATAAATTAAATTCCAATTATTATCATAGTTTTTCTTTATTTTTATGTGATTTAATTTTCTTATGATGAATGATGTTAATTCCTATAAGTGTTATATTATTTTTCATGTGTTGTCACCTTGTGATTGGGAGCATGTTTGCGATCATTATTATTTTCGTATAATAATTGGGCCAAAGAATGTTCTAGAATTATATTTCGTATAAATCTCTAGACTTTTACATAATTGCACATGCAAGTTCTACTTTTATTTAATTTTAGAGCCGGCAAAAATTGATCCGATAAGAAATAATTGGGTTTGAATAAAAAATTTCAAATTATTTATGTATGCGGATCGATACGAACCCGACACGATAATAAACGGATTGGGTTAGGGTTGGGGCTCTCAACTCGAACTTGACACGACAATTCGATTATAATATATTAGTATTAATTAATATATTTATTATATATATAAAATAATCATAATTTAAAATTTTTTTCATAAATGAATTTAAACTAAGTCCAATTTTAAATAATTCAATCCAATTTACGCTCAAACCAATAAAAATCAACATAACACGACAAAAAATAATTTAATTTGAATCAAGAATTTCGACTTAATTACGTATATGGGTCAACACGAGTCAACCCGAACCCCACACGATAATAAACAGATTGGATTACGGTTGAGTAATTTAACCCATTTAAAATAATCGATCAATTGTCAGCTCTATTTAATTTGGTCTTAAATGTTATATTTTAAAATAAAAAAAATTATTGAATATATTAATTATTTAGATTTTTTTAAAACAAAATTTTAATTACATGTACAAACACGCTTTATGAAAGCAAGCAATGTTAATATAAAAATATTGGGTGTGTGCCAATTCTCGACATGTCTTTTGTTAATATTATAAAAAACTATATATTATAATATATATATATATAACCTAAAAAAATATAATAAAATAAATGAAAAGTACAAAAAGAAAAATAAATAAATAAATAATAGATATATACATATATATTTTTAATTACGGTCTAAAAAAGCATATTATTTTTTAATTATGAAAAATAGAGTAATCAATTTATAAATGTAACTTTGGTTTGGAAATGGTAATTGAAATCATTATTTCGTCTTTGTTTCCTTTGATTTTATTATTAAAATTTGTTTTATCTTTGGTTTGGAAATGATAATATATATTATTTATTTCATGTAAGATATATCATATATTTAACAATTATTTATCAAAAAACAAAAAATAAAGACACATAAAGAACCCATTATTAATTCGATATATATAGATTAATTTAAAAAATAAAATAAAAATAATATTATCCAATATTAAATGAAAATATATATATATATATATGTATTTTCTCTATTCATCAAATATATGTATATATTTTATTTTATTTTTCACAAAGAATACATAATTTTTATTTATAGCAAATAACTTTTATACTATTTAATTTATATAATTTAATATTCTATTTATTTACGTATATTCAAAATTTTGTCTCATCTCATTAATTTAATCGTAAATTTTACAAAATATTCTAAATTTACGTTATAATATTATGTTCGTTAAAGCTCGTGTAGAGCTCATGTGAGCATACTTTTTTTGTGTAGGGAGAAAGTAAATTTTAAGTATTGTTTTGGTTGTTGTAAATACAAAGAATTATGAAAATATTATAAATACATTTAATTTAAAAGAGTAGATTTAAATAAAGTTACTTAAATATAAATTTAATATAATGGTTCCATGGTGTAGTGGTTAGCACTCTGGACTTTGAATCCAGCGACCTGGGTTCGACTCCCGGTGGGACCTATTTTTAATTATTCTTATTTAATATAATAAAATTTTAATTTAATATAAAAATTAGTTTGAAAATTGTGGACAGCAGTAATATTTACTTCTTAGAATTAAAAAAAGTATATATCATTTTATCTAATAAAATTTTAATTTTATTTTAAATATTAGTAGTATTTTTTATTAATTTGAAAATTTTGGGTAATATTTTATTTTTAGATTTTTTTTTTTTTTAAAAAAAAAACAGAAAAACAACTGAGACCGTCAAAATAAGCCTGTTAGGCATTGATTTTGCTAGACAAGAATGGCGGCGAGGTTTCTGGGCACACCTCATTCCGCCGTGCTCAGCGCCGGTGGCTCTAATTCGTCAAGACGAAGAAGTATGCTCTTTATGCATCAGGCGAGTTGCAGACCTCGCTTCTGCGATTCAGGAATTTTCGGGAATACTACCTTCTCAGTTCATACTTCTGCTTCTACGCTAGGGTACGCATAACTATGAGTTAAATTTCCAGCTATCAAATAAGGTTTCGTTACTGCTCTCTTCGATTTATCATGGAGCTTGCTTCACTTGATTTTGCATTCCTTCTGAATTTTCGAGATTGAGTGTTGTTAGTCGGTTATTAAAGTTTTGGCTGAGGAAATTTCGATAGATCACAGACAATTCTCCGTCAATATCAATCACGATTATAAAGAAATTACATTTCTTATGTGGAATCAATGTTGAAGTTAAGTTTGATCTAAATTCTAATTTCCTCCGTTAGATCAGCGCGGCGAAGCAGAGTAGATGAGAGCGAGAATTACAAGCTCGAGGGGATAAGGCACTCGTTGATTAGGCAAGAAGATAGCATCATCTTTAGTCTAGTGGAGAGAGCTCACTTTTGTTACAATGCTGATACGTACAATCCCGCTGCTTTCCCCATGGACGGTTTCCAAGGCTCTCTGGTTGAGTACATGGTCAAAGAAACTGAAAACCTTCACGCAAAGGTACATTGAATGTGAATCTTTCCTGCGCAATCAGACTCGTGAATTGCATTCTAATGATTGATTCTTTGTTCAGCTGGGAAGATACAAGAGCCCCGACGAGCATGCTTTCTTCCCTGATAATTTACCCGAGCCACTGTTGCCCCCACTAGAGTTTCCAAAGGTACACTAAATTGCAGGGGAATCATCCATTGTTAGTTAGCAAAGAAGTATAATATATAAACCTGGATGTCATTGAGTAGTATAGCTAGAAAATCCAATGCCCCTGTTAAAATAGATAACCTGCAGAATCATGGATAACAATTTTTTTTTGCGAATGATCGATATGTGGCTAACAAAGAAGTAGAATAAATATTCCTGGGTGTCGTTGAGTAGTGTATCTAAAAAATCAAATGCTCCTGTTATATTAGATAACCTGCAAAACATGGATAACAAAAAGTTTTGCCAATGATCGATGTATAGCTTGCATAGAAGTAGAATATATAATCTTGGGTGCCATTTAGTAGTATAGCTAGAAATCCAATGCTCCTGTTAAATTCGATAACCTGCAGGATAATGGATAACATTTTTTTTTTGTTGCGAAAGGACATTGTATTAAAGAACTTGATAGCTAAAAGGTGCATCTGGATATTATGAAAGCTGTGGGCATCTTGTCACTAGCATCGGTGTTCAATTTTCTTAAAGATTTGGGGGTTTCTGAGACATGGATGGTTTCTAGTTTAGTGTGGAATGGCTCGTTTGCGTCTAATATGTGCATAGGATACTAAGTTCTGCTCTCTTACTGTTATATAGTTAGTTGGAGTGTTAAGAGAGAGCACTATTGAAAATCGTGCAGGTTCTTCATCCAGCTGCAGATTCGATCAATGTTAACACCCAAGTATGGAAAATGTACTTCCAGAACATCCTCCCAAGTTTAGTTAGAGATGGAAACGATGGTAATAATGCATCATCAGCGATTTCTGATACAGTTTGCTTGCAGGTACGTGTGTTGACAATTTTCTTTTTGTTGATAGATGAACTACCTGAGATTATTGCTTATTCGATTGAATTATATTGTACGCTTAAATCTTGATTTTAGAAAGAAGAATTACCTCGCACCTGATGCAGTTATCTGCTGACAGATACAAAAATATAAATGTAGTAGAGGTGGAATTCATCTCCACTTTTAGGTATGGTTTTCACTGGGATATGTGATACGGAAAAGATCGAAATAATACACAACTAATAAGAATCTTTATTTCATATAATGATTTCACTATGTAAAAAAACATTTGGGTAATAAGAAATAACATTATTGATCTTCCATGACAAAATCCAATTTATGATCAATCGATAGTTCCTTGTCCAAAAAACTTATCGAATTTATCATCTAGCAATAGGATATAAGATTTACTGAGACTTATTTACTGCTCACTGCTCGTTGCTCTATTCACAGGTCTTATCCAAGAGAATCCATTACGGCAAATTTGTTGCCGAAGCGAAATTCCAAAGTGCCTCCGAGATCTATAAACAAGCAATCAAAGCACAGGTAAGATGGCGCGCCTACATTTCTTGAAAAAACAACGTACACAGTGTCTGATAACTTTCGACTGTACGGTAGGATGCAAGTAAATTGCTGGATCTGCTGACATATCCGGCAGTGGAGGCTGTAGTCGCGAGGAGGGTGGAGATGAAAACCCGAAAGTTTGGGGAGGAGGTGAGCGCAGATGAATACGAAGGTAACAATGCGGAGCCGGTATACAAAATTAACCCGCAGTTTGTTGCTCAGATATATTTGGACTGGATAATGCCGCTAACGAAGCAGGTTCAGGTCGAGTACTTGTTACGAAGACTCGATTAAATGAAAAAGGAAATTAATCAACGGTCGTGCCTTATGCTATTTTTGTTTTGGACATAGCTCGGGAGGAATTTGAGCTGTCTATTGAGTATTGAGTAAATAAGTACTCTTTTGTATATTATAATTATAAGAAATAATAGTATTTTAATATAAAAAATATAATATATATATATATATATTTAAAACTAGCCTTAAATTTTTAACTTGAATTTGTTCTTCTAAAGTTTAATTTGATTCACTTGGGACTTAGAGTTGAAATGTTCACAGAGGCTAGAAGGCCCGGGCTTAAATAGGTGGAAATAGGTCAGGCCAGACTTTGATTAAATAAGTCAAATCTATTTCATAAAATTAAAGCTTGAGTCTGACTTATTGGCCTATTAAAATATACTATATCTAAAGCGTGCTTAGGTTTGGCCTAAGAGTCTATTTAAAAGTCTATATAATATATATTTTTTTTCAAATTTAATATTTGTAGAAAAATATATACTATTATTTATTATATATAATAAATCAGTTAAAATAAATTAATTTTTTAATTTTTATTATCATCAAATATATTTTTTATAAATTATAAATAATTAAAAACATAATATATTTATATTAGATAAAAAAATATACTATATAACTTAAGTCTATTCTATTTATTTAAAAAAAATTAAAAATATATTTTAATTTAGTTTTGTTAGTAAACAACCAAACCCGACCTTATGCAGAACAAAGTATTGGCCCTACAGGCCGCCTGGTCTTTTTGCATTCCTATGCAGAACTACTCTTGTAACACGTTTTATATTGATGGGTACAGAAAGCGTGTTCCCAGAAGTTCCCTGGTTTAAATAACGTTTTCTATATCCATGGATACAGAAAGCGTGGTTGGAAAAGATACAGAATGTAAAAGCGTGGTTTACGATATTACAGTTTAGGATAAGATACTTTTCGGCAGGTATCCCTTTTTGGCCTGTTCCATGGCGACGGCTTTCTCTGCCGTATGGCTACCGCCGGCGCACAGTAGTTTCATCGCAGTGAAAGCGCCAAAGCTGCTTCCTCCAATTTCACGGGGGAAAAAGCCGCTTCTTCGACGCAGACAAAGTGAATCACCATTTTCACCGCTTTGTTCGCGCAACCGCGCCGCTGAGGCTACGAGGGAAGATGAAGAGCAGAGCGATGAGATGTCGATAAGCATTGATGTTCTTAAACGCTTTATCGGTCTTAATTTGGGTAACTGGACTGGCTCGTTTCATGTAAGCATTGACAATTCCTTTGCTGGTTCGCGACTTTGGTTATGAATTTTGTCTAGATCGAGGCAACTCTAGCATATCCTACCGCACACTCTTTGGAACCAACGAAATGCGTGTAACATGTCATGTGAATTTATGTCAGTGCAATTTATTTGGTGTTTATCAGAAGATTGCTCTCTGTTTGAAATTTCGTTGGTCTGAGAGGCTCAATCGATTAGAGAATATTGTATTGATTTTGGATACTCTTCTTATTGCAATCTAAACGAAATTAAGTTCTGATGTGTGGATGCAGCAATTTGATGGCAACGGGAATTTGCTGCATAAGATAAGCACAAAGCTTGCTGCCAGCTCGTATGGGGAAGAAGAACTCATGAGTTTGATTCAATCGTAAGCTTTTATCTGGCTAGACATGATCTACAATGCTGCCTGTTTCCATAGCTACTGTTGTTTTTCTTATAGGGTTTTGCTTAGAAAAAACTTCTAATTAGGATCTAATGGCTGCATAAATTTCAATGCAAGATCAGCTAGGAGTAACAGTAAATACACAAACAACATAAGCACAAGAACAAGAAGAAATAATGGTGGAGATTCCCAAACTGGCGCTAAAACTTTTATATCATAAACACCAGAGAATTACAAACACTGACAGCACCCTGATATTATACACGAGACTAGCCTGTTTTTCTTGTTAAAAAGATCCCTCAATGCCTGTCCCGCAAATTCTTCCTCTGTTTATACCTAAAAATCTAATTTAAATGCAGTTTTAGTAAACTTACAACTTGAATTCAAATATTTGTATTCCACTCTTGCGGTGTATTTGGTACAAGGAATGATATTGCATATAAAAGAGAGAGAAAAGGGAATGATGTATTGTGAGTGGAACATGAGAGAATAAATTGATTAGGAGAAAATGTTGAGTCGGGAAAGAGTGGGTTTCTGTAAAGCGGGAATCCGCTGATTAATTTATAGCTAGCAAAGAACTAGAATATATATAATCCTGGGCGTCATTTAGTAATATAGCTAGAAATTCAATGCTCCTGTTAAATTAGTTAGTGAAATTTTTATTCTGAGAAAAAATACACGAATAAACACACGTAGTATTCTCAATTTTCATTTCTCTCCACTTCTACACACATGGGAGAAATGAAAGTAGGGAATAATAAGAAATGATTCATTTCTCACTTTTGAATTCTCTGTTTTAAACAAACAAGATACCCTTGTAGTCTGTACATTTGTTGCCTTCCTTGGAGGTTTTACTGGTTTTGTTACTCACAGGTTATACATAAAACAACCTCCATTTAGTGGTTTTGGGACCCCAGATGAACCGGAATGGTTTGAATACAAGATTAAAGAATCCAACATGTTCACAGTGGATAAATATCAGCAGGTGAAACTTCTTTGTCACCAGAAACCCAAGAGTTGTTTCAGCTGTATATATATAAATTTTCTTGGTAGTTAAGTTTGACATTTTAATGGATTTGGTTGAATATGTATTGACTATAGTTTGCAGATTGGATTTTTCCCCGAGGAGAAGGCGTTCGCATTGAGATATCAGACAGCTGGCATGTTGGAGATGGTTATAAGACAAGGTGTGCTGGGTGAAGATGATACTGGAGAGGAATCTCCCAGGTACTTGTTTCTTTGTTCGAATAGTAATTGGATGAATAATCCATGCTATTAAAATCTTGATGTAATTATTTTGGAGCTAAGTAGTAACATGTAACTCATTTTGGTTTCTTGTATCAATTCTACTTGATTTTGCGGAGATTGCCTTTTCAGTTTTTATGATTTAGCTTTTGTTTCAACAGAAATTTAAAGCTTCCTTCTCGACGACCTGCCATTGTTTGTGAGAACTGCCTTTATTCACTCGTGAGGGATGCAAGAATCAGAGCTTTTCATATCTTGGACCCGAAAGGCATACTAGAAATGCTACTTGTATTCCTGGAAGAAAGAGATAGCACTGTGATTAATCATCCTTCCTTCGGCAATTTTAAGGTATCTTAGCTCTAATATCTGCAGAACACTTCTCTATATGATGTATCAGGATATATTAAGGAGCCCATGTTAAAAATATCCATTGTAGGATTCAGATAGGCTCACTCCTCATTTGGGGACATGGAAGGGCCACTCTACGACGAAACGCAGTGGTGTTTATGGAGCTACAATAGCCGAAGCTGATACAATTGCTACCCTCGAAATGACACAGGATGGTCAGCTCATCCAGGTTTGGAATTCTACTCCAAGATTGTCTCCATTCGCTATATATCGGCTGTAACAACCGACATTTCCATGATTTTGAAAATGGGGCAGGACATAAAATCTAAATCAGATGGCAAGGAAACAGCAACTGTCAACTGGACAGGATCATTGTCAAACAACCTGATAACATTCGATGGAGGTTTTCAGGTGACATTGTTGCCTGGAGGCATGTACATGGGATGCCCGACCGATGTGGCGAAGAGTGTGCAGGAATTAAAGTCTTTCCACCTCGAACTCTGTTGGGCCGAATCGCCATCCAAGCGACAGAGGCTCGTTCGCACCTTCGACGCCGAAGGGCTTGCGGTTTCGTCGACATATTTTCTTGAAACAAAGGAATGATCACACTCTATGCTCTTCGATCGAATTTTAATGTCTTTGGATAAGATATCTACTATGCACACGTACGTATGTGTTTCAATTCATGTGTATTGTATGTCACATTATATATATACACACATATATATTCTTCTTGTTTCAAGATGATAACAAGAATGCGGAGCAATCAACGCCATTGACGGCCACCGAGCTTGTTTGACATGAGGCAAGAAGTTTCTCTACGTCTTATTATATATATATAAAGATATGTATATATATAAAGATGTATCTATAATATGAAATATAGGTTATCCTGGGCCCACAGGTGTCTCCTTTTCTGAGTGCCACGTGGTGCTTACTCAATCTATCTATGCAGACAGCGAGGCGGGATTTAGGTGCAGTTCCGTACTGGAGCAGGAAGTCGATTTATTTATTTCCTTACAGGAGGAATCAGTAGAACTTCTTTTGTTATTATGCCTGCCATTTCTTTCGATAGTCTTACAGAATTAGGAGTATGGGCGAAACAATGGAAGATGGGAAGCACATACCGACGGTCGAGGTGCCGCCACGTGGCTCCATGGAGTTCCTGACGGCGGGGTCGGTTTTAGGGTTCAGCCCAGGTCCGATGACGGTGGCGTCGAGGTTATTTCCAGAGCAGGGGCAGTTATCCTTCACTCAGCTCTTAGCTGGGGCTAATGGAGGTTTCTTGTTGAGTAATGATTTTGTGGGAGAAGAGGGGAGAACAGAGAGGTCGTTTGGCGTGGGGCAGAAGTTGAACAGAGAGCTGAGTTCCTCTCATGGATTGCTTAATTCCCCTGATCAGCTTTTGTCTCCAAATCAGGTAAACCGTTGTTTATATTTGCCTTTAAAGCTGCTGAATTTTGGTTTTGAGCACTGCTTAGGTTATTTAATTCAAATTTGATTCAAGCTTTTCTGAAATTTCTTAAGTATAACTCCGGCTTGGTTAGGTACTCTGATTTGAATTCATGCAATATATAAAACTATGTTGGACAAGATATGGCTTGTATGAACTGCTTTCTTGTTCAATTAATTTATATATAGAGCATTTTTAGTATGTTTAGGGAGAGTACTGCTGAAAGTACCTGATCATACCGCATATCTAATCAAAATTTTTGGTATATTAAAAGAATGTACTAATATTGTACCGAAAATTTGGTTAACCAATATATATACCGATACTCTATTGATAATTTGGTATACCGAATAGAATAGCTTGTTTAGGAGTGAGCATTAGTCGTTCCAAATAGAAAAATTCTATTTTTTTTACTGTTTGATTCATTGGTTCGATTCAATCCAAAATAGAATTTATAAATTTCAATTTCGATTTAATTATGATTTTTAATTTTGATTATCCGGAATAACCAAAATTTTAAAAATATAATAATTTTATATTAATAAATAATATATACTCCCTCCGTCCCATAAGTAAATATCCATTTGCTTTTTGCACGTAGTTTTAGAAATAGTATTATATTGGGATATAGTAGGAATAAAGTAGAAATGACTAAAATAACTTTATTAGTACGTGTGGTAAGGGCATTTGTAATAGTACAGTTATTGAAAAAAAAAGGAAATGAATACTTTGTTTTGTTATGAGATGGACTAAAATGGAAAAATTGATATTTGAGTATTAATCTATATTAATAAACCAAACCAAACTAATAAAGGAAATTTTTGTTGGTTTGGTTTTAAATCGAACTGACCTAGGTTTAGGTTTGTTCGATTTTGAAAATTCTCGGTTCGGTTTTTATTTCAATTTTTACGAACCGAAAATCAATCACAATTAAAAGTTTGGGTCTGTCGACGTATGCGCACCTCTAAGCTTGTATAGTATTGGATATAAGTTTTATACCAAAATACTGAAATTAAAAATAATAAATTTGGTATTAATATACCAAATTAAAGTATATTCTGAATATCAAAATATCAAACGGTACTCAGTATTTTAACAGTAAAACAATTGGATCAACGGTATTACAACTGGGAGGGGTTGACTTCTTTTGTATATCCAGAGACAAATACTTTTGTTTTAAATAATAATTGGAACGTCGTGTGAGAACAAAAAAAGCTGAAGAGATGAAAGAGCTTGCAGGTTTGTGGTTTATATTCTAGCCCGAAATGAAATAAAGAGACAGGTAATGGATCTAGTGTCGATCTCGGTTGTCTATGGTTGGAATCATAGCTTTTCTTACATCGGTTGCATACTGTATATGGAGCATATGTGATCGATGTGTACGACATTTATGCACACTCGTTTCTAACATATTTATGACAGATTGGTATGCCCACAAGCTGCTTATCCTATTTCCTTCTTTAACATACTGCAGAGCGCTTTCGGGATGTCCCACCAGCAGGCCCTCGCACACGTTACAGCACAGGCGGCATTGTCTCAATCCTCCACTTGGAACCAGGCAGAATTTCAGCGCACATCTCTTACAAATGCTGTGGAAACATCGACAAACCTCTTGTCCTCTTTGCCGGAAGCAAGTGATAGACAAATGTTGTCTAGTGTTTCGGGTGATTTACCAGCTAGTGATGGCTACAAGTGGAGAAAATATGGGCAGAAGCAAGTGAAGGAATGTCCTCGAAGCTACTATAAATGCAGTCATCTCAACTGTTCTGTTAAGAAGAAAGTCGAGCAATCTTTGGATGGTCGTATATTTGAGATCGCGTATAATGGACAGCACAACCACGACCCTCCTCAGCCTAATAAAAGAGTAAAAGATGATCATGCGCTGAATCCCAACATGAAGTCTGTTATTACCAATCAAGATTCTGTACCCGAGAATGATATTGTCGAAGATATTCTAACTACAGTGGATGAAGAAGATGCTGATGAACCATCCGCGAAGAGAAGGTAGAATAAATCTCTCTTTGTTCTTGTTTTATTGTCTCTCTCGATTTATTTGATCGCATTAAACATGTCGCAACGAATGTGAAGGAATGTTCGGGCATCCGCTCAACCGGCTTCCGTTAAAACTGTTGCGGATTCGAAGATTGTGTTGCAGACTAGGAGCGAAGTGGATCTTCTTGATGACGGATACAGATGGAGGAAATACGGGCAGAAAGTAGTCAAGGGAAATCCCCATCCAAGGTGCGATTGTTCGTTTAGATCCTTACTATTGTATGCTCGATTGTTCGTTAAGATTAAGATGATTAAATAGTTTAATTAAAATAAAAAAATTATATACTCTTTCTGTCCCATTGAAAGGATGTCATTTTCCGTCACAAAATAAGGTTATCATTTCCTAATTTAGTAATTGTACTACCTACTTAACGTAATAAATACCTTTCCAACTTACATTATATTACACAAATGTCATTATTTTTATATTACACAATACTAATAGGGGTATTTTTGTCTTTTTCATTACAACCCATTATAATACTAATATTAAAAAATCTACGTGCCAAAAGTAAAAGTAAACGGCAACCTTGCACCGGGACGGAGGGAGTATTATGATTTTTAAAATATAATTGGAGTATATAATTATATTTCCAAAAGAAAAAGAACAAATTACGTGGGACAGACGAAAATAAAAATATGGGACAAATTAAGTGGGACAGGAGCAATATACTCTTTGACTTTTGCAAGCATATTTAGGTATTTTTTTTTTTTTTTCGCTTTCTGACATTAATGGTGTTGAAATAATAATAACAAAAAATAGAAGTATTTTGGTATTTAGTTTGAAGATATTTTTATTTTAAAAAGAAAAAAGATATATTTGACTAGGACGAAAGAAGTATTTATTTTACTTGATTAAAGATAGAATATTATAATGTGTTATTATTTTGGGCTTTAATCAATGTCAGAGTTTAGTCGATAATCAAAGTAAATAATTAATTAGATTTGAGAAAATAATATTATTCCTAATCGCCTTAAGTTCATAAGGGTCTATTGATTTTATATATCTTATGTAGTAAGTTCAAGGATGTTGTATAGGTTATTATCCTGTGCTGTCAGTTTATGAGCTGTAATTATATTATATTAGCATAAATATATTGTTGTTGTATGTCAATATTTGAAGTTTTGTCCGTATCATATCGAATAATTTTATCAATCCTTGGCGCAGGAGTTACTACAAGTGTACAACAACGGGCTGTAAAGTTCGAAAGCACGTCGAGAGGGCATCATCAGATCCGAAAGCCGTCATTACCACGTACGAAGGCAAGCATAACCATGAACTCCCGCCAGGAAGATTTGTCGGCGCTTCGCAGCAAAAGAGGAAGAGTTGTTCAGGAAATAGAGATCGAGACTGTGAAAACAAAGAACAAACGATGATGAATCTACAGCTTAAAGAACAGATTTTAGCATGATGCAATATATATATATATATAGAGAGAGAGAGAGAGAGAGAGAGTGATACGTAGTCTCATGGTTTATCACGTGCTTAAGTTGGATTATAAGAATGTTGTTTTGTGTTGTGCATGCTCTGAACAACACATCACCGTGCGAACATTACATGATGTCATTTGACAGGAGATAGGATTACTACATGCTTATACACAGTGCATGTTGATATAATATAAATATATCATATGAATAAAAATTATATGTTATAGTCTCAACAATATATCGTGTGTTGTTTAACAGTACATAATATTATTACAAACAACATATTGCTTATGTTAGTATAATATAAATATAATATATACAAATATAATACATGAATTAGCACAAATTATAGTTTTATACTCCCTCTGTCCCAGATACCATGTCCACGTTGCCGTTTCTGTCTGTTCCACGTACCATGTCACTTTTCTTTTTTGAAAATGATTACACACTTTAATCTCATTTTAAATTTTTTAATTTTATTTTTTTTAATTTTAATTAAACTAATTAGTTATCTTAATTTTAATTTATAATTATTTATATTATAGGATAATTATTTTTACTAATATATTTTTAATTATCTACTGATTACACCTCTCTTCCTAAAATACTGTGTCTACGGAGAGACGATATTTGGAATGGAGGGAGTACAACACACACAATGTAATGAGTTGAGTTGAAAAATCAGGGTTCAAATAAATACCTTAACCATCCCATTTGTCACCTTGCTTTTCACACCAAATTGTATGTTTTTTTATCCTCTAAATTTTGGATTTTTTTTAAAAAAAAATATATATTTACAGTAAATACTTTTTACATGTTATTTAATTTATATTTTTTAATATTATATTTATTTACAAATGTATTATGAGTATTTATAAATTTAATTTGTCAATTTTCTTTCTTCCATCCTAGTAATTTTATTTGTATATTTTTCATTTCAAAAGATTACAAATTTTAATAAAAATGTGTAATAGTTAATTTTTTACTTTTTTATAATGAAAAATAATATGTTTTTTTACTATCTATTGATTAGATAAGATATTAATCTAAACTTATAAACTCGACAAAAGCGAATCAAACTAAAATTAACAATAAAAAGTAAAACACATTATTACTCCACAATCCCATCGCTTACAACAAGAAATCCTTCTTACTCCTCAGGCGATCCAGGACCACACTACCAGAGCCAATCCCAATTAATCCCCACTAAAAAACCCATCAGGACCCAAACTCCATGCCCCTCCTACAAACCTAACCTAAAAACATAAAAAACAAAACAAAAGAAGAGAATGGCGCGAGCAGAGAGAGCAACGGGCAATCAGAAAAGAATGGCTTCCCTCCGTCTCATGTCCGCGCACATCTCTCCCACCCACCCGATTCTGCAAACCACATGGCGATCGCGCATTCCTCCCTCCCCTGGGTAAAAAGCTCCGCCCTCCCCATCACCTCCCCCCCTCCACACCATTTCTTCCCAATTCCACCCGCCGCCGGGGCTGATGTTGTAGGGGGCGCTGCGCTGTGCGGTGGCGGTGCTCAGCTCATCCCTACCCCCTCCAGCATCCGTCGATTAGGGTTTTGGTGGTCAGGCCATGGGTTGTATCAGCTCCAAAAATGCCAGGCCTGATTCCCCAGACCTATACGGCGTCGTTTCCACCTCCAAAGCCAAGCGGATTCCCCTCTCCTTTTCCTACTCTTCCTTCCTACCCGCCCAATCGCCGCTGGAGAAGATCACCGAGGAGGAGGATGAGGAGAAACATGTAATTTCCTTGAATTCGGGGCATTCGGGAAATTTGAAATCCCTAAGGAGAGGATCCTCCCGTAGAAGGGCTGGCTTTAGCTTTAAGCTTGGGAGATTGACTGAGGGCGAGCTTGTCGCCGCCGGCTGGCCTGCTTGGCTCTCCTCCGTCGCCGGAGAAGCCATTGACGGATGGTTGCCTTTGAGAGCAGATTTGTTCGAACGATTAGATAAGGTTGGATAACGGTCCTTCTGTTTTATGCTCGCAAGGTGTTCGATGAAATGTCTCTGAGAATTTTTACTTCTTATTTTTGTAATGTAGATCGGACAAGGTACATACAGCGATGTTTACCGCGCCCGCGAGCTGGAAACGGGTCGATTCGTCGCTGTTAAGAAGGTTCGGTTCGATAATTTCCACCCGGAGAGCGTTCGATTCATGGCTCGTGAAATCACGATCCTTCGCAGGCTTAACCATCCCAATGTCATGAAGCTTGAAGGAATAATCACTTCCCGATTTTCGAGTCATATATATCTCGTCTTCGAGTACATGGAACACGACCTTGCCGGGCTGCTGGCTTCTCCGAACATCAGATTCACCGAGGCGCAGGTTTTGTTGTCCATCCGAATTTTAGAATTGTCGAATGAAATGAAATCATTTTCACTGTCGCTTTTGGATTTGAACTTTTTGCAGATAAAATGCTATATGAGACAGATATTGAGCGGAGTCGAACACTGCCACTCGCGCGGCGTAGTGCATAGAGACATTAAGACATCGAACATCTTAGTCAACAACGAAGGGATTCTGAAAATTGGGGATTTTGGGCTTGCAAATTTCATGAGGCCTAAGAACAAGCAGCCAATGACTAGCCGTGTGGTGACGCTGTGGTACCGCCCGCCTGAGCTTCTCTTGGGGGCGACCGAGTACGGCGAGGCCGTCGATCTGTGGAGCGTGGGATGTGTCTTTGCCGAGCTTTTTATCGGAAGGCCAATCCTCAAAGGCAGAACTGAGGTTCGAACATTCGTTACAGTCGATTTTGTTTGAATTCGTGATCTGTTTCGTAATAATTGCGCGATTTATGGATTTGGGAATGTTCAATCGATGCAGGTTGAACAGCTGCATAAAATCTTTCGACTCTGCGGATCCCCGCCCGACGAGTACTGGAAAAAATCGAAACTTCCTCTGGCTAATATGTTCAAGCCGCAGTATCCGTACGAAAGCACGCTTCGCGAAAGATGTAAAGAGCTTCCGAAAAGCGCCGTTAGCCTGTTGGAAACTTTCCTCTCTTTCGAGCCTTACAAGCGCGGCTCAGCTTCGTCGGCACTTAATTTTAAGGTCGGGATTGCTTTAAATCGAATTTTTAATTTTGTTTCGTCGCAATAGCGTCGTCGTCGTCATATCGTTACTTTGATGTTTTTGTCATCAGTATTTCCACACAAAACCATATGCTTGTGATCCTGCAAGTTTGCCGCAGTACGCTCCGAGCAAAGAGTTTGACGCCAAACTTCGGGATGACTTAAGAAGGTTTGGCGAGATATATATATCTGTATCTATATATATATTACATGTATCGACGCGGTTAATCGAGGTTGTCCTAACTCCAGGAGACGATCGGGGCACACGGCGCAGCCACACGGAGGTACAAGAAGCTCGAGAAGAGTCCAGAAGCCACTGCAAGAATCGACAGACGCATCCAAAGTCATTCCGGCCGAGGTTCTTTTCCTGTTTCGTCTCCGGACAAGTTTCGTTTTCGGTGTCTGAACCGTTAAAATGCGACAGGTTGGCGACGGTAATAATAAGAGGAGCCAAGGCGAAAGTTCCAACGTGTATTCCAAGAGGAGAATGGCATCGACGACAACGTCGCAGGGATCGAACATGTCAAATTCTTACACAGGTCAAAAGGCGACCGCGTCGTCGTCATCCTCTTCGAAGAGCCGGCATTACATTCCCTTAGAACAACCACCGAAGCTATTGCAGGCGGATGACATCGCAGCAGTAGACATGGATGATCTAGAAAACAACGATTCCTCAGACAGGACATGCACGACAACGACGACGAACAAGGATGCCAAGCCGGATATCGGCGATTCCTCCAATCTTTACGCGCCTCATGAGCCGTACATGGTAAGAAAACTCACTCTAATTACAATGCTCGATCGAATACATGTGCGATTAAATTAAACTTAACTCGTATTTTACTCGCTTTTCATTATTTCGACGTGTGACTTTCATTTGTGAAGGCTTTTGTTTCGACGCTTGTTATAGGATGCCGATAACAAGAAGAAGAAATCCCAGGTCGCATTCTCAGGACCGGTGATATATCATTACGAAGAAGTTTCTTACAACGACAAAGACCATCCGGTCCAACAAGTTCGCCAAAGATCGCGATTCTACCAAGGTAAGAAAAAATCTTCTAACAATAAATATATATATATATATACATACATATGCTCAAGTCACCGTCGTGCTGATTTGACCAAATTGACATACTAACTTGAAGCAGTTAATATTTCATCACAAGACTGTTATAAATAAACATGTGCTATAATTGAGTTATCGTGCTGAAATCAAAATATATTGTATTACATAAAATTATATAACGTATTATTGATTATACGCTACTTTTTTACGTATATGTGCTGATTGGGTTAATCAACATAGTAACTAAAGCGATATTTATAATCTTTCCTTCTGCAATCTTTATATTACTATGTTATTTTACTATTTATCAATTATACTTCAACTCATTTTTATGGGCGCGGATCTCATGCTTTTCCGGTCAAATCATATGCCACAAAGGTAAATAACATATATTTCTACATAATACAAAAGTATGTTGTGTTATCATATATTGCGATATATATAATATATGATGTTTACTTGTATGATATATGTTGATCCGATCAAATCAGCATCATATTGATGTGACCAGATCAGCATGGGCTCCGTGTCCCATTTTTATCGAAACAATCTTACAAATTATCTTATTTTACAATTTTATCAATTGTACTTCAAAGTCCTTTTTTTTTTTTTTTTTTTTTTATCTATATACCTAGACAAGTATATAATCGACATAGGGAGTATATATATTTATCGAACACATTTAAATTCTTTGTCGCACTCTCTGCAGATTCATGATCGAGCTAGATGGATCCAAAAATCGTGCGCCGAATGGTGTGAATAGACGCTCGGAGAGAAGAAGGATCGGATCGATATCGATCGATCAGTAAATATATTTTGATTGTAGATGTGATCCTCTTTCCCTTTCGATCCGAGGAATATATATATGCATGTCTAAAAACCAAATTGTTGGTACATTCTGTGTCTTGTTGTTTTTATTCTTTCTTTTTTCTTTTTTTTTTTTTCTCTGGATTAATTCCGACCTGAATCCTCTGCGTATATATATATGTGTGTATGAATTATGTATGTCTTTATGTCTCTTTTGATCGTTGTTGGTGTAGTGGTCAGTTTTCGTGTTTGATTATGAGTTTCTTTGGTGAATCAAATTATTTGTTCATGATTGAGTTTGTTTGGTTTGTGTTTTCCACTCAAAAACATTAGGAATGATTCATTTAATTTGTGTTTTAATATAAATATATAATTAAAAGAAATTTATAATATATATTTAAATGTTCTAAAAATTATATTTGAATTAGATATTATTTTATAAAGAATAATATTTTATATAATATAAATAAATAAATAAAAATTTAATTTATTTGTCTATTAAAAAAAATAATAAAAAAATGTGAATTATCATATTACATATTATATATAAAATAAAAAAAATAAAAATAGAAGTATATGACCTCACAGTTTGAATCCACGGAATCCACTCCACACCCCTTGTTCATAACGAAAACTCATATATTATTATTTCCTTCTATCGCCGTAAAGGGTAACATTTATATTTTATGTTATTGTATTTAATTTTTTTATATAAATTTCCTTCGTAAGACATGAGTGGAAGTATTTTTGCAATTTTTTCTTTATACTACATTTTGATATAATAATTAAGATTCAAAGATCACGACAAAAAGTAAATGAAACTTTAAAATCGGAGGAAGTTACTATTTTATATTAATGTACTAATCTTGTCATTTTAAGTTGCTTTAACTCAATTATTTATTTTTTAATTTAATAAATATGGTGCCTATAAGCAGGTTGATTCTGACTTTTATTCAAATATATTTATTTATTTAAAAAATAAATAAAAATATTTAAAAAATACAAGTGATTACTTAGAAAAAAAAAAGAAAATATTTGAAAAAAAATATTCTCTTCGTTTTTTATTTTTCGTTCGTCTCAAAACAAAGTTATCATTTTCTAATTTAATAATTGTACTACCTACTTTAACATAATAAATACCCTTCCAACTTACACTGTATTACACAAATGTCATTACTTTTATATTACGCAATACTAATATGGATATTTTTGTTAATTTACGTACAAAAAGCAAACGTCACCCTTGTTCCGGGACGGAGGGAGTATTTGATTTAATATTATTCACGTATTTCTATTTTAGAGTTTGTTTGATCATAATTTAAAATTAATCTAAAATAAAATTTTGATTTATATTTTTATTTAAATAGTATTTTGATATAATAATTTATAACAAATTAATATATTTTATTAAAAATTATACCAAGTTAATAATATTGGTTTCGATTTAAAATCACAAAATAACAGATTCTTATTTTACAAAATAGTATTGGGAGACTACTAGTACTATATATTTTGAAAATATGTAAGTTAGAAGGGGGGAATAAAAAGTAACTTTTCTTTCAAAATTACTCTTAAGGTTTGTGTATTTTCGTCATCTCCCTACAGCAGGAATTGGTATTAGTTAGCTAGCCTTTGCAATTCCTTTATGCTACCGCACCGTGATTCGTATCGTGACGACGCTATCGCCCAATACTCAACAATTAGGGGCTGTCGTACAACTTCTCTAGATACAGGTCGGCAGCCGCTCCAGCCCCGTCCTCTGATGCTCCGCCACGCTCGCATTGTGCTCCTAGTCCTAGAATAATCTTGATCTTACCTCGGACGATGAGGCCCACCCTTAGACAATCCTTTTGCTCATTTCGTTGGACACCGATATCGTGAGTTTGACCAAAATCGCCGATGGGAGGAAAGCTTCAAATTGGATATGCCAGAATTTCACGGCACGCTACACCCGTATGATTTTCTCAATTGGTTGCATTACATAGAAGATGTGCTAGATTTCAAATCAGTCCCACAGGACCGCCGTGTGGCTCTCGTTGCCACCGGCCTTTGCGGCCACGCTGCATTTTAGTGGTCCAAGTTTAAGACCACCCGTCAACGCCGCGGAAAATCTCTTGTTACCTCTTGAGAGAAATTCGTCAAATATTTGAAACCAGAATTCTTACCTTTCAATTACAGACGTCGTCTCCTCTATCAATGCTTACAAAATTTTGAAGCAAGGCCCCCGATCAGTTGACGAATATAGAGGGGTGTTTTATCAACTCATTTCCCGATCGAATTTATTTGAACCAGAGGAACAACAAAGTTCTCGGTATATAAGGGGTTTACGCATCGTATTTCAAGATGCACTCAACCTTCTCTCCCCTCCTCGATCTCTGAAGCGCACCAGCGTGCGGCGGGCCATAGAGCGGCAAATGCTTTGTGGAGCCAACACCCCATTCACACCGACATCCACCACACCCCGTCCATCTCTACCATGCGAGAAAACCGTTGCGCGCGTGCAGGCACTTGCCCAGCTCATCGCCCTTCCCCGAAGGTAGCCACCGATGACGACCTCTCGAGACCCATGTTTCTCTTGCGGAGAATATGGGCATCGACTTTCTCAATGTCCTAAGAAACAACATTCAGGATTTTTTGCTGAAAATTTTGGCGCAAAGTGGACATCTTACCTTCAGCAATTTACATTTGTTGTTCGTCATCATGCCGGAACGGACAACAAGGCGGTGGATGCCCTTACCCAATGTTCTTCCACAAATAATATTCAAGATAAGGCGGACGAATTAATACAAAAATGTTGTAGTATTGTTTTTTTATTTTTTTTTTCTTTTCAAATGATATTTTACTAATAAAATTTTAACGAGGTACATTATTTATATAAAAGTATTCAAGGAGAAGCTTTGTACATATAGCGTATATGAAGATACTACATGGTAATTATGTATGCTTTCATATTCCTTCCAGATTCAAGTATTTGTATGTATTTATATCTCGCATACATATAATATAATATATATATATAGATACGTTAATGCACACATTATATATATCTCGTATACATATAAGATATATAATGGCTCTGTCCTACTTAAATTGTCTCATTTTGCTTAGGTATAAAATTTTAAGTATTATGTAATTAATAAGTAATTAAAAAGTGTATTAGTAAAAATAATTACAAGAATAATTATATATTAAGATTAAGATGATTAAATAGTTTAATTAAAATAAAAAATTATAAATTAAGAATTTTAAAATGTAATTAAAGTGTATAATTATATTTTTTTAAAAAAAATTATGTAAATCAAACGAAGATAGAAAAAGTGGAAAAAATAAGTGAGACGAAGAAAATATTATATACAATACATAAAATACTAATTAGCCGTAAAAATAAGTAATATTTCAATCAACTAATCCAATTAATAATATTACAACAGTTTTTGTTTTTTTTTTTAAATATATATATATATAAACTAAAATTTATTCGATTGTATATTTTTAAAAATTAATTTATAAAAATAGATAAATAAAAATATTAATTTGATATTTATTATATAAAAAAATTAAATAAAAGAATTTTATTTTATTTTATTTATTTTTGGCCATGTCCCATTAAAACTTAGGTTATCTCCAACCCACTGCAATGCATTGCAGTGGATTGTACAAAAAATGGGGGGAGGGGTTCCAACCTTACCCCAAATCCCTCCCATTTTTGCAGATATTTGGAGTAATACTGTGGAGTGGAGTTTTTGTGGTATTTTTTATATTTTTGGTATATTTTTGTTGTACTGTGTAATTTTAATTTTTTAGTAAAAGATATATAATTGTATATTTTAAAAAGTTGTATGTAATTTTATTTTTTTTTGAAAAATAATGTATAATTTTATTTTTTAAAAGTGATATAATTTTAATTTTTGGAAAGTAATACTCCCTCCGTCCGCTTACAAAGTTTACATGTTTCTATTTTGGACGTCCAATTACAAAGTTTACATTTCATTAAATACCCTACTTTTTTTTTCACAAATACCCTTACTTTACATCACATCATTACTTTTACACAAAAAAGTAAGAGCAAAAATGTCATTACAATACTTTTAACTATTCACTATAATTAAAATACTATTATTTCTTAAACATCGCGTCAAAAGTAAATGTAATCATTGTAAATGGACGGAGGGAGTATATAATTTTATTTTTTAAATTGATATATAATTTTACTGTTTGAAAAGTGATATAATTTTTATATTTTAAAAGTGATATGTAATTTTATTTTTTTGTAATAAATTTTTATGAAATAATAATATTACGTTATCTTTGTTTAATTATTATATTATATTTGTCTTGATAGCATTTAATTATTTATTTAAAATTATTTTATTTGTAATAGTTATTAATTATAAATATTAATTTTAATATATGTAATTTTTAAAAAATATAAATTATATGTGTATTGATCTAATGTAAAAATAAATTAAAGTTGGGGTGTAATTTATAAATATGAAAAGTTATATAAAATAATATAAAAGAGGAATATATAGGAAATATATTTTTTAAGTAAAAATTAGAGTTTATGATTGGAGTAAAATTAGCGTAGATCAACTGTGTTTTTACTGTAATAACGGCAGAAATAGAGTAGAGGATTGGAGATACCTCAGTATCGCTCTAGCAAAAAGGTAGGATTAAAATTTATTTACTACAAGTAGAAGCTGTCACTGTAAGTCTGTAACTGTAACTGTAACGGTAACCATTACATAACTCCACAATTCACAACTAACAATGGCCTTAAAGATTCATTGAGGCCAAACTTATCTTCTTCTTTCTTCAACAATTATCAAAAAACACTCATCTTTTTCAGACAAACAAAAACAAAAACAAAAACAAATCTCTACATACAGAAGATAAGAAAAGAGAGAAAGAATTCTTACACAACAATAATATCCATATCTCTATACAACTTAACCTCTTTTTACTCTTAGTCCTGATCGAGCCTCACAATTCTTGGGATCTGACCATGGTTAACGAAATCGATCTTGTTCAGCCTCAGACACCCCAGCACGTTCTCCGGCAGCTCCTCCGGCTTCTGCGCCTGTTTTCCGGCAAGTTTCGATAAAGAAAATAATAAAAAATGTTGTCGTAAGAAAGTTCGAAGAAGAACGTGTAAGAACGAACCTGAATCGTCAGTCCGAGGTCAAGAATGCCGTTGCCTAGGCGCTCCCGGAATGCGTCCAGTCCTTTTCGTGCAATGTAGCTAAACCGATGAATGTCGAGGTCAATCTCTAAGTAATTTGATCCCTGATGAAGATGACGAAAAAAAAGATTCAGACAACATGTTTTATGTTCGAGTCGCTTGTAATAAGAAGTAAAAAAGACAGCTCGCCTTGTAAAAGTTGTGCTGAGGGCGCGAAAGAACCGGCTTCTCGTTGTACGCGACGACTAGTTTCCTCTCCGTCGCAGTCGAGACGAGGTCTTCGGGGTTAACGACCCCGACCATGATTTTTAGCCTTTCCCGGAATGGAATGACGGATTCTTTCGTGAACCCTTTAACGGTCTCCATTTCGTCGTTGATCAATTTCTACGTCGCAAAAAATTCATCGTAACTAAATTTAAATAAACAATCTAAAGAAATCTTCGATCTTGATCGAAAAATAAACGGAGATTATTGTTACCTCGACGCATTCTTGGAAATGCAACGACACCTCGCTCTCGTAATTCTCGTTGCGTTTGAAATAGAGCACGAGGCTCAATCCCTCGCCGTCTCCATCCCCATGAAACATCGGAGGCGCATACGTAGGCAACTGTCAGACAAAAAAATCGTCGCAACGATCACGATAAAGACTACAACTTTATAAACATCACATCAAATACTAACGTTTTACTATTTTCGGATTTTATCAAAACTCCAAAAATCTCTGTCTAAACGAAACCTACGTTCATATTGAAATACCATTTTCGTTACTTTTTACCTGAATGTTTACGATTAGCAGCGCGGGGATTTTCCCGTCGGCTTTCATCGGCGGGAGCTCAAGGTGTTGTGCGATATGGTTGATTTTTCTCGGGCACGCGAATAAATCGACGCCGATGGGAATGTAGGGAGAGACGTTCGACGCAGGACACTTCCTCTTATCTCTGCGATTCGAAATCGTTAGGCGAAAACAAGGTATGGCTCGAGAACGATTTATAATCGATAGAACGGGAAAACAGCATTGTACTTGAAATAGCTTTCTCCGCGGAGCTTGAAAGTTTCAGGCTCGATCGGTGACCAAGTTGCCGGCGTCGGCTTCCCCTCAGTCGAACACGGAATCAGTAGGCCAGCTCGGGGACGATAAAGATACTTTGTCGACAAACCTGGATACACCAAGATGAGTATTATCGATCGCTGTTGCCTAACGTCTCGAATAATTAGAAAGATGGATATATAACTCACGAATATCATTGATTTCTTCATCGACAGATTTCCGCGTGATTGAGAGTCGAATAACCGTCGACGTCACCTTTTGCGACTGTTGCGTCGTCGTCGTCGTCGTAGAGTGGATCCTCTCGTTGAAACTCACGGAGGGAACTAATCGTGGTAAGACTGTCTTCAATAAATCCTCGGAGGTCTTGTCATTGACGCCAAAATATGCCTTCTCGAGGTTCTTGTCTACCTTGACCAATTCGTCGTTTTTCAGTAATGCGGGAAGCTCGTTCCTTTGGGAATCTACCGTTCGAAACTTGTTGGGATCCTTGGCTCCGTCTTCGATCAAATTTTTTTCGCTGCATTCTAGGAAGTTGCCATCCGACGCAGCGACGAAATCTGTATAATTAGCGATGTAATTGGCAGATCATCAGATTAATCGAAGAAAAGTAACCAAATTAGGCAGATTGCTTACCTCCTTCGACGCTATCAAAATCATCGTCGGAGTCGGACTCCAGCATGCTGACTGTGTCGAACCACGAATCTTCCTGGTAAAGTCCTGTAAGAACATGAAATTTCTCTCGTTATCATCTTCGAGAAATGATAGAAATATTTACACTTGTATGTATGTATGTATACCTTTGGCGTCGATTTGGCTATGGTGAAACTGGAGCTGTGTAATTTGGTACGTCGAATTAGAGGCTGATTTGCTGCAGGTTGTGGTTGTGTGAACGAATTCGCTGACGGCAATATCAGTCACACGGGCTCCAGCTTCGCTGTTCTTCTTCCTGCTCCCGTGCTTTTTTGAGTGTCCTCGACTCCTCTTCACCTTCCTGTTCTTCGGTGGCTTGAACGCGACCCCTGGGGTCGACACACAAGCTCCCATTGTTGTTCTGATTCTCAGCAATGTGCACTGCTCGGTTCGCAGAAGTACATGAACCTTGAAAATGGCATAATAACAACGATAATGTAAACCATTAAAATGAAATTCGATAAAGCTCCAAGATATGAGTTTCTTCGAACAATTGTTCTTACAGTAACACGCCTTAGTTTCGGAAAAATCAAGAATCCTTTCAGAATATTGACACTTTAGGGATTCGGTAACCCCCGGAAGCTCCACTCCCCCCAAAGAACTGCAAAGAGACGAATTTCGATTACAGAATCAAAACAATTTACAAATGTAGGCACAGATTCATGATCCAAACTTGTTTTCCACAACTTTTGTAATAGCCACAGCAAGTTCTGATCCGAGAAAAGGTCCGAAAGCTTTGAAAACCTCACTCGAAAATATTATATTGTTGATATAACTACAAGATTGTGGAAAACAAGAAGATGATCCATATTGACGTCGATTAAATATGCATTACAAGACAAACAAAAAAAACATATTGTCATTATCAAGAACATATAAAATTCAAAAAACAGAGGAAGGGAAGATATAAAACCCCCAATTTACATCAGAATAATTGCCCTAAAGAAATCAACAATGGCAGATAGTACAGCAATTTCATCTATGGAAACATACAAAACCCCCAAATTAACCTCAGAATAATTGCTCTAAACAATTCAACAATGGCAGATCAAGCAGATGTACAGCAATTTCATCTATGGAAGCATAAACAATTGAAAATTAGCTACGACGCGCATTCCTAGAAAATCGATAAGAAAACAAAGGCGTGACCACAGATTCAATGTACATTCATGTTCATATCCACGTCGCATGAAAGAAGGTACCCGAAAAGAGGACTTTTCTGGGAGAAGTGGGGCCAACAATGGCGGATCCAAAGTGTGATTCCTAACCGAGATTGTTCTTCGTTTCTTTCAGCAAACAAACAGAGGAGATGAAAAAAAAAATTAACAATAATAATAATTGGAAAACAAAGCAAAGATGCAATGTTCTTTGCTCTGTTAAATTGGCGCGATTCGCCTTCTTTGTCGATGCTATAACAAGCAGTGGATCGTCTTCTCTTCTTATGTGGATTTTGTTGAACGAACCCTAAGAACCCTACATATTTGGGCATTGCATTTCCCTCCATTTTTGAGCTTGCCGTTGATTGCTGTCTGATTTGGGATTCTCCTATTCGCTGTGCTTCCACCATCGTCCACATTCCGAAATCGCTGCTCCTTGCGGATTTCTAACCGCAAATTTAACAGGCGATTGAAATGAATTCGCCAACAACGAAAAATGACGCGAATATCACGAAAAAAAGAAAGAAAAGAAATTCCACCACTTCTGTTCATCCTACTTTAAAGATAAACTTAATTATGAACACGGCCGTGTTAGACAATTTGAACTTTTGTGAAAAATTGATTCAAATTAAATTGAATTGTTCTGAATTCCAGTTATAAAATCGAACCAAATCAAATAAAAAATTAAATTGCAATATATTAAAATTTTTGATTATATATATAAAATTAGTGTGTTTGTTTGGAATTTTTTTGAATTTTTGTCTAACTTTTTTTTCAAAAATATTAAATTAAATATTATTGTTTATTTATATCATATTTAAAAATTTATGTTGATATTAAAAATATCAAATAAATAAGAAAAACATACAAATTCATTAAGAAGTAAATAAAAACCAAACACATTGGGAAATTATCCTAACACTTAAATAATTACAATTAATTATTAAAAATCAAAATCCAAAGAAAACTCATAGTATGACGCGTGTATACAAATCTATTATAAAATATTTCAGATTTTGGATTTATCCATATTTGTTCAGTGAAATTATTTTAAAAATATTCTTTTTACGTAAAATACTCACTCCCTTCGTAAACAAGTATCCATTTGTTTTTTACACGTAATTTTAAAAATATTAGTATTATATTGAGATATAGTAGGAATAAAGTAAAAATGACTAAAATAACTTTATTAATATGTGTGATATAAAGTTAATGGCATTTGTGTAATATATTGTAAATTGTAAGGATATTTGTAATGTTAGATAGATAGTACAATTATTAAAAAAAGAAATGGAACTTTGTTATGGGACGGACTAAAATAAAAAAATGGATATTTTGTTATGGGACGGAAGAAGTATTGAAAATTACATAAAAATAATACTATAAAAATAATCTAATATACATATATATATATATATATTTAGAGGGTGTTCTAAAAATAGCTTTTTGAATAGTTTTTAGTTTATTGAACAGCTTTTAATTATTTGACAGATTAAAAAACTAATTTAGGTATTTAGTAAATTAGCGTTTTGGACCCAAAAAGCTAATTTTTGAGAAGCTAACTTACCGAGCGTTTTGAAATAGTTTTTTCCGTAAAATTTTTTTTATTCTTTATATACCTTTAAAAATTTATTATGCATTTTACACAAATAAATATATTTTGATTATTTATTAATTATATTAGAATATTTTATTATATTATAGTTTTACTTTTATAAATTTTAAATAATTAATTTTTATATATAAATTATTTTAATTATAAAATATATAAATTTAATAAAATCAACATAAAATAAAAAATATTAATATTAATAATTTATTTTTATATTAAAATTATATTATATAAATTTTATACTAAAAATAAATTAAATAAATTAAATTATTGAAAATTATAAATATAATGAATTAATCGATAACTAATATAATAAATATATATACGAAAAATTTATTATTTTATATTTTACATTATTTTTAATAAAAAAAAACTATTTATATATTTCAATAAAAATATATTATTTTTAAATTTAACTATAATAAAAATAAATACTTTTATAACACTTTTACAAATTTGAATAACAAATAACAAAAAAATTCAAATATTCTAAATTCAAAAGAACATAATTGAATATATTAGAAACAAAAATAAAATAGAAATGTCATCAATTGTCATTTTACTTATAAACAACTAATATCAAACCGTTGTTTTACCAAATATTTTAATACAAACAGCTAATCAAATCAGCTAATTGAATCGGCTAACACCTATCAGCTAATTGCCAAATATAAGCCCTTTGCATTGATTTTGGTCTGCCACGTGGCATGTCATGAGCTTTTCTTTTTTTCTTTAAATTTCTATTTATGGTGGGTCCCACCACTTATATAATAATAAAGTATAAATATGAAAAGAAAGGGCGGATGGCGACTCAATAATAATAATATCATATTTATCTGTGTATTTACTTTTTATATAAAAAATTTAAAAATATTAATATTATATTAAGAGGTAATAGAAATAAATGCAAAAAAATTAAATTATTCTTCAATATTATATAATATAAAATGAATGATTTTCATCTTTCTAATAGATTACAGAGGTTGCATTTTGTTTTTTTTAAAAGAAATTTATGAGTAGATCCTCAAATTAAATTTATAATTTTTTTATTATATAATAATAATATTTTACAAATTCCTGTGGATAGTATATTTTCTAAAGTAAAATAGAAATAAATGCAAAAAAATTAAATTATTCTTCAATATTATATAATATAAAATGAATGATTTTCATCTTTCTAATAGATTACAGAGGTTGCATTTTGTTTTTTTTAAAAGAAATTTATGAGTAGATCCTCAAATTAAATTTATAATTTTTTTATTATATAATAATAATATTTTACAAATTCCTGTGGATAGTATATTTTCTAAAGTAAAATTTTATGGTATAGTTTATTCTTATTTAATATAGTTTTTTCGTCAGCCAAATTTATTTTTACTTTTTTTTTTAATATATTCATTAAATTTATTTTATTACTTTACTTTTTAATTAAATTTTTATAAATGAGTGCCCCAACTACTTATCATTTTTTCAATAAAATATTTATTTTTCTTAATTTTTGTGATGATCCTAAATAAAATAATTTTAATGGACGGATGAGATGGAATATCATATACAATATTTAAAATTATTTAGCTGAAAGAAAAATATCAACCGCTTGCTTCAACTACAACACAACAATAGATAATTATTCTCTCGATATCCAATATTCCATTATTATTATTATTTGTTATAAAATATGAATATATTTTTCTAATATTCGAACGTCGACTTGAGTTGCACCATAACAAACTACGATTTAATAAGGATATATATATATTTTATGACGTGTTACTCCACAGCCGCTACTCAAAAATGCACACCGGATAAACTCCTGACCGAACATAATACCCTACAAATCAGGTCCTCGACAGACAAAATTGATTTGCAATTTCATTATGTATAGTTGATTTATAATTGGAAAAGAATAGATGAATTCTAAACATTTCTCGCTCAATTTAAGAAAAAATAAAATAAAATCCACCAACCACACATGCACCTCATTCCGAAGCAAAGACACATAGGATGTTGTAATGAAAAGTTTGTTTGTTTGAACGATTATGATAATCGTTAAAAATATTAAATTAAATACTTATTTTTAATATTATAATAAAAATTAATTTTATATTCAAAATATTGTATCAATACTTGTTTATAGTATATCAAACAATTATTTTAATTAAAAAATTTTACTGTTCAAATCAAAACTCGAAATCTATTAAACTTCCAACCAAACAAGCAACACCATCCTACAATATGGGATTAAAAATAAGAAAATAATAATAATAATAATAAATCTTTTGTAAAAGATACCCGACATCATCCGATGATGTTGCAAATGAACTTTTTATGATCTTCAAAGATCGATGGATATTTTTTTTGAATAATTCTCGTAAATACAAAAATATACAACTTAACTAGTAAAATAAAAATTAAATAAACTCAAATTAATAATATCAAATTAAAACTGAAATTAACACTAATATTATATACTAGCGTGTAAACCCTGCTATGCACGATTTGTATAAATTGTTAAAATAATAATTAATTAATTAATTAATTATATTGACAAATATTTTATAGAATGATACAAATATTTTATAGAATAATACAAATATTTTTAAGACTTCAACAATTTATACTAAATTTACCATGTGACAAATTCTTATTACTGTATCAATAAAGATATAATTAGTAGTATACATATATAAACACAATTTATAAAAGTGTTAATAAACTCTCGTACTAATTATATATCATTTCTTGTTATATATTTAAAAAATATATTAGTATGCTAAAATAATTAACAATGAAATAATATATATGTATATTTATACGTGTAAATATGTCTTA